TCGCCATATTGTGGTTGTAGAAAATTTTGTTGTTGTAGAAAACGGTTGGTTATGAGAGGTGATTCTGCTTTATCGATCGATCAATACTTGAGACACTATCTCAATCTTCTCTGCCCCTCTGTGTACCATTTTAAAATTACAAAGGCACTTTAAATGTATCTTTTCACTGAAAATCTACATGGTCGCTAGGAAGGGGGTAATTTCCTCCACAGCTCAATTGACCTGCCTTTGTTCACCAATGAAGAATTCTACCACCCTCTTTATTAGGAGGAATTGCAATATCTTAATTCCTTAGGTTCCTAGGGAAAATAAAGTTCCCTTTGATTTCTCACAAACCCCATAGCTCTGTCTTTTGTAGCAGGAAGTTTTTTAACAAAACTGTACTTTAAAGGTACGACTCCTTCATGACGGACTCTCGACAATTCGCACACTACTGCGTCTGGTGAACCGAAATGATCTAATTCATCTAAGCAGTGCTTTCAAAAGCTATTCTTACTAACTTTAGGCTGTCGGTAACTACTCGCTTCAGATTTATCGTTTGCTATGTGTCTGGTGCAAAAGCTCTCTTTAGCCTACCACTGCAAATTGCTCAGCGAGTTACTCAGAAAGAAGACTAAAAGCGCCACTCTGGATAGAGCAGCTTTCAATGTTTTAATAAGTTCATTCATATTGCAGCTATATGATAAAATATATGAATGATAAAAATGAATCCCACAATGATCGGTCATGGAGCCATTCATATTTTTTTAATTTATCCTCAGTAAAGATTTACGATAGTGCTTTAGTGATCCTACGTACGTAATTAAACCTCTTTTCTAATGTTTTAGATATGTTTTGAGAAGTTATTATCTTGCAATAGGTTGTATTGGGTTATAATTCTTTTTTACATTCATTGTTTCATTTACTTTAGATTTATTGTTAGTGTACTATATATTCTTTAATGTACTTAGGTTTATTTGTTGATAGCTAAAACTGAAAATTAAACTACTCACTTTTTTTGTCAACATTGATAGCACAAGAAATTATCTGATCGAAGAAATCAAACTTGTTTCATAGCTCCAAAAAATTTAGATTTATTTCAAACTGATTACATCACTATTGTTCAGTTTTTCTACAATATTGTTCATCAGATTACATGTCCCCCTTCCAATAGTTAGAGACTTACACAAAAACCTGTGAAAATTTCTGATTTGCTGCTTTGTTTATTATCATTTTCCTCAGCCAAAAGGGCATTTGCTGTCGTTAACGATGCCATTCGCTGCACACTGCTTTGGGCATGTGGGGGTCAAATGCACCAACTGCCCCCGTACTATATGGGTATGGGGGGATTTTTGTCGATTCGTTATAAGCATGTGGATCATTTTTTCAAAATTTGTTTTAAAACACATTCTTAGCATTACTTTCTGAGAGTAAATAAATCGAGGTCTGCTTTTCTACTGGATTCTAAACGATGAGCACGAGGGAATCTTTGGCGGTTAATTGTTGTTCATTACCATGATTGATACCTATGCAGGAGTCACGTTGCTCAACAGCCCACGACAAATGTAAATTTGATATCCTTTCTAAAGGCATTGTTTTCATAAAGAATCAGTGCGCAAGAACGATAAAGATTATGTTTTGTGCACCTGGCCTAAAGTAAACACTTAGAGCCATCAACATTCAGGTGTCAATAGCAAGTCATATGAAAACATAGCATGAAAGAAAAAAAGCAATCCACTTCAGATTCCCTAGATAAGATTAATGATTTCAAAACTTTTCAAGTATCTTTATCCTGATCGGCAGGATAACCCAAAATGAATACCAAAAAAATTATTTCACGCAATATATTTGTTTTTAAACGAGAGTGCAAATAATCGTGATCTCTTTTTGAGGCAGTGAGGATAGGTGGGTCCAATGCTTCTGTACGAAGTAAATAATTGGGTATCATAAAAGATCAACAAAAACGCGTCGCTTGCAACCAATCTTGGTTCATATCCAACGGAATCACTTTGCCACTGAAAGTAGCAAAGACCTGGATCTTACTGGCAGAAAACATTAAATATATAGTTCAAATTAATAGGGAAATAGGCAGTAGGTATTGCGAACCCAATGCACATGTATGCTTTGTCCGTATTATCGTGCAATAGTGTATGTTTCCAATCGTTACCTTAAAGGTCATTTATTTCTGCTCTTTAACCAAAGAACTTACTATCGCTTCATTTATGCCTTTTAACATGCCTAAAAGTTCCCTTAATTAGGCTTATACCGGCATTTTAAAAATAAGCTTGGAATTATTGTCTGCCTGTTTCTTAACTCATTGTGTTATGTCTTCTTGATAAGCAACATCTCAGATGGTATGTGCCATAAACGGTATCCTAAATCCTGCTTCTCATGAATGGTTTTCTTCAAGAAAATACCTGGTCTCTAAGAAACTAGAAAGCTGTTCCTAATTCAAACCTCTTAGGGGGGGGGGGGTAATCTTCGTTAGAAGGGACGATTTTATCAAAAGAAACGTGCATTTTGTAAATGATAGCAAATGATCTTTGGTTCTTGTTCTGGGTTTCCTTCTCGAGCGATGAGCTCTGCTCCTGTAACCTCGGTTCATTCTTTGTCTTGTTACCTTCTAAGTCTCGTTTCTAATGTCTTAGATTTGTTTTGAGAAGTTATTCTGCTGCAATAGCCTGTAGTGGGTTATAATTCTTTTTTACATTCATTGTTTCATTTACTTTAGATTTATTGTTAGTGTACTATATATTCTTTAATGTACTTAGGTTTATTTGCTGATAGCTAAAACTGAAAATTAAACTACTCACTTTTTTGTTAACATTGATAGCACAAGAAATTATCTGATCGAAGAAATCAAACTTGTTTCATAGCCGTTATCTTTTTTAGATCGTCAAAAGACTAACGCAAAGCTTGTTGTGAATATCTACAAATCTACTTTTATTGATACAATTTACATATACTAGCATCGCAAGGGTGACAAGTAACTTAAAAAGAATGTGTGACTTGAAAACACACTAGTTAATCAACTCAAAATGAAGCCATCAGCACAGTACAATCGCGACTTTCCCTTCACTCTTTCTCGCAGATATTGAGATAAGCTGGCAAAAATCTACTTAAAAACATTTTTATAGGACAGAAAAACTTTTATTTGAGGTAAAAGGGGTTACTAGCGAAAATTGTTCTTTTTCTTTCAAGCAGAATTCAGAAGCTAAAGCTCTATTTAATACAATGGTGAAGTCCTTTGAGGAAAGGCTTTCTCGTTTCTGTGCGGTGTCTTTCCAAAGATCAGAAGATGATGATAGGCTCGTCCTGTTTTTTGAAAGTTCAGGATATCTTCCCATCGATAGCATTGGATTTGAAGAACATGTAGGCCAATAAGACGTTGATTGCTAGACTCGGTAAGTGGAAAAGCGCTGAGAATGTATGTTTTGCTGCAATTTATATCAATAAAGAACAGCTTTCGGTGAAGTTTGCAGATACATTGTATTTGAATTAAGAATATTGGGGATAGTGCATTGTCTATTGCCCATTCCTATATGATAAACGCATAGCATTTTAATCCTCAAATTCTACGATTTCTCAAAAAGCAAATGCTAATTATGGAACAGAAACAGAAGAAGTCTGGCATTGAAAACCGGTTAAAACTTCCCATAATTAATAAAAAATTCGCCAATCGGTGATATAAAATCCTTTGTGTACGGCCTAGATAAGAATCATTTAAAAGACAGTAATGTGCGGAAAGACTTCTTCTGTATTATAAACTCTATCTTTCAACTAATCAATACAAAATAGATTTACCAATCTTATTTGTCTAGTTGATAATCAATATCAGCTGCTGCTGATTTGATTTGAGTTTAGAGCTAGTTATTTAACTCTTTTTGAAAATTTGTTCGCTTTAAGTAAATAGTTTTGGGAACTAGTCAGCTGTATCGAAATTCGCGGATGTGAGCGATCAACTTTGCAAGCGTTTAGGCCTCGCGATAGCTATTTCCATTACTTTGACCAAACAGAATGATTGCCTCGCTTTCCTCAAATGTTCATTCTAATTCATTCCTTTTCCATTCTAGTCAAGAAATTTACGTTTTAGTGTGCGAGTAAACAGCTTAGAGTGGACTCATCGGCACGGCTTTAAACAGATTGCCTTTCTGTGAAATTCAAACTGACCGCTTCAGAAACCTTCGTTAAACGTTCGATGAGAAGTGCAAACACTCCCATAATACTTTGATTGCAAGTGCGTTTGTGTTCACGAAAATGAAAGAACGGCGCATAAGTTAGTACAGTTTGTGATCAATACAACAGCAGTGATCAATTTATTTTCGATTACGCTCCATCACGGCACAAACAACTGACGCCTTTTTGCATTAGCGTCAAAATACAATTATGTTATGATTCATCCAGTAGGTTTGTTAGAAACTGATAAGCGTCTTTTAATAACAATTATTGCTGGGAAGAAAAGTATGCCACTAAGGAATCGCTGATATATATATAAGAAGTGGCGCACGGCTAATCTTTCTTTAATCAGATTAGCCTTCTTTTATATATTCATAAAGAAATAGGCGAACATATGAATTCTGAAAATCGCACCAAGCGTAAAACATAGGATTGTAAAAAGTAATCTTCATTATCAGAAAATCGTGTAGCACGAGCAAAAGAGGCCCGACGGGCACAGAATTGTTACACAATTAAGGGAACACAACCCTGGTTACCAAGTATATTAAAATATTCTTAACATGTTCAAGGTTTCATCTTCTCGAATCTACACAAAGTAGTGGGTAAGAAAATGATTGAGAACTAGTCGTGCTTTGTGTAAGAAAATGCTTCGTGTTTATTTACTTCAATCTTAGCTCAGCAGTCCTTGAAAATTTGCTTTCAAAGTTGTGCTACGAATGCTACCTAGGTGGTTAATTATAAATGAGTTACTTTAATGTAAGATTTGATTATGATAAAATTGCAATTTTTTGTCAGGGAAAAAACAGGATAAATTGAAAACCTCGATTTGACGATAATCAATTCACTTCAATTCTCAACCTTGACAAGAGTTTGTGGACGAAGGGTATCTCTGACTTCAAGTCCAAGATTGAACCAAGTTTACTTTGAAGGGATCATTTATTTGAAGCAAATATGTCAGACAACGACGACGATGATTTTATGTGTGATGAAGATGAGGAGTATGATCTGGTATGAAATTTTTCTTTATGCATTTTGTAAAGACGGTACAAACCGCTTTCTAGTCGTAGTACCTTTCAGGCTGGATGGAAAGTGCAGCAACTGCCTGCCAAAGGAACAGTTTGAGGTTATTAGCTGAAAAGCTTGCACGCCTTAACAATTTAGAATTTCGAATATGTTCAAGAGCATTTGATTATGAGCAGTATATCTTAATGCTCTTCTACAGTCTGCACTGATTTAATGGTTAAAGTTTAAAGATACACTCGTTTGATTGCAACTTCACCATATTAAACCAAGTCTACTACATAGATTCAAGAAATACCAATAAATTATTCCGAGCAGTGTAGCCAGACTAGAAGGGGACTAAAATCCTCAAAAATCAGGAGTCAAGGCTAAAAAAATCCCAGCAATAAATGATTTCTTGATAAAATTCCCAAGGTCCTTCAGACGTTCCAGCCTAAAGAATATTGAAAATTGAGAGATTTTTAATAAACTTCTGTGAAGTATTCGAATTTGTTCATCTACAAAAATCAATACCTGACTAAATTTGTAAAAAAATTCCATAACAATAATGGTTCCCCTAGCAAAATTGTTTCCCCTAAGACCTGGGTAGATGATTAATTCGAAAAGTGAAGTCTAAATTCAAGATAAATTTCTTTATTTTTATCTTGCTGTATTAAATATAGTATTTATGGAAAGTATTTTTTTAAATATATGTAAAATTTCTATAAAAATGCGAAATCATCAACAATAGGAAAGATTTCCAAGTTGAAGAATTTAGAGAGTGATTTCCGGATGCTGACAATTTTTTTTATGCCATTGCTAAAATTGGTCAGTCCTGTTGAGAAACTCTTTTTTGAAAGGACCTGTTGCCAAGGAAAGTACCTCTTGCAATTTCAAGATCAACTGAAGGACCTGTTTACATGAAGTGGGCTAGCCCACTTAAGTAATATACTATTTGAAATGAGAGATGGATGTATCCCAAGTTCTGGTCAGGTGAGAGTCACTATGGAAATGACGATATCGTCACATAAGCTATACACTTCAAGAGTCAGTAGCTTTTGCAGCCTTCTTACAAAGAAATGGTTTTGCAAGAACGGAGAGTTTGTGCAAAGCTATTTTCCTAAGTTCCCCAATGCAAGACATTTATGGAAGTCTGTTCTAGCATAATGCCGCAATGCATCTTGAAACCTGTGCAAAATGGCAAACATTGTTATGTTGATTTCTTCCTAAAATACAAAGGTTGAAAGAGCATTTATCACTGTAAGCAACATACTCTCAGAGAGACCCCTCTCTATCTTGCACAGTACTAGTCTTGGCAATTTGATTGTTTCCATAATTTTCTTTGGAATAAAGATGAAAAGGAGAAAATCTTCGAGAGAGCTGTGGATTTATATTTGAAAACAAAAAAGAAAATGAAAATAAATATTCAAGAAAGTATCTAAACTCAATCATAAATCAAAGCTTTTTCAACTGATGATTTGACAGTGTCAGAGAGTGATGAGGAATTCGAGACAAGCAAATGAAATATTCTGTTCATATTTGATGAAGCGTTTCAGTTGAAAAAAAACTTCATTATTTTGTGTCCCAAATTCGAATTGGGAGCCCCACAATGTTCACATGAGTTTTTTATGCACATCATTTTTTGAACGTGAAGGCCCTGCATACACTCATGTATATTTTCAAGCATGTTTTTTAAATTAAATCTTATAACAGATTTGGAATCGGGAGACTCCCATCTAAATCAGTGGTGACATCAAATATAGTTTTGGGATTTGCGGATTTGGATTACATAGCCTCAAAGAGCATCAGAAAAAACCTTTAAATTGGTAAAAATTGGATTTTATATTGCCTCTGAAATTTTGCTAACAGATCACTTTTAGTTTGGCTTGGTTCATAAAGTTTAGAGCAAAGACAATTGAAAATCGATCTTTTCACACTTTGCATCCAACAGACAATGGGGGCGATGTTTTTGTCATTAGATGCTATTTATTTAAAACACAATGCAAAACCCAGGCTATTCAATTCATGAACAGATATTATATTAGATAACAACTGCACTGACCTTTGTTCGCATTATTAGTTATTCTTATAATGGACAGGGTTTTCATTAATTTTTAAAGTAGAAGGCTCGCATCTAAAAGTTGGCGTCTATAAGTTTTCTAAAATTTGTGCAGTCTTACTAAAGTGAGGGTGAAAGTAGGTGGTGAAGATTTGGTGATATATTGGCAGACTTTTGCCAGTGACAGGCTTCTAATGAAATCCCTATGGTTTTCTGTCTACACAAGATCAGTATCTTGAAACTGATATGGATTAGAAAGTGCAGGGAATCCAATTCAATGAAACAATTTTACTTGTTCCAATCACTGTAATAAGATGATTGTTTATTTTATTCCATGAAAGTGGAAGTATAAAATAACTGAAGCTATGCACTCTTCCTACCCATGATGGTTGATAAACTAGTAAGATATGATCTTGAAAAGACTGGTCTTGATATTAACTAGGTAACAATTCACAATGTTGCAAATAACAAGTAATTTCTGACCCATTGTCCAAATTTCCCAAGATTTATCCCAAGTCTTTTTTCGTAAAAAAGACCTAAAGGAAAAGCAAAATGCTTCAACATGGATAAATTCCCAAGTCTGGCAACACTGGTTTTGAGTATACTTGGGTCATAAAAGTAAAAAAAGGATGCTTAAACTGTCTGCACACAGAAGCCAAGGGTCTAAGCCAAGTGGTGGTGTGGATAAGTTGTTAAGCCCTTAGGCCCTTGATCTGAATGTTGTGGGTTCAAGCCCCATCTAGATTATTTCCACAAGTTGCCTAGCCAGGAAGGTTTCTCTTTGGGGGGGAGGCAGACAAAGGCGAGCTGAGTGAGGGATAAATGGGAGGATGCACCCTTTGGAACACCAGAAAATGCCCTTTTAAGATTTTTTAGCCTTCTTTTGGGGGGGGGGGTGGACTTCATAATAGATCAAATTTTTCCAAAAAGATGTTTCATTCTGTTTGGTTGTTGAGAATTTATGTTATCATGATAATTTGTGATTGAAGGAGTCCGTTTGATCAAAGTCTTAGGGCTGATTTTGTCCTAGAGTTTGGCCAGTGATACCAGAACAAGCAGGCGGAGGGACATTTTCCTCTAATGCCTTTGACCAAAGAGGTAGAGAGGGGCCAAAAACTGTCCTTTTGGTGACATTGTCATGTAGCCCTGTGGTCTGGCATGTAAAGACTACTTCACAACAGGGTCCTAATAATTACCAAACAATAACTCATACATATATAAATATTTGCATATAAAAAACAATTCTTTGAGTTTTCTATGATAAATTCTTGATAGTTTGTTGAAATGCTCTTCAAGTGATAAATCTAAATCCAATTTTAGTGGTACTTGAATTTTTATACATATTTTATTAAAAAACTTCAGACTTTATGAAACCATCAGTTTTTTAGTAGAAGCAAACTTCAGGCCTGTTTATATGGGATCAGATCCGAACAGATCAGTACTCAAAGTGGTACAGATAGGCTTTGCATTTACATGGGACCTGGCAGATCTGATCCCATTTGGAGCTATCCATACCCGTTTGGGATCACTTTTAAAGATGGTCCCATTTGGATCCAATCCCAAAAATGTCTCCTGTAAACGGTTGGGATACAATCAAAACAAGTACAGATCCAAAATAAGGCAGAAGATGTCCTTTTCGAGGTACTTTGTATATTGCATTCCTTGACTTGGCGCCTAAAAGACAAGAGATTTATTGTTTCGAGTATTTCAACTTGTTTTTTTATCAGCTATCAAATCTTTTTATCAAAATGTATGCTTTTTCATAATGAATAAAGAGGTTTATAAAGGACCAAAGACCAAAGTTTTTGGTTGGACTAATGAGGAGACGGCTCTACTACTGAAAGTTATGCTGGAATATATGTAAATAAAATCCAAGGAGCATCTTATTGAAACAATAAAACAAAAATATAAAGGCAGATACAATAGCCTTCAATCGCCATACAGGATCAATTATTTTCTCCCTTCTGAGGTTCAATAATTGCCACCCAAATTTTGTTATTGGAATGAGCACACAAAACTGCGCATCTTGGATCCATATGGATCAGATACCATGTAACCACAAATATTTTCAGATTTGATCCTGTGTAAACACCCCCTCAAAAATGAGTTTGGATCCAAATGGATCCACTACTCTTTAGATCTGATCCTGTGTAAACAGGGCCTTGGTGGTGCCAAACTTAAAAGTAGATATTATTGGAAATAGTTGATATTTTGTATTTTATTGAAATTGTTATAAATCAATTTACTCTTGAATTTAATTCCTTATTATTGATCAGGAATATTCAGAAGACAGTAACTCAGAGCCTGATGTTGACTTGGAAAACCAATATTACAATTCAAAAGCACTCAAAGAAGATGATCCAAATGCAGCACTTGAAAGCTTTTCTAAGGTAATTAGAGCATTATCATCAAAACAATTTCAAACTGTTGTAGTCTACTTAATTTTATTTTTTATTTTTATATATCACAAGGAATCATTTAAATATTGCTCCGAATAAACCTTTTAATGGAGTGTTTGAATGCCTCAGTCCAATAAATGTAAAATGTTTCTGGTATCTTTGTTTACATTTGTAAACTTATCCTGTGACATCTCTAGAATAAATTGTCAATGTAAATATATATGTATTTGTATTTTTGTAAAGTTTGGTGTATCTGCTTGTGAAAACAACTTTCTGCTTTGGAAGTCAATAAAATAAACAAAATTTAACTGTATGCCTTTGCAAAAGATGTTTAAATTGTAAAGTAGTTATGAAATGACAATGTGATATTGTTCATTGAAATAAAAAGTTGCAAGACAAGCATGTATATAGATTTTCGATTTTTTCTCCTTTCAAGGTTCTTGTACTAGAGCAGGAAAAAGGTGACTGGGGTTTTAAAGCTTTGAAGCAAATGGTCAAGATTCTTTTCAAATTGGTGAGCTTTTGCTGATTGCATCTTTTAGAAATTAAATGTCACATTTTGCTTGTCATCAAGACATGTTTAATATTGTCAAGATTCTGTCAAGAACTCAATCCAGACATGTCATTTTCTTCCTATCCAAATGTTTTGCAAAGTTTTTTTGTTATCATTCTAACTTCCTGATGTGTTTGGATATTCACCACAAGGGAATTTACATTAAAAATTGATGGGTTTGAGTTTTTTGCTTTGAAGATGTTTGCACAAGATAACTTTGCAGAGGATAAGTACAAGCATTACATCAAATTGATTTGACATTATCTTCTCAACAGGGACACTACGAAAGCATGATGAAGAGATACAAAGAACTGTTATCGTATATAAAGGTAAAAATTGCTATCTAGTATTAATCTACTGGTTATATCTAATGTATATACCTACCATTATTGAACCAAGGAGTATCGTCTTTACATGCAAAGATCCTGCAAAGCACACACAGAACTACCAAGGAATGTGAGATTTCAGAGCCTGTATTTTTTATGGAATTTTGGTTGCATGAATAGTTTTCACCTTGCTGGTAAACAGTCTGCACAGAATTTTCCATCATGTATGTTGTTTAATGACTATACATTGTATGATTTATAACTTTTGTAATGTTGAATAATAAAAGAAGTGAACAATACACAACATTCAATGAATAGTAATTGCTTAAGCCAGCTGAACAATATTCTTATGATATTCTTAAAAACAGGATGATTCTGAGCCAGAAAATTTTTGCAAACTTTATTCATATTAAGAGAGGAGAGTGTGATGACAATTCAAATGTTTATAAATTTTAAGAGTGCAAAACGTAGAGACAATCTGTTAGTATCTGTCTGGTTATTTGATCCACGTATATATAATAAAGAAATTTCGAGAAAGTAATTGCTGTTTGAACCCGCATTTGTCTTCTTAACTGCAATTAGACTCTTCATGCCAGGTATATTTCCAGTTTCCGCTATATCATTTCCGTTGCACTATAATTTCCTCAAAACCGGCCTGCTCTTTTACAAGTGTATTCTCTCTCTGTCTATCAGAACAAACTATCTCTGTCTGATCTATCATTAAAGCACCTTAATATTTTCTTCTTTAAATCGTCTAGAAAGCACATTGTCATGTAGTCTATGTGTTTGTTATCCTCATCATTTAACGTACCAAAGTTTTTCGGCTACCGTATTCTCTCTTGTATTCCCGCTACGGGTTTATTGATTCAACCTCCTAATTTAATGCGGGATTATTAGAGTGGCGGGATTATTAGAGTGGCGGGATTATTAGAGAGGCGGGATTATTAGAGAGGGGGGATCAATTTTTCGACGTGCTTTTAAAAAGGGGGCTTACATGTTTATCCTGTTCTCCTGTGCTTTGCGTAGAACGTTTTCGAAAGTTGTCTGGAGAGAGGGCGCTGATTGGCTAAATCATTATTAACCCTTGCTGTCATCAAATAAGAACGACAAAACGCTACATTGAATTTCTGCAATTCATTCAAAAATCCAAGCACATTTGCATTCCATTGATTCCATTCTTTGATCAAACTCGCATGCGGGATTATCGGAAAGGCAGGATTAATATTTCAAAGTAAAGAAAGAAAGCGGGATTATAGGAGAGGTGGGGATAGTAGAGAGGGCGGGAATACAAGGGAGAATACGGTGTTTCAAACTGAGCTTCATTAGTGATTTCGCCTCAAAATCAATCATCTCTGCTTTTTATATATCTTTAAGAAATAAGCGTTGGTTTCGTATCTTTCTTGACTTCGTATCTTCTGATGAAAGCAAACATAAGGGAGAGCATAACTTACGCTGCAAGGAGTTGATTGATCGATTAATAATTTGTCTTATTTGGACGGTGGCTTTTTGAGATAGGCCAATATAGCTTTTCTCTTTTTTAATGCCTGCCGAATGGCTTATTTGTTGGATACATATGTTATTTTTGTCATTTTTATAGAGTGCAGTCACAAGAAATCATTCCGAAAAGTCCATCAATTCCATCTTGGATTTTATTTCCACTTCAAAACAGGTAGCGCTCTAATTCCACGTCTAACCTGAAATTATTAATTTTGTCATTTTTGGAAGAGTTTGCTTGAGTTAAAAGATATATTAGAGAGACTATTTATTGCTAGAAAGGGAGTCATTTATTTCAAAGATACAGAATTTGAAATATTGGGAATGCTATAGGGAGCTGTATTTGGATGTGCTTGATTAACCAGTTAAAAACGCCAATAACACTCAAAGGTTCTCTTTTTACAGTGACTTTAAAGTGCAACTAAAAATTTGTACCGTAGTTAGTTTTCTAATAAATTTAGTTTAAAGAATTACATAAAGTTTAATACATTTAGCTTTCGGTTGATGACCAGATCTCGAACGAAACCAGCAGCTACACATTTCTATTTATCAACACATGATTTGTCGTGATCTTAGATATAGAAGAAGTCTATACGTAAAGATGTTCCAAATTTATACTAATATGCCGAATATTTGTCCAATAGATGGAGCTACTGCAGGAGTTCTATGAAACAACACTGGAGGCCTTGAGGGATGCCAAAAACGACAGGCTTTGGTTCAAAACAAATTGCAAAGTAATTTTAACATGTTTGTCTATGTTAGTTTGAATGCTGCTTGATATGCCTTTAACAGTAAAGGACTGCTTTGTCATATAAATAAGGTTGTTGATATAGGCACAAACTACATGTGGGGTAAGGGGCTCAACCCCAACCCCCACCCTCTCCTAAAACAGATCAGCCAGCAACTTCTTTTGTAGAGCAGTTTTTCTAAAAACAAAAAAACACCACGACCATATTTCCTCACATTGAGAAACAGAAAATATAAGAAGATGGTTTTTGTATTCAGGCTTCTCTACCAAAGAACATTTTTAATGCATTAATCTGTCAATGGTTGAGTTCAGAGTGCATCATTAAAACTCCATGAATGATATAAACCCTATTATTTGATAATGTTTTTATTACAACTCTTGAACAACCTCTGAGAAAACAACAGCAACAAACAGTTCATGAACTCATTTACCTATTTGATGATATAAAGATTTTTATCACTTCATCGCTGTACTTCATTTTTTTCTCCAGCGAAGGTCTCTAACCGAGGAAAAAAGGAAACTTAAATATATTATGGGCTTCAAAAGGGATGATTTTAATGCAGCTTTATTTTTATGCAAGCAGTAGCTGTTGAAATTAATTACGTCTACTTTAGCCGCCCATTAAAAATTACTTTTGTAAAACAAGTCGATGTGTTTTCAACGTTTAAAATCTAAAGCCTTTGGATTTTAGTTTCTTTAAAAGCAAATACACTCGTAAATCGTTGATTAAAAATTCCTCGTACGTTTCTGTTTTGTAAAGTGCCTTTTTATTCCACATTTTTTATATGAGTTGAAAATAAGTGAATGGTATTTGAAAGACGATTCCCTACTTGACTGAGGTAGCTAAATATTTCATCGAATTAATTCCGTTCAGTTGTTTCCTTTCTCCCTCTGGTATCAAACTACAAAGGGTTGAGACAGAAACCAATGATACAAGTTTCAAGATTTTTTAAATTTTGCTAATTTTATCATTCATAGATTTTTTGCATTTCTTTGCAGTTTTTATTCGGTATTCTTGTTTAGATCTGGAAATTTATCATTTTAGCTTGGAAAACTCTATTTTGACCGAGAGGAGTACGGTAAATTGGCGAAAATAATAAAAGAATTACGAAGGTCCTGCCAGGTATGTGGTGGGTCTTGATGTCGGGTATATATTGCATATTATTCGGATTTTAGCCTTTTTATATGTCACATTAAAAAGATGCCCTGCGCATAGTACTCGGTTTCTGGATCAAAATCATTGTTAGCTGTGAACAATATTTGCTCGTAGTCTTTGCTGAGGTAAGTAGGTCCACGAAATTCTCAACTAAATTTATTATCATCTGTTTGAACAAGAAAGGCTGTTTTCCTCAGTTGACAGAAACAATTGGTCGAATTACAAAAGTTAGAGACTCCAAAGATACAGATTTAATGTACGGGCTTTTTGGGAGAATTTCAAGGGAAAGGATAATTTTCTTAGAATCAGTAAAATTTAGAATTAGAAAGAGTTGATTGTCCTATACAGTTGTACACGTATAGTATGTAACAATACTACAATATACACAAATCTGGACTAATATACCTTGGGCAGTTATTTCATGATTTTTTTTGCTTAATCAGAATATTTGTCAGTAGAATTTTTGTCGTCTGATGTTCCCATTTAATTTCAAAGTACTGAATCATTGTCACGAATTCCCGTGCTAGTCAAAGCGAGCCGATTAAACACTGTTACTAAAGAGATAATTTTGTATAGATGTTGAATGTTTTGTTCAAATTTTCGTAGACGGATGATGGTGAAGAGGATTTGAAGAAGGGAACACAGCTGCTTGAGATCTACGCTCTAGAGATTCAAATGTACACAGCCCAGGTGAGTGTTGCACAATGTATTGCGATTTATATAGATACTTTCAGCTTTGGTCTCAGTCAAACTGCTCGTTTAATCTCTCATTCTTGAACTCAAACATGCAGTACCATTATTTTAGTCACACTCAACTTACTGTCACAGCCTTTTATATTGCGAAAGAACAAATAAGAAAATCAAAGCAGCTTGTTCCTTGCTCTATGAAGAGCATTTATATTTAGAAAATGATAATAGAAACAGTCTTATATTATAGTCTTAACTTTTAAGTAGCATTAGGGCTGTAACCAAAATCTGAACCAGCCCATACACAATGATTTACTGTGAATTTGCTGTGAAATGGTCTTGTTCCTAAATGTGACTGCAAAACGAATCGTTTCAAACTGTTTTATTCAAGACATCAAAAAAATGTTTTGATGGACAAGACAAAGCTGAACAATGGATATTGTTCGTGTTACTGCGATCAAACTAGAAAAATGCAACATTTGTGTGGCTACTTTTTGAATCGGCTGAAAGCAAATTTATCGCGAGCAACGTGCTTCCATGCAATTTCTCCAAAAGCTGCCTAAATATTGTTAGTATAATCTGCTCCCACTAGCATGCCCAAACACATATCTATTATAAAATTAGTCCATCAGGCCTTCAGACTCTTTTTCCCCCCTCATCTGTCAGCCCCAACGAACAATGCCATATATGAGAGCACTTGATTAATTATAGAGATGATGTAAAAGCAGGGGGCAAATTGTATTGCCCTTTTTCCCTTTCTCCCATATTTTTATATAAAAATCCATTTTTACTGTGTTACGATGTTTTGTTGTGTTTTCCGCCCTTCTTACTCTCCCTGGGTAATTATCGAGGTGTTTCTCAAAGTGCGAACAGATTCTCTTTCTTGTATGCCTTACTTATTTTAGAAGTCTTATGATTGCGGATACTGAGGAGTTTCGTGTTCTTTGATTGTCAAGGGATCATGGGATCATATTTAATTCTACCCTCTCAGCCTTATTTAGTATGCAGATAATAGCACATATTTCGCGTCCCGGAAGCACCTAGGAACACAAGATACTTCTCAAGCTACTCCGACACCTTCGATCGTTTTGCTCTTTCTCAAACTGATTTCAAAAGTCACACTTTCTTCATTTCTCAAAATGCTCCTGTGGATTTTGACCTGATGAACAAAATGTCTTCAACCACCGAACGCTGTGCTAAAAAATTTTGCAGCTCTGTTTAAAGTAGTAAGAATCCACTGCGAATATAACTGCTCTGGTCTTCGCGTCGCTACAACTTTTTCATTGCAGTTGGATTGACAGTTTCATTCTGATGAACTTCTTAATCGCCCCGTTCTTCGCTTTTCAAAAAAATAGACCAAGGACAAAGGAATTAACTTGCTTGCAAGCGTTCCATCTTAAGTTGCTCCCGCAGACATCGTTGCGTTTTAGCTACGGTTAGGGTTGCAAAGATCCTTTCCATGTTTGAATGTGGGAAATTTTCATATGTGAAAAGAAATTTTAAAGTCACTTCATTTCTTTTTCAGAAAAACAACAAGAAATTAAAGGTAAAAAACTAAATATGCCTTATATGTTTTTTAGCAAAACCAAGCTGACTTATGTTAAGAAGATAGCTTGAACGTTTCTTTGCTATCTAATATAAGCCTTGATATCGTGCCTTAAAGTTACTTCATCACTTGTCCAACGACCTCTTCCTGCCGTTTCATTTTCTTGTGTTCTCATAGGTATACTTAAGTTGATTCATGGTAGAAATTGGGAGTGATGGTGCAGTATAGGGAGTGATATAATCCTAGTTCTTAATAGAATTGTGGGACAGAACCACAGAGGGAAGGCAAGATGGAGATATAATGCTTAATAAATTCCTCTGTTTAACGGCACTTGTCGTTCACATAGCATTGGTAGAATAATTATGAAGAGTAGATCCTGTATAATTACTACTTCTGAAGCTTGGCAGTGAAAGATATGACGTTTTAGTTATGAAACTTCCGAATTTTATGTCTCTCAGGCTTTGTCTGCATAGAGCCTTTGCAAAATTGTGGTTCTGGTAAATAATTTTGTTTTTAAGGCACTTTATGGCCAGTCGCTGCACATCAAATCTGCCATCCCTCATCCACTAATCATGGGAGTTATACGAGGTGATTCTCTTTTTTCCTCTTTTACTAATAATATCTTTTATCTTTGATGTGACGAAAACGGATAAATAAGGTTTTTTGTTCCTCAATTATTTTAATATTTGGTCCTATTCATAATTCTTTTCAAAACGCTTTTGAAAGATGCTTCCCGCTGTATTGAAATAAGATTTCAAGGTTGGAGCCATTTTACCCTTTATATGAAATTTTCAATCTCATCCTTTCTATACTGTCCTTTGCATGCATTTTCTTCACTGCTTCTGGAAATTTAGGTAGAAATTTTGGTATGAATCATGCAGAGGATACCTTACCAAGTTTCTTTCTATGGTTCCTCATATAATCGATAAACAGATCTTTAAAATTGTTTTTTGTTAATTGATTTTGCTTGATTCCTGCTATTTCAGAATGCGGTGGAAAAATGCATCTTAGAGAGGAAGAATTTGACAAAGCAGCGACGGATTTTTTTGAGGTATGCTTTTTCTTTGTTTTCCTCTTTGCCGCAAATCGTTGTAGAAGAATTTAAAATCAGCAGGTTGACGCAGCCAAACCTTTTGGAAAGACAATTTCTCCATTAAAATAATCACGCTATTTAAGCGCTGTTCAACAGCTTTCTAGCATGCAACGTACCTACATAGAACACTTTTATGCTGTTTTATTTCCAGGCATTTAAAAACTATGATGAAAGTGGAAGCCCAAGGTATTTTTGCCTTTCTTCTTCCTCTTGATGTTAATTTCTTAATAACGAGCCAATGATGTTTAGAGACAATGAACTTCTGTCTGTACAATATATTGCTGGATTTTGTTTCTGTAACTAGTTCAGTTGATGATCATGTTTTGGGACTTCTTTGTTTTATAAATCTTTAGAACTTTCACTGGCTCGTATAAGATTTTCCAATTTTCTCGCTTTTTAATTGTTTTTCAAACTCTCTCAACAATATTTCGTTACTTGAGAACGTATCCAAAACGAAACATGAAATAGAACAGAGTGTTTTACAAATGGTTTATAAGGTTTGGCATAAGTCTTTTACCGGGCACTCTTGATTGTTGTATACAATGTGGATCGCTTTCTTTATACAGTATACAGTATACTGTGCTCAATCTTCTTTAAATATTTGCTTAATATATTACACTCAGTGGTGAACACTTGGGGAGGGTGAGGATTGGGGGGGTGAGGATTGGGGGGGGTGAGGAGGCGACCGCCCCCCAATATTTTAGAGGACAATGGTATTTTGTTCTTAAACAATGGGAAATGATGTCATCTTATTAAAACAATAGGCTTGCCCCCCCCCCCAATATTTGACCAAGTGTCTGCCCCGGATTACACTGCTTGTCAATCAGAACTTTAAAGGTGATAAGTCTCCTTTTCCGGGAAGCTTTCATTGTCCTACTTGCAAACAAAGAGTCCGGGCCTGTCCGGGAGTTGAACCCGGGACCTCTCGCACCCTAAGCGAGAATCATACCACTAGACCAACAGGCCAGCTATCCTCCCTTCATATTCAATGTGAGATGGATATAAAGATACTGGTACCCGTATCTCGGCGACCTGTACCCGTCACACATGAAGTATATACATGCTAAGGTGTCCCCATAGCTATGCATTTGAAGCTCCAGTTAATTTTTAGTGCAAATAGTATCACAATCTTTAAATATTATAATCAGCTTGCTAGGCCGATTATGATTGGAAAATGGTATCGTAGAGAATTCTTGAAAAAAATTTTAATTGTCAGGCTACCTGGCCGGGTCAAAGCCAAGCGTTTACATAAAGTGGTTAATGTGCGAACAGTTAAATGTGTTTGGAGACATTAAAAGGTGTTCACTACAATCCCTTTCTTGAATCTCTTTTTTATTTTACAGGAGAATAACATGTTTAAAGTATCTCGTACTAGCATACATGCTTATGAAGTCAAACATTAACCCATTCGACTCTCAAGAGGTAAAATATCACCTATATCTAATCAATCGCTCGAATCATTCAGGATATGTTTGCTATCCATGCTTAAATGATTAATCAGTTTTGCAACGATCATTGATCACATTACCTTGAGGTGTCAGAATCAAAGAAGTGATTTAAGTTACCTTGATTTTTTGTGATTAAATCCGATTTGTTCGAATATACCGTTAGTTTTTTTAATAGAAAAGTATTCTATTGAGACTGAAAAAGACTTGTTCTAAATTTTTGTTACTTTTTAAATGCAATCTAAAGCATGTGAACAGATGGTTGAATGTTGTCGGGGAAATTGCATTGTCTATGAATGTATGAACCTCATCGACTGTGTCTCATAGACCATTCACTTCAAAGTTGTATGCTTTTTCAAGGCAAAACCTTACAAGAATGATCCTGAGATCTTAGCAATGACCAATCTGGTTAGGTAAGAATTCACTTTTATTTAATTCGAGACAATGTTGCAATCAAGTAAATTTTTTCTTGAAAGATTATCTGATATACAGGAACAAAGCAATACAACGATGAGAATCCAATGTTTTCTTGTTTCATCAATCCTTTAATTATCTTGGCACTATGAACTTTTGACGAATCGGTAACATCTTCTCTAAATATAACAAGAAGTTTGCTTTATGTTTGGCGGTCCTGCAAGATAGCTGACCTGCCATGAATCTTCTATTAATGGTCACGTCTAAATAACAGACACTTTCGTGCAACGGACAATTGAATATGTTCCAGAAGCCCCATATCCTGGTCGGTGACTCATATATGCAGTCTTCAGACAACAGATCTTCCCTTAAGATATCTCTCAACTGGCCCCATTCTTTGGCCTTTGTACTGATAGAAAGGGGCACTTGATAATATTTAGATTTTTAAAGTCCCCTCTACATTTTGTTTGAACTACTGATTGTTAAAGTTTCATGTATCTGTATTTGTAGGTAGACTTACAATTGGTTTTTAATCGAAAATTTTGCATCATTTTGCTTCTCGTGATAAAATACTCTTACAAGAATTTGAATATTGGCTTTCAAATTTTAACATGAAAAATGATTTTGAATTGTTTTAATTAACGGTTCAGTAGTATTCAACATACTACTTCCAAAGCGAAATAGGTTTTCGAGAATCAGCCAAGACTATTTTTTGTATATCCTACCAACAAGAGGTTTTTTCGTCGTGCAATTCCATACATTTCAGAAACTTTCTCTTGCTTTTTTATACTTTCCAAAGAGCACTTTAATAATTGTCGTCAAAATTATTAGCTCTGTTTGAAATCATGTCGTTTGCTAGGATTAATAGCAAAGATTACTGGATATTTGAAGCTAGTTAAGGCTATTGCAGTGTATCTACCTTTCAATGCATCTTTTGCGTAAATCTTATTTTCTGTTTTAAATTTGCATTTTAAGTTAGTTTCCTTATGGGCCTTTTTGTAGGATATGAATTGTTGTGAAGCTAAACAACTCAGTTGTATGACTTTATCATTGAAAAGAAACGTTTTTTATGAAGCTATCATTCAAAAATTTAATCGTTTTCTTTGCCGTAGTGCTTACCAGAATAATGATATTACTGAATTTGAGAAGATATTGAAGACTAACAGGTAAAGTATTTTTCCAAATGTATTTTGTCGCAAAATGATTTAAGTAGAAATACTAAACTTTTGGATAATTTTTCCTTGTATTTACCTAAGAAGGTAGTATAATAAAGCTGAGTTTTCAATTAATTTTTCTTATATATATTCGACTTCAACATTTTCGTTTTAATCTTATTTTGATTCTACTTTCATTATTAAGCTGTGTGCAAAAGTTTGTCAAGCGATATTCGATCTGTTATATATTTATATATATATATTTATTCAAAAGAACAAGTAGACCAGGGATAATCAAAGGCCAAGAAAGTTTGCACAAATGATTCTCAGCTATCGACTCAATTTCATTGTAAAGTAATAAATTTAACATCACAGTATTAAGTCAAAACATTTCAAAATAGCATGGAGTAGCATAGCATACTAAATTACTTTTACGGAAAATGATTTTAATGTTGTCGAAGTCTGGACCATTTGACATCTTTGAGTAAATCTCAACATGTGACCGAGTTGACGTTCAACCAGTCATGTTGCTTGGACTCAGCAATGAATTACTTTCTGTTTTAATAAACTGATTTGTATCTCAACAATACAAATTTAGGCATTCAGATTGTTGCAAGTACATCATGGCTATTGTTTTTTGGAAACAATTTTTTCCTTGTGCTCAGGGAATATGCTGTGTAAAACTATCGACTTATAGCTGGCTAGTGCGTCCTACATACCGAGCTACTTATTTGAACGATAATATTCTCCTCCACCCCTTTCTCTTGCTCTATATTAATCGTTTAAACTAATTACTGTTTGTTTCTGCAAAGTATATTAGTGCTGTTCAGTATCGTCAAACTGTGATCCATTTTTTCTCTTTAATACCAGAAAACAGTTCTACTTTTTGATTTTCTTGTCGACAAGATGTGTAAAAAACTCTTCTTTCTTTTAGAAAAAATATAATGGATGACACTTTTATTCGCGAACATCTTGAGGGTATGTTGTTGGGATTATTTGAGTTCAAACATTTCTGATTGCGACAAATCTCACCTGCTCATTTTTATTGTAGAATAAGAGTAGTAACTTCCAGGGAGGTGCTTTAGGATTGTAAAGAATTACGTTTCTTCGAAATGTCTTCAGAAATAGATCAAACTTTTGAAGGGGATCCTGAATTTACAACTGCTAGCTTCATTCTCTTTCAACCACTTTACTTTTATTTCACGCGTAATTTTGTCATGATAGCCCATTTTATTTCAAGTATTTAATAGTTTTTTCAAGAGAGCCGTTTTCTGTTGTGGTCATAGTATTACTGCTTCCACTTCGTCATTAGTCTTATAAAAAACAAATGATCTTTTTAGAGGGTTGGTTTTTAATTTTACCTAATGCTATTTCAATAGGTCCTCAAACGTCCAAAGAAATCATACCAACGACTTAAAATTTATATTTAGACCAAATCTTTTAAATTTTCATACAGATTTGCTCAGAAATATACGTACTCAAGTTCTTATTAAACTCATCAGGTGAGTGTGCTTTCAGCTATCATTGATGGTTATATATATACTGCAGTAATTACAAGCCACCTCGAGTTCATAAAAGCAGTTTATTAAAGCCACCAGTTACTCAGCTTCTGGCTAGGCTACCAGAGCAAGGCACAGTCATGTTGTTTGTAGATTAAATTCTCTTCACCATCTTGTAATTTTGCCGGATTGTGAAATTATGGTTTATATCAACAATGAAAGGCTCCGAGATCCAGCTTTTCTAATAAAGTGGTTGTTAATTGACTTCTCTCAAAGCCCCAATCTTTGACCTCACCGGCCTATTTCATTAAGCTGCAGAATTCTCTGCCGTAGCGGATCTTTCTCACAATAAAATTAAGGTTTATATGCCTTCAAGCTAATTTCTCAACCCAATGGTATCTTTAGTCTCAAAAGGAACGATGAGAACATTTCTATTGATTCAAGTTGGGATTGGCGTTTTGATTCTATTACGGTGGTCGTCCTTCTTTGTCCAGAAAAACCAAAATCTTAAATGAGAGCTAAAAAGATCACTATATCACACGTTTGTCAAGTTGTTAAAAGGTTTCGAAGGACCTGATGTGCCAACATTGAGATTCGTGTCTGGCAGGGGCCTTTTTCTGTTTCTTTGTAGCAAGAGTAGAATATCATAGTCAATAGAAACAACCCTATATTTTTATTGACTATGAGAATATGAATTACAGTGGGTTTTATCATTGTTTGGTTGTGCTGCAACTTGTCATGTAACAAGAAGCATCGCTCAATGGATAATTTGCTTTTCTTTCCCTCTCATGGCTAAATCCTTATGAAAAAGTAACCCCAGCCCGGCCCAAGGTACCATTTATTCCAAGTTCCTGTATGGCCAAAGTACCATTTATACCAAGTTCCTGTATTTCAATAGTTTTTTACATGTTGTATGAATAGATTATACATCAGTAGCTGTACCTGTGAATCAAAGTGTTAATTCTTCCTTGAACTATTTACCAGACACTCGACACCTTGGCAAACTTCTTTCCTACTTCATTCGTCTTTCAACGCTTATCAATTGTTAATACACATGGTACATATTTCCACTGGTTTCTGGATCAAAAACTCCAGTTTTTGAGAGATAAATATTATCATTACTATCTGCGAATCAAGAGTTAGCAAACAGAGCCAGCATTTCTCTGCTTGCTGATGTCGACCCCTGCTTAGACCCAACAGCGGCTTTACCGAAGCAAAATGTGCACAATAAAGGCGCTTTCCTTATCTGCTCACTCAATATTTGCATCGATAAGGGTTCATTTCTGTCTTTCATATTCCGCACTGTCTTTTAAAAACCAATGCCGCTTTAGTGTTTGCTTGGAGCTATTAGAAAATTGTCCCCAATGTCTCGTCTTGCCGTCTTAGCGTGAAGTACCTTAACGATCTTCTTCCAAACCTTGATTGTTATGTAGACCCGTTTATCATTGTGGAAGCAGAACAAATCAAGTATATGATATGGATTTGAATTTCGCTGTATTACCTAGCTTTTTGGGAAGATTGCATGTCTGAAAGAATTTCCACAATGACCTTTAGCAATGACCAAATTAGCAAATGCGCGAAGCAGCTCATATCATAAAATGCTTAGTACTTACTTGAAATAAATTTAAAAAGAGGTTCTTAACGTGTCACTTTGTACCTGAAAAATTAAATACTTACTTTATATGTAAATTGGTTTATATTTATCGACTAACAAAATATTGTACTACATTGACTATTTAAGCCTACTTGCTTGAAGTTTACATAAACCTGTCAATTCTTAACTGTGCGGTTTGTAACCAGCAGGTTTTTTTCAGGCCCTATACAAAGATTCATATACCGTTCATTTCAAAGGTAAAGTTATTGCACACTCTGTGACTTAGTTCAACATTACAAAAGCATCTAAACCAATTTTATTTTCTATCATTACTCAAGCACTTTGACAGCCCTTTTATGTTCAAATATGTTTTGCCAAATGAAGGATTTCATGAAATTAGTAATTCCAGCAGCCTTTATCACAACTAGAAAAAAAAATTGCAAAGTTTATGTTTCAGTTTATTCAGATCCTGTTGTGAATTGAAAATATTTGAAATTGAGTTTATATAATATTCGATTTGAGATTGATATATATATATTTCTCTGAAAATGATGTTTCTGTTTCATTGCAAGTTTTGGTTTGCTGCAATTTTTTAGGTGTCGGTATTCAGTGCCCAGTGCAACTAGGATATTTTTTAACAGTACTTCGTTTTTTCCTAATGGATTGCTCAATTGTTAGAACGTGGCCAAACAAATCGAACAAAGCTCAGAGCATTTCAACTTGCTCGTTTATTTCTGTTAGACCTCCGTTAATAGGACTCATTTTTGAATTTACCTTCGCAGGAGCTCAACATTGACACAGATGAAGTTGAGAGCCTGCTAGTCCAATGTATCTTAGATAGGTAGGTATTATATTATACATCAAGGCTTACCACATTCTATATTGTATTCCTACCCTCTCTAATATTCCCGCCCTCTCTAATAATCCCGCCTTTGTTCTATACATTGAAAAATTGATCCCCCCCTCTAATAATCCAGCCTATCTAATAATCCCGCCTCTCTAATAATCCCGCCTCTCTAATAATCCTGCATTAAATTAGGAGGTTTAATCAATAAACCCGCAGCGGGACTACAAGAGAGTATACGGTATTCATTATTTATTCAAGGCGTTCTCATTAGTCTCGAAGGTTCCTATAGTTTTTCTAATGAAACCGAAAGTCTGTCATCATTTCTGTCAATATTTTGTTTACCAAGTCATATCTCCAATCTTAGGTTTGTTATACTAAAGAAATTATCAAAATCTTACAGATAATTAACCAACATTAAGTAACAAACAGGAGTCATAGAGTATGAATTATAAAACTACAAGATATTACAAAATAAGTTAACTGTTTCTGCCATCTTAATTATTAGCTCTAGTTGTTACAAATTATGAATCAGCAGTCTTTCTCACTATCCTGGAGGCAATCATTGATGTTTTAGCTTTTGTGAAGGATTTTTTTATTATTATTATTATTGTTATTATTGATAGGAAAATTTACAAAAGAAATTTACGATACATCCGTAATTTTAATTGCAACAGGTTATGGCATGGTATTTTTCGCAGAGAACTAATAATTGCAAAAAAATTGTACGTTACTCATAATCATGAATGCTTATAGCTGTGAAACAATTTATTGCTGTTATCATATTTTCATAAATCGCTATATTATTATTTCTGTCCAGTTCGATTATTCTACGTTTAAAGTAGTTGTGTGTGATTTTATAAATCATTTCTTAATTTTTTTGTTACGTTTTGGTACATGATTGCAAAATGTGCATCCCCCCCCGAAATTTTTAGTATTTCTCATCAAGGCTTTTGTTTTGATTATGGAAATACTTGGCGTTCTGTGAATTAAGTTTTTACAAATGCAAAAAAGAATTTCAAAAATTAAATTTTTCTGGTATCTGTCCACTTAGACAACATCTGCTTAACAAAGTGATAGGGACGCTAACCCTGTCTTGATGTTCTGTTTTAGCACTATTCAAGGTAGGATCGACCAAGTCAACCAGCTACTTGAAATAGACCAGACAGCAATAGGATCTGCAAGGTGAGACATAGCCCTCCTTTGCTTTGCACATTGAGTATTTCTGTAAAGAAAATCATAACACAAATTTCTTGGAACAGAGTTTCCAAGAACAGTTTTCTCGTCACAAGGAAGCAGTTCGAAAGTTTGTTCTTTCCTGCTTTACTCAAAATCTGTATAACATCATAATTTGTCAATGTTGTAATTCGCCTTTGTGAAAATGGATTGCACAGTGTTAGCTCTGTTTATGTGAGCAAAGTCACCATGCCTTCGAGCCTATGAGATGAGATCTGACCTTCACTTAGAAAACACTCTAGCCTGTATTCATTTCAAAAACATGCTATCCGTGACAAAAGAGATGCTGAACTAAGCTTGCCGGATCTCATCTCTTGGGATGATATAATCCCACGTAAACAGAAAACTGGCTGGAAGGTGGGATAAAATTCTTATATATCCGCAAGTTTTGGCATTCCGTGAAGAAAAAATGGCGTGTTGTAGTATCAGAGGGAAGGAATTCATAGCTATCTGTTTGATCCTATTCACCATTTCCTTGAAAACCCTATTGATGATATAATTTGTTCTTCCATTTTCCAATAGATATACTGCGCTGGATAAACTAACAACGCAGTTGCATTCTCTCCACGTTGCTGTTTGTAACAAGATATCATGAATTGCTTAGCAAAATGAGAAGCTAATTTCCATGCCAGGTAAACCAAACAAACAAGCGTTGATAAGAAGAGAAATCGACTTTTGCTTACCTTAATTGTTAGTTTTATGCTGCCCGTTATTTTGCTGCCTTGTCACTGGGAGAGGTAAGCGAAAACTAGTATCTATTGAAAGTCGTTCTAATTATCATTGTCAACATCCTTTTGTGCATCATATTTGAAGTCGACCTGAAAGACTCTATGCTTAAAGTAACGAGAATTCTTATCAGAATCTTTGCAATATGTTTTTTATGTTTCGGCTTAATACCTTGTGTTCGAATGTCGTTCTCCTGCCAGGTATTCAAAGCTCTTGAGCCTCTGGTCCTTCTTGTCACATTTGTTGGTGATTCAAAGAGAGTACTCAAATAAAGGCACGGGTATTTTTTCATGCCATTCTCCTTGTACAACAGTAGTTTCCAACGAAAAGTTGATGTGTTCTTTATTAAGAGCTTGATAAAGTAAAAAATTAGTCATGTTGACAAAGCCATCATTTCAAGCACCGCTTTTATCAGTCGAACGGTCTTACCCTAAAAAAGATCACATCAAGTCTTCTTTTGGGAAACTTCGTAATTAAACGTTCATAAAATGGCCACTCTTTTTAATTGCAGACTATCAAACTTATAGCAAATAATATAAAGAATGGTTTCAATCTAACTCATAATGTGTTGTTCTCATTTCCTTCTACATTTCGAAAAAAATGAAAAAAATCGAAAATTTTAAGATAGACAAGCCAGCTCCCTCGTAAGCAAAAATTTTTTTATTATAAAGATAAGATGAAAGCTTTTTCCTACCAGGTTGTCATAAAAGAAGTCCTTCAAGGGTTTTAGTTGTAATTTCTCTTTCTTTCTCTCTTCCGCAACCGTTTTTCTCCTCATTACCTACTAGCCCACTGCGAGAGGCTTTGAGGTTTTGAAAAATGGGTTTTGATTACATCCGGGCAAATCAAACGACTGTAAAAGATTTCTACCTTGCAGAGACGTTTTCATATGAAATACGAGAACTACTGAAATTTTACATGATAAAGTAAAAAGCAAGATAAAATGTTGAATTCATCTTGCTACAAGTAATCAATGAAAGGCACACAGAGCTAGTTATCTTGCGGATCAAAAAATTCTTATACTAAGTATTTTTGTACTTGTAAGAAAAATGAAATCTTTTGACAGAAGTTGTCTTCGTTAACAACCCCCTCCCCCAAATAGACTTTAACGACGCCCCTTCAACAGTATCTGTTATTGGGTAGAAATGGTACAATCATAGACCCATCTCTCCTGTGCAAGTCTCTCCATAATTCAGTCTAAGAATTTTCGCTTAAATCTAGTCTCAGAGATATTTTTCTTCCTCGCCAATGTATCTGTCTACAAACATATCTCCGGCTTTTTTGAGCTGCAGTACTCAGAGGAAATCTCGTAACATAAGTGCTCTCTTGTTGTACGTAGCAAAACAAAGATGAAAAATGTCACTGACGATACATTAATACGTAAAACACAAATCTCCTTTAAATTCAGGGATTCGCACCTTTTCGTGTATTATGAATTTACATTTGCACACTAATGAAAATATTTTGTTAGGATATTGAAGTCGTTACTAAAACCTCAAGTGCTGTTGTTGGGGGTCACTTGCTTCCGAAGCTATATTAATGTTTACAACAACTAGGCATCTTAATTTATTGATATCACAAATATATATATATATATGTTTATATATTTAAGCAGTTTAACATCAATGTTTTGAGCTTCCCGCGAGTATCAGTGTGTTCACTACCAAGACCTCATGAGCAAATACACTCTTTTCTATAAGAACAATTTTATAAGAACACGAGCCTCAAAATTGGTCAAAAGTTAAGAACAAATTAAGAACAAGCTGAGGCCGAGCTTCTGGAAAATGCAATTTTGAACAACGCTCTTTCTCAAAATTGAGGATTTTTAGCTATGTGTGGGTGATTTTTCGGTGAATATGCAAATTTGTCAGCAAATTAAGGCTCTCTCACTCAATTTGTTGGCAAATGAGGCCTGTACACCACCCTAGAGCGAAAAAGCTAGCACTCGCACTGTTTACACCCTATTAGATTAAGAACAAATTAAGAACAATCAAGCCTCAGATTTTCGAAAAAAAATCAAGAACAGTCAGCCCGAACTTAAATTAACTGGTTCCTATAAAAAAAGAGTGTATTGTTTTAAATCTTTCGTACATCTCTGCCTGAATATCCTACCCGCGATCTTACCCACACAAAGTCACGGGCTTTCTTCGTTACAAAGTATTGCTTGATAGTTACTGCCATTCCAAGCATATGATGAAACGATACCGAATTGCTTGTTTTGAGTTCTTTTACTTTCTGGCGTCTTTTCCATGGCCAGCTCTTTATTTGTCAATCTTGAGATTAGTTCTTCCATGCTCTTTTTAGAAATTGTTACCTTATTCTTCTTTGGTTCCTTTGTTCCATTTTGAGTCTTCGAGGAGGACAGCCGTTCAACAATTCTATCAATATCCAACTGCCCCAGTTTTTCTCCCCTATTAACAGGTGGCGGTGACGGCTCGTTCTTCTGCGTTGAAAGGCGTTCAAAGATTTGATCAATATCATCGTTGCTTAGGCCCGTTATCGTTCTTTTTTTGAATGCTGCCTGAGGGGAGTTGATCTTTTTAGGAGCAGCAAGCCGCTCGACCAGCTGTTCGGCTTCTATTTTGGTTAAGCTGCGTCCATTGTTTTTGTTCTTCTCTCCAGCCTTCGTCGATGGCTCTTTTTGTCGGCTTAATCGAGAAACCAGACCCTCTATTTCAGATGCAGTAAGTGTTTTCTCTGAGGCCATTTTCAAACGAATCTTTGCAAGCAGAACTACCAATAAAGACACCTAACGTATCCATATATCACATTTGACAAGGTTATGGTTCGCTGGTCAACTAAAATCTCACCTTTTTCAATCGACAGCTCTTCCAAGATCTGCACCACTCAAGAGATATCCCAAAGCACTTCAGCATTATAGCTTGTGGTGTGTTGACATAGCTACTACCCGTAAATTAATCCCATAATTTCTATTGTAAAGTATTTGTAAAGCAAAGGGAACATCACATAAAGACAATGGAGATCAGCTTCTGTTATGGTATGTTTCTATGTAGTGAGAACAAAGGAAAACTAAAATACAATGAATCCATTGTTTTGGTTTGAATGATAGAACAACGTGACAGGATGATACCGAATACGCTCCTGTGCGGCGCTTGCGCAACAATTTAGGGTGGCGCAAATTTCTTCGAAGGGAAACTCCTCTTGTCTTCAAATTACATTTTCTTTCACAAGATCTGACCAGAGCTTAAAAGGGAATTGTTTGGTTTACTTACAAAATGCCAACATTTACATTTGACAAAAACTTCGTTTAAGTTTACAGTGGAAAATTTTTTGGCAGGAAGTACGAGAGAAAAAGTGGTCAACGGACGCGAAGTTCATGTTTGCACTTGCTTGTCAGATATAAAAACGCCTTCTTGTCCAAGTTTCAAGCGAAGTAAAATTGTTCGTAGAAGAAACAGAACCTTTTCCCGCTGAAAATTGGGTGAGATAACCATCTCGGTTGGACCCAGTATACACTTTCTCAGCTTGACGCCTCTCCGCCTCTCCTCCTCTCCGCCTCTCCACTCCTCTCTACTATATCTGCGCATGAACTTATTTGGCTCTGGTATCCAGGGTAAGTGTTAGGTAGCCCATCTCAACAAATGGACTTCAAAGTGTCTTTTTCTGTCGGGTATACGCTAGGATATTGCATTCTTCTTTGACTGCACGTGTGCTCTTCAGTGGCGGCCTGGCCCTTTTCGCCTAGGAGGGGGGGGGAGGGCAGCATCAAAATGTGGTCGCAAAAATTTTGTTTTCCCGAATACAACTGCTTCCGTCCACCTTCCCCTCCAAAACAATGTTGAAAGTATAGAAAAATATCATACAAGGCACAGGAAAAAGCGTGCTTCATAACCCCTTTCTAGAGTTACATAATGTGTTTCTGAAGGAAGATGGACATTGCAATCTTTGCGAAAAAAATTCTTCATGGCGCATTGAGGCATTTTATTTGGAAACAAAACTAGTGGAAGAATCAATTTGGCTACTTTTGGCAACAAAATTCATGTTTTTGTGTTGATATTACAAAGATTGTATAATTTTACAGAAAATTCCATGGTTTTTTATTCATGTCATAATTTTATACATATCTTATATTTATATACATATATACTTTAATTTTTTAGTTTCACTGTAGTATATCAAATTTTATCACCCTTATTCATCTACCAAATTGCCAGATTTTGTGAATTTGAATTCAAACGATAACCAAACGTTCTCTTGTTTCAACGACCAATTCAGTTAGGTGTCCTGTTCTGTGACTACACAAGACTTGCAGCTGCAAATGAAATTCGTTGTAACGTAACGTGCTATGCAACTTTCTACATTCGCAAAGTCTTTCGCGTTTGTTCATTCCAACCATCAGGTCTATTTGTGACATTCTGCTTTCCTTATAAGAGCTTGAGTTGTGTATTGAAATACTGGATGTTTCTAACAGTTAAATGGAGGAACGTACCAGAAAGCAAGGCTGGAGAGCAAAGATTCGCATAACCAGGTCACTGTGAATACAAAGATGTCAAACATCTGTTCGCCAGCTTCAGATTCCCTGCATTTCACATTAATCTTTCCTTTGTACGGAGAATGTCTGCTCGTTAGCCATTTTATTTGCCCTAACTTGCGCTGTACGTTTAACTGTGAATAAAAAGATAGGAAAATGTTAGTTAGATAGAACCTTTCTGACTATTTTACTTCTTAACCTCCGGAAAACTGTTTAAATCTACTTCAGCCATCCAGGAAATTTTCTTCAGCCATCCAGGAAATTTTCAGTTGTCAGTTTGTTAGTATTGCTTTCTGTATGTTTAGGCCCTTTTCATTTTGACTCCATACATCGCGCTTCGTTTTGGGGACAGGTGTAACGGGGATAAAGATGGAGGAGAGTCTGCAGCGATGATCTTTGAGCACTTGCGACAAAGAAGATGGAATTCCCGTTGCTTAGCGGGATATCGCGTTTATTTCTCGTAGGATGATAAACTCGAACTGTTCTTTTGTCAATATGCGAGTATCGTTTCTTTTTCAATCCCCGAGAACTGAAGCACCTGCACATAAAGTATCTTAATCACAATGACCTGGTTGGATTAAAGTCGCGAGACGATTTTTAGCATCTGCTTTTGGAAACGTCACTGCAAGTATACCAGAGTTCAGCTCTAATCAAAGTGAATTTTCCTGCACAAACTACTTCGGTGGTTTAGCCACTGCACGCCAGGTTTGCCGTCCACTACGTCACTGGTCAGCCAATTTGACAGGTTTTACCTCGATGATGAAATTATGCTGGTAATGAATCCTGAGGTTTTGATTTTTTGATGTCGACTCGCTGAAATTCAGGAAATTGTGCATTTTACTCCGCATTGTAACCAGAGAATGCAGTAGGATTTTCTGTGCTAATTCTAAGAAGATTTCCGTACGTCACGCTGAAAGCTGTCAAGATATTTTGCAAGGTGCGTTGCTCTATTTACATGTCATTCTATTAGCTGCAGCCTGCATTCAAGCATTGTCTTGTTTTTCTTAGCAGAAACAAATTTTGTGGCATATTCATTGTGGCTCCTGCGTTATTTTTATTGTTATCACTGTGTTTATGATTGTTGAATAAAGATGCAATCGGTTATAATTTGGAGTTGTTTAGTTAGTCCTTCCAAGCACAGTACTTTATGTTCTCGTTCTTGTAATGTGTGTTTTGAAAAGTATTGTTGAACTTTATAGTTTTGATTTTTTGCATAAAAAACAAGATAGCTTTGATGGCAGCACTAAATTTATAAAGATTTCTTTTATTTCCATTTTTTTTTATTCTTTGAATTTTATAGTTTATTTCGATCAAATGTTTAAGGCTTTTAAGATATTGTAGGAGATGGCCAAGTAGCCATTTGAAAAATGCTCAATTCCCGTTGTTTCTTTTTCCAATTGTCACCTTAGCAAATATTTTTTGCCTAAATTTGCTGCACATTTTGCTGCTCTTTATCGGATCGTGTGAAATAAAAACAATTACTGTTGCCTATGACAAAAACAATTACTTGACTCAGATTTAGAAGAATTTTTTGCTAAAATATTAAAGCAAGACTGTATTTTATACCATAAGAAGTATATGTATGACCATCCCTTGTAGGTATAATATTTCTTGTAATTCTCTCCTCAATTGAAATAATTTTCAACTGTGTTAAATTGATTTGCACATTCTCTGCTCCTTTAATACCTTTTTTACCTGAAACTTGATTTGTATTTTATATGTGCAGTATTTCCCAGATCAGCCCAAGGTAACTGCTCAAAATGTTGGTTTTGTTTCATTTATGCTACGTCTTGCAGAAAAACATAAAATGAATGTAGAATACTTCTTAATATCTTATCTCCTTTTTAGCACGCAGTTGCTCTACATAAAAAGACAGAATAGTTTTAGCAGTATTTTTATAATGATATGTACCGGAAAAATGCAGTGCTCAATGTCAAGGCAACATACAAATATATTTTGATATGATTTCGATAATTTTTCTTTGCTCTCTTCTTTCAAGCTACATACAAGAAAATGGATGATTCATACTGTTAGTGGGTTTAAGTCTAGCATTCGTGACGAAGTGACATTTGCAAATACTAGTGACTAAAGGAAAAGCAAAAGTAATTTCAAAGTTTGACAGCAATGGAGAGAGACGCTCGAGAGCTTGGCTGTCAAATGAGCCATTGCCACCTGCTGCATAATCACATTAACAGCCATGGTCACATCTGCTCTGCAAGTCCATTTGGGTCAATAAATTCGCCAGAATACGGCTATTGGCTGTCGTCAATGGCCTACGCCAACGAACTCTTCAGCCATGGGCCATATGAACACTGTTTTCCTCGGCAGTGCTTAAATCGCGAGAGCAGTCGCACTGCCTCGCTGCGGCACTTATCTGTTTCGAACGGAATCAGGAATCTTTGCACGGACAGAGGCGAGGCAGAAACATGGCCCACTTCTCCTTTGTTGCCTGCTCAAGGCTGTCGGCTAGGCCATCATGAAAGCAGCAGAATGCATAATTTTGAATTTTGCTCTTCCCATAGTAATAATGTATTACGTGGTACATACATGCATGATTTCCACGAAATGCGTAGCCAAGTTTACACAGATTCGACGCACGGCGAAACTGTGTTTGAGTTATCGCGTCATCGGATGCTGGGAAGGCGCAATTCCATTTGGAAGTCACAAATAAAAAGGAATGACGTTCTTCCGGAAAACGATGTCAATTTTGAGGACACAGAGGTAGATAGCATGCAGTATTATTCGGATTTGAATATAACATCGACACTTTGTGGATTAGAAGAAGTTTTAACACGATTAATATGGAATTTGAATTAGGTGAACAAAATCAGTTACGCATTCCGGGTCAGTAGATTAGCTATATCGGTCAAGCGATACCAGTGCAGCATATTTGGTACTCTCAAATTTTAAGAAACCACCTTGCTATAAAACTTGTTTCATGGTTCTCAAGAGAACTGCGATATCAAAAGGTACTTCCAGAACTTTATACTTCAGGCCAGGAAAGTACCTAAACATCTGCACTGATTCGTGTAGTTTAAACTCAGATTAAAGATAAAGGTGTTCTGGAAATTTACTCTTTGGCGTATACAGTATAACCCGGTTATAACGTACTTTAAGGGACCAGTGTATTAAGTACGTTATAAGCAAAGTATGTTGTAACGAGGGTAAGTAAAAATTGACTAAAACCAAGCACACCTTTTGCCGCGACCAAGCACACCTTTTGCCGGGACCAAGCACACCAGTACGTTATATCCGAAAGTACGTAATAACCGAGTACGTTATAAGGGGATTCTACTGTAAAGCTAACTAGTGACAGGGGTCCCTTAAATTTTTAATGGCAATTTAAGTGTCTTTCCTTTCAATAGTTTATTATTAATGGGCAATTTCCAGCCCTTTTTGCTTGCTTTGCTATCAAGCTCTTTTAATTAAAAAAAATATCTTTAGGACAAAAATTATCAAATATTATCTAGTTCTTGACAGAATTGTACTTGGAGAATATTTTTGTGAAATTATGATTAAAAAAGCCAGTCAATAAATAAACAATATTGAAATATTTTTACAGAACTTTTCTTTACAAAAAGGCTCTTAATTCCGATTTAATTGAAGAGATTTCAAGGAAATGCTTCTATTATTTCTCATAGCCTGTTTCTTAGAAAAATTTGGGATCGAGCATAAGTTTTTGCCATTAAAAGTATTTAACTGAGAATTGATTGGTAATTTTTCAAATTGACAATTCTTGTGATTGCTATGGAAATAGTTGCATAGTAATGGGGAAATCAATGTTTCGACAAGTGTTGCTCATCGAATGAGGTGGGTAGTTGATACGTCTTTTAAAGTAGACGAGAACTAATTTAAATGGGGTATTATTCTGACATCGTCAAAATTAGTCATTAAAGGGAATTAACTGCTTAGAGCAGTTTGCTAATGTGTTTTGAACACAGGTTTACAATTTGTCATTTAATTTCCGGTAAGCATTATAGCCTTCTCGTCTGATTTCGGATAAGGGTAATAATTCAATGTGTCTTTATTGTTTACAATTGACTTATAAGTCAGAATTTTTATTGCAGAGAAGAAATATTTCTATGTGATATCTGCATTGTTAATCGCTCAATCTCCTAGTAAAAACTGTTTTCATCCCCCCCCCCTTTTCCGTAAAGCGGTTATTGGAGCTTCCTGGCTTTAGAGTACAAAATAATCTTGCTTGGTGATAGTTGCTATTGCGATCCAGAAAGACAATTTTTCTCCTGTTTGATTTAAAACACAGCAAATTAAAATGGGATGCAATCCTCGCAACTTCTTTGAGAGTATAATCCGCCGCCTCCATATGAAACAAAACTAATAATTATAAGTTCCCTCTTATTTGAATATCATTTATTTCATGACATCTAATAAAGCTCATGCCGGGTCATTATGCTCTTCAAGTCCAATTTTTATCTTAAAAGCGAACTTGTCTTTTTCTTTACTATTTCAAGCAATGGTAAAGGCTTTGAACATTTTCATGTGTTTTAAAAGTCAAACTAAGAGATGTATTCATTTATTGAAGATTTTTTCACTTTTCGAATATGGAAGCAGTTCTGATTGAAGGATTGAAAACAGTTCTCACAGAAGGTATAATTTCGACAAATGCCATCTAACAACCCGCAAGTTGAATAAGACATAGAAAGTGTTCCGCAGGGATTCTATCTGGAGCCACTTTTATTCATAAACTACATTAGTACGTTGCGTTACGCTACAGGAGCCAAAGTTATAATCTAACAACGCAAACTAACCCGGATTCATCCCGGTTAAACTTATTCTAGAAGTAGGTTTTCTTTCGTCAAGTTTGTTAAAAACTTGGGTCTTACCGAAAACTTTAACCAAACTGGCTTCAGAACAATGCTGAAAATCCCTGTTTATACAAATCAAAATAACCGGGGCTCGCTCCGGGCGAGAACTAACCAGTCTAGATTTGCAGTGTAAACGCAAATAGAGAGTGGAATAGTACCCCCTTAAACGGTGTCAAAGATTGATATTTCATCTAACTATTTTCCTCAAGAGGAATTTCCAGATCTTATTTGTCGTCTAAATGGGACTTAGACCCCCTTTGAGCTGCCGACAGGTTTGAAAATTTACCAACAAGCCCTCCTAGGTGCCGCCTATTTTAACCTACTCTTGGTGCCAGAACCAGGAAAGGAATTGCGAAGGACCACCGTTCTTCCTCTTTTGACTCTCTGAGGCTCTGGCACTCAAGGTTTCCCAGATGGTAAAAATCATTGTTTTTGAAACATGATTGTTTCTCAAAGGGTGGGTGGGGGGTTGTCACACTTCCCACGCCTCCCCCACCTTGACAGCTTTGGGTGTCCAGAATTCGAATTGTCTAATACACGAGAGTACTATGCTCTAATTTAAGTGCACAACACTCCCTTTGTTTTCCTAATTCTATGCCAAAAGTTAACAGTCGGTTCACTTGCATTTATTAAATTGGGTTTCTCACATGTTGTTAATTATTTATTTGCAATCGATGCATTAATAATGAAAACATCGCAATTACGACTTCCCTGTATGCTCTTTTTTATCACCGACGAAAGTCTGTCTTCGGCGGAGGCTTTTCTCTATTTTTTACCTATGTACCTCTAATTTTCAACTCTAATAACCTTTCCAATTTGACTAAATGGATTTGAGCTGAAGCAAGTTGCACGTGGATCTAGCACTACCCATATTACACATTTATCCGCAGCAATAGGTACTTCTGTAGAATGAGGTAACTGCGGGGGAGGCCACAGAAAACCCGAGCGATATCTGCGTTTTTTCCATCGGGCCATTTTTCTTGGAAGTGACTTGTTTTCCTGTCTCTTTCTCACCGCCCTTGGTTTTTGTAATCAAACGTGTTCTATATGCTAAATTCTTTTTCCACTCCATCTATCGGGTCTTACAAAACTAGTGAGTGACGCCGGTTTAATGTGTTACCGCTTTGGTTACTGATTTCAACAGTTCTTATCCCAGTCTCTGTGTACAATTCCTTTAACACTGTATTGATTTTTAAAGAACCATGGTACCTCTTAAATTATTGTGCCATTTTCGCAAAATTTGGTTGACATAATTCCTCAAGATTTGCGCCCTGATTTTGAATTTTCTAATAATTTCGTAAAATAGCGTATTTATTTGTTTTTTAAGTTATCTAATAAAATGGATATAAATGAAATTGAGCCTTTTTTCGCTACTGCATCTATCGAGCCTATTTCTTGTAATTATTTCATTTCAACAACGATGATGTTCTTGAAATCCTTCCGATTCTTGTTTGCGAACCACCACATATTCTGGACGGCAGTGTCTCTGTTTGCTACAGGCTTTTACGTCACGCAAGGAGTCTTTGCACCGCTTGTTTTAGCTCTTTATTTGCGACGTCATCAGGATCATCGGATTCTTCTTGAAAAAAGTAGGCCCCGTCACTCACCGCTAGTTGCGGCAATGCTGCAATAATTTAGAAGGGTATGGTTATGAATATGTGAATTTCACTATAATAGTTGAACGATCAAAACTGGAAGTCGACTGTGCTCTTATATATTTTGAAATGTGAAGATATTTTCATGTGCGTAAAAAAATTTTGTCCTAATGTTATAACAGTGTATATAGCGAGGAACGAAAGAAAAACATCTAGCTACAAATTTCGGAAGCAAAAGAGGCTATGACTCCTTTGACTGCTATATTTCTAGATGGCGATAACAAGTTTCACTTTGTCTTCAACAGAAGTGTAGTAACCTAATAGGCTATGCGCAGGAGCATTACTTCATGTGACCTATCTCCTTCACATCTTAACAAGAAGCAGTGGCATTTAAACCATTTTCCACCCAAAGAAGTAAGTGGTACGTGAAATATCCTACCATTGATGATCTCGTTAACATAATGAAGCAGCTCTACCACCTCTTGCGATGATGACGTCATTACACCATCTGCTTTCTTTTCAGCAACGCTGAAACTTTGCTTATCTTTCTCCTCATTAAATTCATTTCTTAGCACATGTTTCTGTGGCTCCTCGTTTACCATACCACTTCTCTTTCGAGCTCGTTTGTTCTGGAACCAAATACGAACTTGTTCGGCGTCCAATCCCGTTTTCTTTGAGATTTTCACCTTTAGTGAATGGTCTGGGTACTGATTTTTGTCAAAACATTTTGCTAAAATCTCCTGTTGTTTTTCTGAGAACTTGCTTCTCTGTATTGGCCTGTACAGAGAGTAGCCATGCCATTGAAAATCCGCCATGACGGTTTTTAAGACTTTCTCAAACTTTGATTTTTCAGATTTGTAAGTTCTGAAATGTTTTGAAGTTTTAAAGGTAGTTTTTTAAATTTCGAATTCATCGAGATTCGAAGTTTTCGCACGAAATAATCATTCGAAGGAGCTTAATTGACTGTGTTCTAACGACTTTAACGAAATAATGTTGACTGTTTCTTTTGGAAGAGAAACATGGAGGAGCATTTTAGATACATTTGTGTTACGAAACAGCAAATCTCTTAATGCTCCCTGCGCATTTTGGTAGTTCAAGGTTATATAAAAGAGTAAAACTAGGAGTTTAAGTGAAATTGTACTTAGGACAATTAACGTACTTGTAAACGACGTTTCGAGCATAGCCCATTATCTAAAAGAGTACCGAAGAGTTGACGTCACAAACATCTATTTTTAGAATTTTTCAATTTTGACCATACATCCCAAAAAGCATTATTAAATACTGTAAATATACAGAACCAGTTGGATACGTTACAAATTACCTGAAATATTGCCACATTAGCACAGGCTCTTGCCCCATCAAACCTCTGTAATTTGGTCTTGGTTCATGACCTTTTGGACAAGGCCAGAATTACAGCTATCTGTTAGCAAACGTGAAGTCTTTTATTGCCCTATATCAAACTGATTTTGCATGTTGAATGTATTTTATACTATTCTTCCAGAATATCTGGTCCATAGATTTTTTAAGACAGTATACTTTGGTACTCAGGTTTGACTGACCTGTCTTTTTTATACATAGCACCGTTAAACACACAATGTTATAAACGTAAATTGATACGTAAGCTCTTCTTTTTGATAATGAATATTTAAATGTCTTTTAAATCTACAGAACCATATGACTTTTGCAGGCTGACTACCATCCCTATTTTTGGTTGTTTTTCACCATGTATGGTTGCTAGGTTCACCCAAAACAAAAACAAACTACAAGTTTTGATTATTTTTTCACAAATACACACTCCAATACATAGCATACCTCCAAATGTCTCTAAAATTTTACATTTTCTGTAAAAAATTGCTAAAATTTTGATAACACAAGCCATACATTGGCTATCATTATTTTCGTGTTTAAGAATTCTCCTTATTTCATACGAAGTCATGAAATACGTCTGCACACTATTCACAAAATTTATAAAGAACATTACAAAGCTTTTCCAGTCCTTATTTGTCACAAAATTTGTACCAGTATTCGATGTTTATATTCTATTTTATTTCATCTTATTTCATGAACAAAGGTTATTCTTTCATTAGCAACCAACGATTGCCAAAATCTCTCTTTGCCAAAATTATGAAAATTGGCTTATAGTTTATTTTTTTGTCATTACATTTTCTTTGGCATGACCTAGTCAAAGTTCTGTATGTTTTTCATCTTTTTGCTTTAATAATGACGATCTCTTATCTGCATGTCCGTTGACGATTTCTGTGTTGATCACTCGTTGCTGAACTTTTATTGCCTTTTCCTGTCAAGAGAATAGGCCTATTTATAGCTTTATCTTATGTCGGCTGTCGTGTAGTAGTGATGATTTCCGAAAGACTTATTTCTGTAGTAGTGGTGCTTAAATTCTTATTTCTTGGTGTATAGCAAACAAAACAAATATTGGGACGGTTACTTTATGTGAATGCCAGGAAAGCTTAAATTTTTTATATGACATCATGCATAAAAAAGGTTGATAGATGGTCCGGCACCGAACGTAGCAGTTTATCTTGAATTTGCAAAACGTAAGTATAGCACAATAACTTCCCGCCTTAGGTTCTCATTTATGATGTTGATTTTCACATTGGAATATTCTAAACTAACCCCTTGTGTCATAGTTAAGTAATTATTCGCTATTATGGCTCTCAATCGTCTCTTTTCTTTTCATCGAAAAGGCCCTTTAATTAAAACGTTTATTGTTTTTTGTCAATATATGAATATTTAATGTTCTTGATAGCTATACTGACGCAATTTTCATGAATAATGTTGGAAAAATAATACTGCTAATATTCACAGCTCGTACACTCGAAATTTTTAGTCAAGATCCACCATTACTAGCATTGCCTTTTTTCTGTTGGAATTAGTTGTTACAAAGCTTAGATTAAATAAACCTCAGGTGAACATGAGACTTTCATTGTACAACATTGCAAGCAGGAGTATTTAAGATGAATTGTTTTTATAAGAAACAAGTTATTAATAATTGGTTAAACACGTTCTTCATCTTGTAAAACTTTTGAGTGAGTGAGAGGATGAGTAAAGCAGTTTTTTTTCAAATTGTCATACCCTTTTCTTTGGCTCTGGCTTTCTTTAATAACGACAAGACAAGTTTTTCTTCAGACCTCGGTGAAAGTTCGGCATCGCAGCTACACTCTGCATCCGTTGCTGTTGATTGACCCAAATGTAAAGGTGGCCAGAATGGAGGCATATTTGCAAACTGCAAAAACTGGGATGCGTGTGAATGCAATGATTGGGGCGAACACAATAGCTTCTCTGTGTTGGATTCCTGAACAGGCTGCATATTAGCAAATTGCGCAAAGAATGCTGGGATATCGAGTGGCTGAAGATCACCCTGAAATTTGGAAGTAATTACAATGAAACCCATGTCTACATTTTAATTGTTTTCAAACACTCTAATACCTTCAACTCTAACTGTAATTTATTATTATTACTTAAATCCTTTCCTAAAGATAGCCTTATATCGTAAATACCACACTATTTAATAGCTCTATTCACAATCCAAAAAGGTAATTGCTCTGTAGATGGAATAGTTTTGACCAACATTTATTTTAATTTTAGGTTCAAATACGCCGAGTGCAGATTTAATTTCTGCTGTCAGGGTATGCAGTAATTATCGACGAAAAATTATCGGGAGCTAGCCAATTTTCGAGTTATACATTTGTAAAGCCGATTCTAGGCTGTAGGCCATCCATAACCTTGTACCCGGGGCGTTCCAATTTGTTCTTTTTGAAGCATGTTTATGGCTCAATAATGCCCCTTTACAAGGTCACTGTATTTATCATATTTATTCTGGGTTCAGAAATATCTTTTGAAATAAGGTTGTTGATTAAAAACAGGCCAATATTCATTTCACTTATTCAGTAAGTATATAATATTGATATCTTCTTGCTGATGCTCTTTGCGTGGCATACTTACCTGCATTTGATGCACATTCGGCATACCTTTTCTCTTCTGCGAATCTACGCTCATTGCCAGAGTTTCCTCTCGCAGTCTTTTCTCCTTGGCTCTTCGATTCTGAAACCAAACTCTAATCCGCTCGTCAGGAAGATCAAGCTCCTCTGCAAGCGACTGCCGCTTCTCCAGTCCTGGATAACTCGTGTCTTTGAAAACGCATTCTAGCTTTCTTAACTGCTCGAATGTGAAGACTGTTCGAGGCTTCTGGGGTTTCAAGTTTAATGTTGGATCTAAAGATGTACAGGGATGGTTTATTTGGAGCTAACAATCACATATTCTTCTTCATAATGAAATTATATGTGCACCTGATACACATATGTAATTTACTGAGCACGTGACCTAGCATGCATAAGGACATTGATCTATAACTGTATAGAAAAACCTGGGAAGGTGAAAAGGTGTAATTTTTAGAGCAAGGGAGTCAGTATTGATAATGATCGATAAGCAGCATTTTTTGCATACATACGAGATATAAACCGTATAGTGCTGGCTTGACTGGTATGTTGCATGCCATGTAGACAGTGCAAGGTTTGGTATTGGAGCTGGACGCTTCTAAGATGCATGAGTTGCAACTCAAAGTTCAAACTTTCAACACTTAATTGCAGGATCTGTGAAACCTAAAGTTGCAACTTAGAACCGTCTTGTTATACATACTAAACCATCCTTTCCAAAACTGTTCTTGCCTGTGAGTCTGTTTTAATGTATTTTTGTCATTTTGATGTTTTCTATCTTCCTGATAATAAAACGTAAAGTTTTTTCTGCGTGGTTGTGTATACTGTGTTTTCTTGATAAACGGACCATAACATTCATGTCTCTATCACCGATCAAATGGAATACTACGTTCTACAAGAGTCCGTATAAATTTTTCATATTCTTAATGCTACGCAATTAACGCTACACAAAAAATATCGCTACAAAAAATATCGAAAACATAAGACAGGTGTTCTTGAGATAAAATAACGCTGGTGCAAGTTGAAACTGAATTACAAGACAGAAAGCAAGCGGCATATCATACATACATAATTTTATTTGTTCATTCAGGTCATGTTAAGGCAGCTCAAGATAGCTGATATGGACCTAAGATATTTTAAACTAAGATAAATTTTTGTATTGTGGAGATTTCCATGAATAAGTTTTTTAAGGTTTTTGCTGAAAAAGCATGAAACAGTTTGCACTCTCTTTGCATTCAGGTGGCTCATTCTGTAAGCTTCTTACAACGTCAGTCGTCGCTTTAGTTGGAAAAACATCAATCGTAAAAGGCAATAATTAATGTTAGAATTTAACCCCGAGTCAAGACGTTTAAGTATGACGATGCTCTCTGCTGCAGGTGTTGAGCCCGGCCAAGACGAAACCTTAATCTTTTGCAGGATTATCGAAAAAACAAGGAAGATTGATTAGGCAAAAATGAACAAAAAAATGGAAAAAATAGCGAAAATGGTTGAACGTTGATAACAGGATTATATGGAAGAAAGAAAAGAAGTCGGTAAAACCGGCTATTTCTCTAGCCTTCCCGTGCTATAAGGGAGCACAAGCATGAATTGTATGCAACATACCTGTTCTGAAATCAAGACCTGGAACTCACATCATTGTACTTTTGTATAGGCTATTGTGGAATAATTTTATGGATAGACCCTCGAAAAATTTTTCGTCTGCATCGTGCTACGACACTTAATATATGAAGAAATTGAAATATACATCGCAACAGTAGGTTATGAAACAGCAAGGTGGCGAGAAACTAGCAATGTTTTTGTTAGTATTTAAGTTTATTTTTCCATGCCTGCAGTTTGACGTACCTTTGTAAGCCAGGCTACACTGACAATCGCTGCGTTTTGAGTGAGCCATGCTATGGGTTTCTAATACGTCTTTGTCTCTGTGCCAAAGAGTAATGCATGAGATCCTTAAATAACCGATGTTCATAGCTCTTGATTTCGAAAGACGGTCAAAGGAACGCTCAATTCGATTATTGAGGAAAAGGTTTCAGTTTCAAATTGACACCGGTTTCATACAGATTTCAGTCTCACTTTCTGTCTTTAAGGCTGTTTCTGTATTTAGCCCCTTCCAAGTTTTGTAATTTTCTCCTTTATCAACCTTTGTGACATAAGAAACTCCTATCGAAGAACCGTATCAAGCCATTAACCAGTGCGTGTCGCCCTATGCTGTAGCGTATTTATGATTAACAATCAGGAAGAACGTCGCTGAGAGAAGAGCATGGCTCCACCTATTTTTAAAACATTTTTTAAAATCTTTTATTCTTTTCAGGGTCTCCGACATAGGCTGGAAAGGGGGCAAAGAGTCTCTAATTGCCCCTTGACCCTCTTTCCAACCTATCAGTGCGTGTCGCCCTATGCTGTAGCGTATTTATGATTAACAATCAGGAAGAACGTCGCTGAGAGAAGAGCATGGCTCCACCTATTTTTAAAACATTTTTTAAAATCTTTTATTCTTTTCAGGGTCTCCGACATAGGCTGGAAAGGGGGCAAAGAGTCTCTAATTGCCCCTTGACCCTCTTTCCAACCTACCTCGGAGCCCCTGAAAACCTTTGATAAGTTTCGATATTGGATTCAAATTATTGTAGCAGAATCTAAATGCAACTTTGAGAGACAACTTTGATCTTTTCTGTTCCTCGCATTGGAAATCTCACGAGATAAGCGAAGTCAACTTGTTATGGAAAGTTAATTGAGTAAATTTGAGTTGCTGATCGTGACCTTATGATCCAGCCTCCTGATCAAACAAGCCTTTTCGTTAACGGCATTGAGTATCTATCTGGTCGGTGGCAGCCGTCCCAAGTGGGACCAAAAAGAACAAAAAAAAGTTTGAAAAAATTTTTACGCTGTACTGATTAGGGATTTCAATGGCTTCATGGGGTAATATTTTTATTTAAAATTTATTTTACCGATTATCAGATTATTAAACAAAAGTCCATGTGGAATCTCCTTAGGCCTAGGCCTACCTTACGTTACAATTCAGTCTTCCCTTAGTATTTCTTAAAACTTTGTACGTGTCTCTGTAAATGTTGGTTGAATATAAGGCTGGCGTCATTTCACTTTATTTTCCTGTTCTATTTCTATTGTTTTCTAAAAGACAAATGTGAATATAACACGCAGATAGTTAAACATTACTTTCTTTTGGGCGAGCGATTGGAAATGCCCATTAATTAATGTTTCGACGATTTTTATCGTTATTGTGGTGAAATGGATACGAAAAGTATCAATCACGGAAAATCTTTTCAGCAAAGAGAAAAGTCAATATTTATTTAATGCTGGGCAACTAGAATGGAAGATAACAGACCCTTACCCTTGCATGTTCACTTTGAAAATACATACTTTCCTCTCACGCTTTGATCATTGAGCATAGAGCATTGAAGAAATACACATACATTTAATGCATATTGATTTTATTAACCATTAGATGGTTTAAGATGTTTCTCTGCCAAAGATGACAAGATTTTTGAATTGATTTCTGTAGAGGATGAAGATTTTGAACCCAGTGTGGGAGATTTAAAAGGAAAGCCTTCAGATAAATGGGAAGGTGAAGATGAAGATGATGATGCAGTCAAGGTAGATTGCTTGTAAATTATTTTAACAAAACAGTAATGCCACAGTAATACTTAGGTATTATTAAAAGGATGTTTATTTTACAGGGGTCAGGCATTTTTAGTGTCATGATAGAAGAAATGATGCTTTTTACCTAAGATATCAGGAAGGATATATCACAAAATATGTAGTTAGCTATTTTCTTGAAGATTTCTTATAACAAGCAAAAATGATAACATGATTGCTATTTTATTGGTGCAATGTTTACAATCTTCTTATACCTGGTAACAGAAAGTTTGCCAAGTCGGTGCAGGTAAATTTGTTTCCTGGTATAAGCTTTTATAAGGAAACAATATTAGCTGATGTAGAATGAAGTTGAGCTGGTATAATAACTGACAGTGGTGGACACCTTGTGAGGGGGGGAGCCAAGGGGAGCAGTTGTTCCTCCAATATTTTGCAGGACAATGGTCTTTTGTTCTAAAACAAAGGAAAATATGGCATCATCTTATCAAAACATTAAGCTTGCTCTCCCCAAAATCTGACCAAGTGTTCGTCCCTGATAACTGAGATACACTTATAAGCATAAGGGTTGCAAACAGCAGGTTTCCATCATGTGGCATTTTCTATGAATTTATTTCATTGTTATCTACAAGTAAAATCTAAAATCCTTGTTGTATATGATTATTATTAATTATCCTGTTGTGTTTTAGGACAACTGGGAGGATGAAGATGAAGAAGAGGAAACACAAGGTATGAAACACTAGCTAATTCTGATAACCCGCAATCATTTGTGACAATGCTTACTACAAATAGTTTGATTTTTTTACAGCCATTCACTTGAAATCCAAATGTTGATGTCAACTTTGTATAAATTTTTTTTGCCTGAATTCAGTCTTCATAATCATTACCTTCATAATCATGACATACAAGGTCTGTTATGATAGGTTCTGTTAGCAAAAAAGCAACCAAAAGCTGTTCCATCTTTTGATGATTTCTGGAAACGCACCCATCCAACCTCATTTTTCTGACTGGCATAATGGTGTGATAATGATTATGAAGAATGAATTCAGGCTCAAAAAATTTCTAGGGAATGAACCTAAGCATGGGAAGTATTATGTAACAGTAATAGTAGTATAGCAATTTGACCCAAATATGGAAAGCCCTTAAAACAAACCCTGTTAACAGTCAAAACTCTAGGTAGTATTTTTCTATGTTGTGAAAATAATATTTAGAGGAGGGAATAAAATGTTAAAGGGAAAATAAAAGTTGGTAGGACCTCTTTGATTGTTGGTTGAAGTCTTTCTCACTTGTGGGTATTATTAACAGTTCTTTCCTTCTATTGTTTATAACCTCTGTGTTTATGTTCCAACTCTTGTATTCATACCAATATTCTAAGTCTGCTTTGAATGTCTATATAAGAGAGTCTTTTTTATGCAAACAATCTTTTGATCGTACAAAACTTGAAAATGGCTTTGAAAAAAGCAAATATTTGAGTAAACTAAAGTCTTTGTTTGACACTCTTCAGAGTTTTTTAAAACATCAGAACATAGATCGAAAACTCTTTGCTAGGAAATATATATACCCAGTTGTGGATTGAAATAGGCCAATCAGAAACACCAACACATGACTGTTAAGGTTTATCAATCAGTGGCGCGTGCCTATTGAGAATGTTACCAATGGAGCCCTAAGGTGAAAACGAACTTCTTTTGTCTACACAATAGCAGTTTTTTGTGCTTATGTAAATAGATTCCAAAACTGCTAGATGGAACAACGATTGGACTTTACTAATAATCCGAAACATGCCGCCATATAGTTTTTTGCACAATCTGGGTTTTCCAGTAAATGTTGCCCGATAGCAGAGTTGCAAGTTTTAGTTGTACTTTTAGATCTGCAAGACATCCCCAAAGAGAACAGCCACATTTTGATCCTTCCTCCCTCCTTTATTTCTGTTCTGGAAAAAAATATGGGATCCTCTTTCTGTGTCTTTGGTATAACCAGGTGTAATTGAGATTAATATTTTATACAATACAAATGAGGTAAAGCATTCTACCTGATTTTTAGAAAAGGAATATAAATTTGTTAGGTTTTTTATCTTTGAGGCCCCTTGACTCGAGTTGTATCACTTTCTGTTTCTCGAGTCTTGGGGAAGGTATAATCCTTTTAGATTGAATTCAATTGCTACTTGCTGCCTAACAAAAGCTTTAGTTCTATATAATACCATCATTTTTCTTGTTTAAAACAGAAACAATGAAAGTTGTAGAAAAGAAGAAGAAAAAACCTTTAGCTGAGAGGATAAAAGAAAAGGAGGAGGCAAAGATGAAGAAATTAAAAGAACTTGAAGAGGTTTGTTTTTTTCAATTCTATAATTTCATAAAAATGATGTGGTAACTGCTGGCACTAAAAAGCAGAACATGAAGCATTATCATTGTGTCAAGATATGACATCTGGATGTGCAAAAATAATTTTGTTGCAATAGCAAACAACATTTAGTAAACTAGCAAATGAATCTGTTAACAAATTTGTTAAAAGATCATTTTTTCAGAGAGCTTCCAAATTCTATATGGCAAATTCTATTTGTTTTACAAATTATTTTTATAGGCACTTAAAAATGAGGATGATATTGATGATCAGGACCTCACACCTGAAGAAAGGCTTGCAGAAAAAATTAGGAAACAGAAGTATGTGATATATATCTGTCTGCTTTTACAGATTCATTTGTAATAGCAAGAAGTGACAGGTTTGTTATTTTATTGGAGCAGCTTTGGACAAAAAAGTTATTGTTTCCATTCTAAGTTAAAGATAATTTCAATTCATTTAAAAGAACGATATTTTTGGAAATAGATACATTGTACTTTAAAGGCATTGAGTCATGGTAAATAGGCCTTCTCTATAGGGGGGTTGCTTGGTTTTGACCTGATCACTGCTGTTTCATGTAATATTTGCATCCGTTGTTGACAACTTGCTATTGATTGAAATTGTTTTGTAAATCAGTACAAGGTGAGTTCATGTGACCAGTTCCAGGTCACCCAATAGCATCGCAGTCATGAAAACCATGACTCAGCGGATTTTGGTACTTAGGGTTTACATACCCAATCCATTTTATCATGACTCAATGCCTTTAAGATACAGCATTTCAAATCAAGTTGATATAGCAAAGTAACTGGGTTGTTTAATTTCATTGTACACTTGTTAGTCTTTCCTTCTTACACTTTTTATGTATAAGAAGTAGGCTATCTGTCATGTTCTATAAATCTTGCAGGAGTAGAAATATGAAAGAGAATCTGGAACAAAAATCTAAACGACTAAACAACAAGAATCCAATGTTATAAGCTAAAATTTTAGAATGAATTTAATTTGAAGAGTACTAATTTAAATTTGATTTATTTTAAAATTCTAGCTTCATTGGATTCTTGTTGTTGTATTGCTTAAATAAATTTTGCCTCATGTAACTTTCATGTTTCATTTTCACTAAGAATTTTTAGGAATATAATTCTAGTTGTTTCTTGCTTTTGAGAGGTTGGTTTAGTTTGTCCAGACAGCAATGTTAGGCCAAGGCTATAGAATGTTGACTCTGCAAGTCGCAAGGGATCTTTCTTAATAGTCTGGCAGCAGATAACTATTGTAAAAACACTATATATATGCACGGTTGATATTGTAAACCACATTTTACTGACTACCTTCATTGCAACATTACTTATCGTAATCGTTCAAATGAGCGTCCCTCTCAAACAAGCGCCCCTGTCAAATAACCGCCCATTTTTTAAGAAAATAGTTTTATAAGGGCCCCTCTCAAATAAGCGCCTCCTTGTTCTAGGGTGGGTACTGTTGGAGGATATTGATATTTGGTAGAGTACTAACAATAATTTGTTTATCGGGTTTTTACATGTTTGACTTTTGTTCTCCTGAGAGATGTATAATTTGAAAAAGAGAGCTGATCCCTGAATTTTCAATCCTTATTTTCTAAGGCAAAATTTCATAAGCGCCTCTTTAGAATAAGCGCCCATCTTATAAGCGCCCCCCGTCGAATAAGCGCCCCCCTTAAAGCAGAAACATTAAATAAGCGCCCAGACACTTATTCGAATGATTACGGTACTTCATATATTTGCACAGATTAGGAATGCGATTTTCATTTAGACTTTTCCTATTTGCAGACTTATTGAAGAAGCTGACTTACTAATAGCTAAAGATACTTTCGGTATGTTTAGTAACGTGTTATCTCTGAGATACGATACTATGATAGTAGAAATGAGCATTATTGTTCTTTAATACCTCTTCTATTTGTAGATTTCAGTTTAATACCGACTGACCAATGCTAAATAGACTTTATTCCTTATGTTGATATTTAATACATATATATGATGTCTTTCGTTTTGGCAATTCTGTTATTCTTTAAGTAATTATATTCATCATTTTTGTGAACAATTAAGCTTAAATCCGGTATCTCTCTTGTATACCATGTTTTCAAGTTTTTTTATTACCATAAAGGTTTGCCTGAATCATACGGAGGTTACAAAGCGATGCCACAGGGAGCATGGAAATACATAGCAACCCTGTGACCATAACATTTAATATAACTATTCAACAACACTAAATATAAATCTAAATATTAACGGTTACATAATAAAGATAAAAATTGCTATTGATTTTTATTTTGATGAACTGGTATTGCATGCTGGCTTTGGTGTTTAAAGAACAGGATGGTTCATAGTTTCAACAAAATTGGTTGTAAATTGCGGTTATTTCCAGGTCTTTGTATTTTATCAAAAAAGTAAATCTCGTTGGATGTAGTCTTTCACCAAGATGAAAACCTATTTGATCTAAAAATTTTTCTACTACATTAAAACCCAATTCTGTTCAAAGTCTTTATCATATCTTCTCTTGCTCTCTTTTAAGCCATAGTTTTGAAACTGAGCTATTTTTTCTAATTACAGGGGTTACTGATTTGCCAGAAAAGAAGACATTTGACAATTTTGAACCAGATACTAAAGAGGAATTCACAGAGTTTCAGAACCTCCTTGTTGAGAAAATTACAAAATATGAGGTATGAAAATGTTTCTTTGTTCATTCATGCTTTGTCATGAATGCCCTAGTTGTTAAATCAAATTAGATTTCTTGTATTTTTCCTAGCTGCATGTTCTCTGCCCCCCCCCCCACCTGCAATTTGGTAATGTAAAGTCTGTTTATGTTTATGTATCGCCATTCTGTAGCAATCCCACCTAATATTCATGTTAGGGATGAAAGCCAATCCTATGAATTATGAAACGCCGAGTTTCCTTTTTCGTTAAAAAACTTAAGCTAATTTTTAGCAAGAACTAGAATTGTGTTGAGTTAAAAATTCAGTAAATTGTATTCTCTATGTTTACCAAAAGTTTTATTGAAACCAGTGAAATAGTTTTTGTTCTGGATGCTGATAAAGACACTTGTTTTGCAGGGTAAAGCCGAGTACACGTCGTTTTTAGAAGGACTCTGCAGAGATTGTTGTGCAGGAAGTAGGTCTTTTGCTTGTTCAAAGCCCTTTTCTGAGAATTCCGCCATCTCTGTATAACGAGCAATCTTTCTTTATTGATATAATCTTTCTTTATGATTATTCCTTTTTTGATATTAATAAATGATCTTTTTAATGATTGACAACAATGAATTTGATTCAAGAAACAAGGTTAATTTCAAAATATTCCTGCTCTTTTACAACTCTATGTGAAGTTTATTGCTTGGTAAAAGAATAATTGTGTATTTATAACCACATTCACCCATGTCCGCTTCTTTCGTTTGAAAGCCCATTTGTGTACATAAGTAATTAATTTCCCTTGAGCAAGCTTAATAACTCAATACAATTTCCACTTGACAAGCAAGACTGGGTTAGGAAAAATCTACAGCTGATGAAGACTTGCTCCTTATAGTTTAACTGCTGTTAGTCCAACTGTTGCTCACTCTAGTTAAAGAAAAGCTGTCTGCAGAGATAGATTTACAAATTCCTAGTGGAAAGGGGGAGGGAACGGGGAAAATACCAATAGTTAAATTCTACTGTGAGATTTTAAAGTGAAGTCGGAAATCCGTGACAGAAATTCTGGAAAATTACCTGAATTTCCAAGTTGCGGAATGAGGGAAGCTGAATTTGATAAGGATGCATTTGAAAAAGCCTCTGTGGCTGCAAAACTTGAAAGTTTCTACAAAAAGCAGAAATATGATACGTTTATCAGAGAAAATATTTATCTATTGAAGTTTGATATCAGAGATAAAAAGCTTTGTTGACTTTTGCTTGGTACTCATAACAAGATAGTATCATAAAGTGTTCAACATTGGGTATACCTTATCATCACCCTAACATCTCTTTTTTGTAGTTGAAGTCGCAGACATAAAGCGAATTGCAACTACCTTAAATGCATTAGCTACGGAAAAGGCGAAAATTGCAAAGGTATGGCCTTATCAATTTTTCAAACCTTGCTTCCCTGTATTTACTTGCTACTTCCCACTAAAGTTTACGTGATTGGTGAAAAAGATTGATTAATTAATAGAAATTATTCAAACATGAAAAAATAATTAAAATTAGTAAAAATTATTCAACCGTGAAAAAAATTAAATAAAATAAATAGAAATTATTAATCCGTGAAAAAAAAAAAATTAGTAAAAATTACTCAACCGTGAAGAAAATTAAATAAAATTAATAGAAATGATTCAACCGTGAAAAAAAATAAATAAAATTAGTAAAAATTATTCAAACCTGAAAAAAATAATTCAAAATAGTAAAATTTATTCAATTGTGAAAAAAAATTAGTAAAAATTATTCAACCGTGAAAAAAATTTAATATAAAATAAATAGAAATTATTCAACCGTGAAAAAAATTAAATAAAATAAATAGAAATTATTAATCCGTGAAAAAAATAAATAAAATTAGTAAAAATTATTCAACCGTGAAGAAAATTAAATAAAATTAATAGAAATGATTCAACCGTGAAAAAAAAATTAGTAAAAATTATTCAAACATGAAAAAAATAGTAAAATTTATTCAATTGTGAAAAAAAATTAGTAAAAATTATTCAACCGTGAAAAAAAATTAAATAGAATAAATAGAAATTATTCAGCCGTGAAAAAAGAATAAAATTAGTAAAAATTATTCAACCGTGAAAAATATTAAATAGAATAAATAGAAATTATTCAGCCGTGAAAAAAGAATAAAATTAGTAAAAATTATTCAACCGTGAAAAAAAATTAATAGAAATTAGCCAACCGTGAAAAAAAATAAAAAATATAAGTAAAAATTATTTATTCAAACATGAAAAAAATAATTAAAATTAGTAAAAATTATTCAACCGTGAAAAAAATTAAATAAAATAAATAGAAATTATTAATCCGTGAAAAAAAAAAAATTAGTAAAAATTACTCAACCGTGAAGAAAATTAAATAAAATTAATAGAAATGATTCAACCGTGAAAAAAAATAAATAAAATTAGTAAAAATTATTCAAACCTGAAAAAAATAATTCAAAATAGTAAAATTTATTCAATTGTGAAAAAAAATTAGTAAAAATTATTCAACCGTGAAAAAAAATTAAATAGAATAAATAGAAATTATTCAGCCGTGAAAAAAGAATAAAATTAGTAAAAATTATTCAACCGTGAAAAATATTAAATAGAATAAATAGAAATTATTCAGCCGTGAAAAAAGAATAAAATTAGTAAAAATTATTCAACCGTGAAAAAAAATTAATAGAAATTAGCCAACCGTGAAAAAAAATAAAAAATATAAGTAAAAATTATTCAAACATGAAAAAAATAATTAAAATTTGTAAAAATTATTCAACCGTGAAAAAAATTAAATAAAATAAATAGAAATTATTAATCCGTGAAAAAAAAATAAAATTAGTAAAAATTACTCAACCGTGAAGAAAATTAAATAAAATTAATAGAAATGATTCAACCGTGAAAAAAAATAAATAAAATTAGTAAAAATTATTCAAACCTGAAAAAAATAATTCAAAATAGTAAAATTTATTCAATTGTGAAAAAAAAATTAGTAAAAATTATTCAACCGTGAAAAAAATTAAATAGAATAAATAGAAATTATTCAGCCGTGAAAAAAGAATAAAATTAGTAAAAATTATTCAACCGTGAAGAAAATTAAATAAAATTTATAGAAATTATTCAACTGTGAAAAAAAAATTAATAGAAATTAGCCAACCGTGAAAAAAATAAAAAAATTAAGTAAAAATTATTCTAACATGGAAAAAATAATTAAAAATAGTAAAATTTATTCAATTGTGAAAAGAAAAATAAAATTAGTAAAAATTATTCAACCGTGAAAAAAAATTAAATAGAATAAATAGAAATTATTCAGCCGTGAAAAAAGAATAAAATTAGTAAAGATTATTCAACTGTGAAAAAAATTAAATTTAAAAAAAATAGAAATTATTCAACGTGAAAAAAATAAAATAAAATAAATATAAATTATTTATCCGTGAAAAAAATAAATTAAATTAGTAAAAATTATTCAAACATGAAAAAAATAATTAAAAATAGTAAAATTTATTCATTTGTGAAAAAAAATAAAATTAGTAAAAATTATTCAACCGTGAAAAAAATTAAATTTAAACTAAATAGAAATTATTCAACGTGAAAAAAATTAAATAAAATTAGTAAAAATTATTCAGCCGTGAAGAAAATTAAATAAAATTAATAGAATTATTCAACCGTGAAAAAAATTAATCATAGTAAATAGAAATTATTCAATTTTTTAAATATCGACCTTTTGTTCAGCTCAGGCAATTGGAAAGAAGATATTATCTTAACCTTAAGAATGGTCCTAAGTCTCCAGTAAGCATTTTTAAACATATTGTTCCATTTTAAATAGACTGTTCCAGTTTGACCTCCCTTTTGTTTTTAACTTGTTTTTTTTCCTTAGCCTGCTAAAACGAAAAAGAAAGGCGGAAAGAAGACGTTGGTTGGTGCTTCTGCTAAGGCCAGTAAGAGAGACAATTTTCTTGACTATGACAATCAGTTTGATGATTTCGATGACTTCATGTAAACATTCATTCATTAAATAGCAAAATTTGTCTAACCTTTATGTCCTTTTCTCAACTTCGTCTTCACTTCAGTTATTTAAACTTTATGTCGTAATTTGAAAAACGCTTGCTAGTACCCCATAAAAAGATAAGTACCTTATTTTGCGATATTCTTTTATGCATGTGATGGAAGTCAGAGTCAAGTAACGTCCATCATTCACCCTGAAGGTTTCTTCTTTCTGGAAACTTTCCTCAGAATGAACAGAAAATGCGATACAGTACTTTGATTTATTGATTCACTCGTCTTTCTTGCGGCCTTTGATCATACAATCGCCATCATGTTTTCCGGCCTCTTTATGAAATTCAACGCTCTTCCAAGTCGCAATCCAGTATAGTTTTTAATAACCGAGCTCTCCGAATTTCCTGAATACGAGTGAATCACTGAATACGACTGAATACGGTGTTGAGTTTTTGAAAATTAAACCCTGAATTAATCTTATTATTAGTTATCTTTTCGGTATTCTACACAACGTGATCAAATTTGCAGCCTGTAGAAACTGAAACATTGAAAAATGGATTTGTGTCTCCGATTTGTTCAATAAAACTTTTGTGTTCACGGTTTTTTATTAATGTTTTTGCCTTATCTTTTGCAATAGAGTTTTCAAGTGTGACATCACAGAAAAATGTTTTTTAGAATTTTCGACTTTTAACCATATAACATAAAAGAACATTATGAAATACCCTCATCGATTCAAAATCAGTTAAATTTGTCAAAAATCGGGTTAGCTATGGCCAATAGAAAATTTTAAGTTTGCTAACGGATTACGGTGTTATTTGGCTCAGTTCATAAAGTTATAAACTGAGACCAAATTACAAAGGTTTGATGGGGCCAGAGCTTGTGCTCATCTATCTGGTCATCTGATTTTGCAGAAATGTTTCATGATACTCTTTCAGGTTTTGTAAACAAATTTCAAAAATTCTAAAAATATATTTTTGTGACGTCATCACTTGACAACACTATTGTTATACAATCTTTCTAAATATTAATTTGATGAAAAAGTTCGCCTCCTTTAAACTATAGGCTCTTAGTTATTTTATCTATGGTATATTATTAATTTCTTTAAACTCCATGCAAGAGCTACAAACCATCAGTATTTAAAGATGAATAAACCATCAGTAGTAATATTTTACGATAAAGAGTAGAAAAGAGTACAAGGCTCCTGAATTGATCATTACTGGCCTTCTCAACTCTGAAGTTGATAAATGACTTTCTTTTTAAGCTAGCATTGACAAGGAAACGCTTTGATGTTAATCAAATTTGATGGGGTTGTTGTTGATTATAGAAGGTAGCTTTAGAAGGGACCTATCCAATAAGGGGACACAAAACAGAAGAGACTGGAGCTCTTCGTGAAGAGCTTACCCGAGAACCTTCTTGGGATGATTGTCGAATGATATATTCGTGGATTTCTGGTGACGTTTTATATCGCGTGTCCCATGAAGGGACTGCTTTATAGATTAGGCTCTGGATACGTGAACACTGTGATCCAATTCAAACTACTATCGTGTTGGTGTGTTTATGTGTCTTGCTTTTCATATTCCCATTGGGAAGCTCTTCGTGCGTCCCTATTCTCTTCTCTTTATGTCATTGACTGAAACTATTGTTTTGCGAAAAGCGTTTTTACCAAGGGGCATTTACTTTCCTTAGAAGATACTCTCTTGAGGTCATAGAAAATCAAACCGAATCGTGCAATAGCCCTTGGGATAGTTTATGCGACACTTTTCCCAGTTTGCTTTGCGCCGTTTAGTATCAAGATAAGAGTGGTTGAGAGATTTATTCTTTCACTTGAACGGGACTAAACACAGCTGCAAGATGCTTGGGAAAGAAAGCACATCGACACAAGATTTGCACTTTTTCAAGAAGCTACAGTCATTGCCAAATTTGAACACCCATTTGAATAATCTGCTGCACAAGTATCATTGCATTAAGCACTCTTCAGCGCTTATCAGTTTTTCATTATGGTTTTGCGAGCGTTATGTAAAGCTTTTGGTGAAGATTGGTCTGCTGCTGCTCCTGTGTGTTCCCAAGGCCCTTTACAAATCCAGCACAGGTATATTTCAGTAAAAGACTTTTCAATTTATAAAATTAGAAACCTTTGTTTTCAGAATTACCTTAAAGTATCAATTGTAAAACTTTTACTAAGTTTTCGGGATAATTTAAAGCCACGTGCTTCAAACGTCACCTCGACTTCGGCCATTTTTGATGATTTTTATATTCCATCAAATGTTCTTTAGACTTATGTTCATTGCCTTCCAACCAGTTTCGAAATTAAGGAAAATCTTAAGAACTGTCGTACTGATGCTGATGTTTTTAATTCTGTTGCCCTTTAAACACACTTCAAAGGGTTGATGAAGGTCGCCCTCAATGTTGGACGAAAGGACTGCCCGTTGAATATTTTCAATGATATTTTTAATCAGAGTGGGATGGTGTGGTCCGGAGGCAATTTGGGCTACGGTAATCACTGGGTAGTGCCCTATTATCTCCTTAACTGAATTATGAATTATTAATAACATACCAGTCAATTTCAAAGTGTTATTATGATAAGCAATTTTATACCGGGCTGAAAAGCTGGGGTGAAACAATTAGATCCTTTATAATTTGTCTTGCATGTTCCTGAATGATAACAGATAGTTTTTACTTCTGACCAAGTCAACCTATTGAAAAACTCTAGTTAAATAATTCTAGAAGTTCAAAGTTCTTTGCATCTGTTAATCATTAAGGTTGTTGACCGCCTTTGCTTTTATTAATAATTATCGTATGCATAAATGCCAATAAACATTTTATCATTATTTCGCTATTCCTCGCATCCTTTAATTAATTTGTAAAGTTTTTCTTTCCAGTGGTCGTTTTGGATGAATTTCTTTGTCATCAGCTTGACTTCTTGGAGAAAAAACTTTCACCGGTATGTTGGAAAATCACGTTGTTAAATTTAGAAATTAGATTGCAACTCGCCTTGTCGTTTGAAATCTTCCAAGCAAGTGTCCCTTTCCATGTTGTGGTTGTCATTTAATTTGAACAGAGACTTTCTCTGGTGAAATTTTATAACTAGTTTTTTCTCTTTTTTGCAGAAAACCGGGACGATTTTCAAAAACGAGAACGGCATCGAAGCGAGGTCATTGAAAGCATTTATGCTACTATTGCGCATAGTGGTGCTATGGCCTCGACTGACACTGCTGATAGCAGCCTCTGCGTGGAGGGTTTGTCGTGGAGAACTGAAGGAAGACTTAAGAGTGAGTCTTGATGTTTTTTATTTTTGTATTTTGTTTTGGAGATCCCGTTCGTTGTTGTGGTATACTGTTAAAAGACTTGCACCAAAACCGGTCTTGAGATGGATGTTAGAATTAACAAGAGTTTTTTGAAAGAAGAGTTTTTGAAACAAATACCTGATCAGCATTTACGAAATCATCATATCACCACGTGTTTTAAAATGTTGTTTAAACGATAAACTCGATTTATATAAGGCACGAGCCCCCTGAAATTTCTGAAAATTCTTTGTTTTCAATGAACAGTCCCTTTTCTCTTGTTCTCATAGAAAAGTGACCCCACAATTATTCTATCCTTCCTACTGTCCTATTAAGTATCTGTTTTCAGTCCATCATCTGTGCACGACCAAAGGAAAAAGGTTGAATATGGCTTGGGTAGTTAACTGAACACAAGTATCATGTTGGGACTCAATAATTTTAAGAACGTGAATAACCTCAGTGATTGATGATTGGTGAATGTTGTTACTTTACAGCCGAACCCCATTGCCTTATTCAAAGCGTTCTTTATTCAGAGCCTAATTTCTTCCTACGCCAGATGCTCGTGGAAATATTTTCCAGAAAGAAATCCGAGGTTCGCCGAACAACTACAAGAATAAAATGCAGGCGCTCTACAAGTTCACCTTATCAGAGGAAAAGAAAACACGAGGAGGTCGAAGGAAAAGTGAGTTATTCTAGAGGTGCATTTAGTTTAAGGAAAAGATATCTGCGTTTTTAATTCTAAATTGCAAGTAGAACGGCTGTATCTACTACCAAAGAGTATAGAATAACTTTGCTCCTGCCACTGCTTAAAAAATCATATACAAGTATTTTTGGATGATATATCTTTTATACATGCAAAGGTCAATGAAAAGCAATGAATGCCTCTTTACTACACCCAGACATTCAAAGCTGGATTTTTCTTGAGTATAAACACCTGTATTTTCCCTTGGGGATGACGTAAAAAGTCTTGTTTTTCATCGTATTTGGGTTTTTGAGTAATGTTTAGGAAATGCTAATCTTATCTCTTTTGCTAGGTCGAGCAATATCTGTTTGTTGATGAAAGCTACCAATCAGAGAATGATCCAGATTATGAAATTGGCGAAACGACTTGCGAGGATAATGCTTCAGTGGATGGAGAAAACACCGATGACGAGCTGAACAACGACCCGCAGTGTTTTCTTTGCAAAGAATGCAAAGAAGAGGACAAGGAATCTGCAGAAGAGGCTGCATCTAGTTCAGAGGCTGAATCGGAAGCGGATGAGGTAAAAGGAGAAGACAAGCAAGACCTGGCTGCTAATGGCAGCTCAGAGGATGAAGCTGAAGAATTAAAATCACCGCTTAGAAAAGTTGAAGAAATTTCAAGTAAATTCGAGGACCAGGCAAACGAAAGAAAAAGTCCAATCTGCCAAAGAGGGTGATGAGATGCGAAAGAATTTCGAACTTGTCCAGATTTTGATATAATTTGTAAAATACTCAAAATATTTGCACATAAATTGCTGTTATTAAAGTTGGGATTGTTCTTTACAAAGCATAAACCGATTTCCAATGTGTGGAAATTCAGCTAGGCTCATCGAAACCCTTTTTGCTAAATTAACAAACGGACGCTTTAGTTCATTGTTTAAACCATACTCGCGTCTGTAGGCAAATGTGCCGGATTATTTGCCCTTGATACTAGAATGTGCGTCCTTATGTGGTCTTATACGTTGCACTGCTTTTGAATAGATAATTAGAATAGAATCGCTGTCCTTTTTCTTGTATTATGCTAACAATTTAAAGAAACAGGTTGTTTGGAAAAAAGCTGTGCTTTTCTGCCTCCCTCTTGTTTTTTGTTGTTTGACGATTAGCGAAAATATAGTTGTTTTCTATTTAGATTCTAGACTTGCTCAAATACTCTTCTCTCAAGTATCAAATAGACTTGGAGCATGTCTAGATCCTAACACATGCTACTGGCAGTTAAAAAGGAATGTGAGTGTTTTCCGCCTGGACGAACCAATGGGATGTAATCTCTCCCGCCTTGAGGAGGTCAAATAGAAAAGGAGAATGAAGAAGATGAGGTTTAAAGTGATAATTGTTACATCAGCTGGAAATTTTTACTTTGTAGAACTGGCTCCATGCAACACTTTAAACCTTATTCCTGCTTAGGCTTATAAGCACTACGCTAATAGGCACGCCATGAGCTACAGAAGTATCACTTACCAAAAGGTTGCAAACCATTGGGAGAAGTCAGTCATTAACATTCGAATAGGTCATTAATGATTCTCTCTTTGGTTATTATAATTATCTCTCTCTCCTCATTAATGATTCATTGTAGCAAACTGCAATTTAATTCAATCTGACATTCGTTCAAGAGAGGATGGTGGCTTTTATCTTCTATAAAACTCTCTGAACGAATTGATTTTCGATGATAAGGTATTTGAATTGATTGAATACTAGAAATTTATTTGGAGGAATGCCTTTTCATGATTAAGCACCAATGGCCTATAGCAACCATATCATATTCATGGTAGCTGATTCTTTCATCTTGTTACTATGAACTACCTACATCATATCTAGCATAATTTGTATCACGAGGTGCACTACGGTTTCTTCTCTTGAGCAAAACGAAACGAGAGATCGTCAAAATGCAATCAATCAGGGTTTTGCTATTCTCTTATACACTATTTATGTTCGGGATATTTTCTTCATCAGGTCAAATTTTTAACTCAACCTGCCGAAGAGATGCATTGTTTGCTGCTTCAGCAAGAGACAAGAAGCAAACCAATGGACTAATATCGGCCCATAACATCACGAGGCTGCCATTATGTGCCAAAAAATGCACCTCTACAGCAACCTGTATGACAATCAACTACAAAATTCAGACGAGTTCAAGCCAAGACTTGAATTGTGAATTGCTGAATACAAACATAAGTTCTTCGTTGTCAGTTGCAGCTGGTTGGGTCCACTACAAGCCTGTAATACAGGTGAAGTTTTTGAATTATTCTCGTGTTAATATTTGTCTTTTGCTTGCCGAAGGTTCTGAAAAATTTCTGCCAATGCTTTTCATTTAATTTTATAGATGATAACAAATATTGTTGATATTGATGATAATTTTTCATCCACGTGACTCTTTTTCAAGCAGAGTCGACATCAGCCGACACGATTTTGAAAGATCTCCCACGAAAAAAACAATATTTTGTTCAGAAAAATATATTTTTTGTTTTCCATTTACCTCTTGTTGAAAATGACCGTGGTTTAAGTCATGCAGAAGTATGGAACTCAGTTCCCACAAAAAACCTCAAGCTCAAATATAAAAATCTTAAAAGCTATGTCAGCAATTTCTTGCTCATGCCGCATTTGTAAACCTTTTTTAGGACAAGTAGGCTATATAAAATGACAGGATACCTACTTTACATTGATGTATCTTATTAGTTATTCATCTATTTTTGTTGCGTTGTTAAATTCTGTTACTTTTATATATTTAGTTGGTTTTAATTAGCTTTAGTATAGCTAGTGTGTACGTTTACTAACTCAAAAAAAAGTGAATAAAAAAAGCATCACCGTCTGAAAGGACCGAAAATATTTTATCGAAAATTCTCGTCACTTCCCCCGGGACTCCCCCCAGTACCCCAATACCCCCAGTACCCCACCGGTATCCCACCATAGCGTCGCCCTGTTTGTAATATTTGCTTACGGTTTTGTTTGCATTTTAGGTTGGTCCTCGTTGCCGTGTTGTAACATGTGATCCCGGGTACGAATGCAAAGAAACCTGTGCGACCCAAGTAGGCTATGAGTGCATCGGTAAGTTGTATTCGATTTTTCTAAGGGTGGGTATGAAAAGATGGCTCTGTCGTGTAGCTGTCAGACGTAATTGTTGAGGAGACGAACAAGAACAAAGTATTCAAGTACGTGAGGCAACACTCCATCCTGGAGTCAAGAAGCGTGCGCACGGAATGAAGAAATTATCACGCATCCTTTTTGACTCCAGGGCGGAGGATTGGAGTCATTAGTCTCCCAACAAGTAATGAACCTTGCAGGGGAGCGGTTTTGATATTGTTTGAAAGCGAAAAGCACAACATCGTACATACACAAATAACAACTGGTGGCAAGGATTTGTTGCTTGGGCACCACGCAAGTATATGAACTTGTATGATAGCAGGTTGCCCAATAATAGACTCTTCTGAGACTCATGCAAATTCATTGCCTGCCGCGAATCTTTAAAACAAGTCGGAATCTTCAATCACCCATGAAATTCCATATTTTCCTGATACCTTTAAAGAAAGTATTTTCACCTGGCACTATACCCCTTGGACTGATAAACTCAGTATAGTTCAAATTTGCAGGAATCAAATGTGGACATGATACAGTATTATTTCCAATTAACGGACACTCTAAAAGTCTTATAGTTTTCTGGTCAAAGTCTTATAAAAAACTTTCTAAAAAGCGGACACTCTATATAACGGCCAATATTTTTTTTCACAAGATAGTCAATTTGGCCTTTTTTTTCTTTCCAATTAGAGGATAGTACATAAGATTTAGGAGCCGGCGAGCAAAAAAATGAGACTAATTAATATTTGTTCAAATATTTATTTCAAACACTTGACAATCTAGTTGGCTTTTCACAGCTTCGAGCTTCTTTACAGCCCATTTTACTAACTTTTTGTCCATTAAAATGTTGTGTTACGCTCAACTTAGTTATTTTTTCTTTTTTTAGTGTCTAAGTTCAACCCGATAGCCACTAATTATCCAGACTACACCCAGAGGTGGCGCCAGAAATTTTCCGACAGAGGGGTTGGAGATTCCGACAGGGGGGCCAAAATGCCTAAAATATGCAATTTTCGTACGTTATTTTGTCAAATTTGATCCGACAATAACCTAAAATTTTCTCCAATGGGGGGGGGCTAGTTGCTTCCGACGGAGGGGCTGTAGCCCCCCTAGCCTTCCCTGGCGCTACCACTGATTACACCTTTTAAATACAAAACTAGGGTCTATTTTTAACTTTGGGACTTACATTGCAAAACTTTCCAGAAGGCGGACACTTCCAATCAGCGGACACCTTGCTCTGGCCCCGACGGTGTCCGCTAATTGGAGAGAATACTGTATATTGTGATGACAAGGCCCTATGACTACCAGGCGTGTTTCCTACCCCCATCGAGTAAGTTTAAAACACATTATTGTTCATTTTGCAGCTTATTAGTCCATTACTCATTAACTTGAATAAGGCACATTCTAAATTAAATTCAGCGTTGGCCCTTGTCAAAAGGTGTTTTTTTTACACTTTCATTCACAAATCATGAAAGAAGAACGATACTTGTGTGCAGACACGTTTTTTAGTTGAATCAAGCTCTGTCAAAAATATACTAGCGTCTTTACCGTCAATGATCATAATACTCTGAATCAGATTTCTCACTAATTGGGTAAATGTTTATTTTGCATCGTTACTAAGAATGTCAACAAAGAACATCCATCAGAAGATCAATACTCGCCTTCCTTGCTCAGTCTTTGTTTTCCTGCATTTGACATTACCAAAATTTTCTGTAATGTGACTCATCAAAACAGAATGATACTTTGTTACTCCTTGACTCATTAAAAAAATTCTTAGATTGACACCATTTTTAATAAATTTCTGTTTTAACATTTCTGTTTGTACATTTCTGTTTTAACGCCAGGTTATACCTTGCCTCGCATTTATGATATATAATTTTCTATCTAAAACAGCTCTTTTCCTTTGCACCTCCCTTCGATAATCCTCCATACTCTGCAATGGCTCTTTTGTTCGTTCTACTGATACGTGCACTGAGACAATCATTGTGTCTCTACAAAACTCACTTTGAAAGACGTATAAATGACCTCACTTTAAACGTATGCAAACAGCAAAGTCCAGAAAACTTCACAGCCTTTCTCCAGCTGAAATTTTTGCACTCTTTACCTTCAGTGTTGAAGGCTTTTAGAAATACAATTTAATTCAAATGGCTGGGTCTTTACTTGTTGACTTTTTGCCGGAAGAAGTAGAATCCAAGCACAAGGTTAAATCAGAACTCACAATATTTCGCTATTTTGATGAGAATTTATGTTGAGTATTAGGAGTCACGTGAACAATTCTGCATTAATCTTTTCAATTAGGGAACATTTGCAAAAATCTATGATCGCCAGGGAATCTCGACTCTTTAAGTACAGACTGCAAGCAGTGGCGGCGCCAGCTATTACAGAGTGGGAGGGTCAGTGTGACCACGCCCCTTTTGCCTCGTTCCAGTGATTCGTTCCTTTCCTTGAAAAATTTGATCTACCCCTACCCAGCGCTTTTTAATCCATTTTTAGAAGAAATATAGAGACTATATTTTCAGAAAAGTGGGGAGGTAATTACCCCCCCCCCCAATACCACCCCTTGGCGCCGCCACTGACTGCAAGCTATGAAATCAATTAATTCCTCGAAAGCTATCACTGAATCGAAGGTCCTAAAATCCTCTCAGTTTTTATTGATTTTCAAATTACGCATTTCCTAGGGTCTACAACATTGTTGGGCAACCCTTTCTCTCGCTCGAGATTCTTTCAAGAAAATATTGTTTTTTGTTCGATATTTTAGACTGCATAATGCCATCTAAGTAATAGATTGATATTTCGAATCACCGAACATTCTTGTCGTAACCAAGATTTTTATTCAATCTGTGCGAGTTGTTGAAGGGATTTAAGTGAATAAAAGAAGAATCCCTCTTATCGGGATTTCTCTTGTCATTCAATGAACCTTGTTTCTTCCTTTCTATAAGAGTATTTAAAACTGCTTTTGCTGCTATATTTACAGAATTACATGATCAGGAACAACCCAAAAACTTCTTATTTTCCAAGTATTTTAAACAGCTTTGAAAACCAAAAGTAAAAATATTTCTATAGACTTATACCTTAAGCTTTTCCTCTGACACTCTTAAGGGTATAAAACGTCAGAACACTATGCTAGGATCGAAATAGGCCTATCAGAAACGCGAGCACATGACTGTTGAGGTTGCCCAATCAGTGCCTTGCGAATTCTGAAGTATATTTTTAACAACATCTATTCATTTCTGTTGACCAGCTGCAGACAAGGCAAGGTGTTTTAGCCAATTCAGAAACTCATGTGCAAGCAGAATCGCAAGGGTCAAAGCATAGGTTCTGTGGTAGTAGCTATCTATGACAACAGTATTGTAATGCCAGTTTAAAACAATTATGTTACTTGCGTGGCGCGACATGTTCCCGTGAAAATGTTCCCTTGAAACAATCTGAAGTAATCCAAAAGAGGGTGTAAAATAAGACTCCGAGTGATTTTGCAATCAAATCCCTTATCCGTTTTCAAACTGTTGTTGTTGTCAAGAAATCAATATTATAAACACTTTCATCACAAAAACATGTGGTCGAACTAAAGGGTGTTAAATTCCGATTCGAGGTCAAGCATTTCTTATGAAGAAACTCTGTGAAATATCCGGAACGAGGCCGTTAATCGAGGTGCTGCATCAGTGGTTATTAATATGCGACACAATTGGTTGGTTATCCCTTTTCATCAAGAATTTGCCTTCCCACGAGATAAGAAATCTTTTTTCAAACAGATATCAATGAATGCCAGAGCAACCCTTGCCTAAACGGAGCAACTTGCCAAAACCTGGTGAATAGCTATTCCTGCACTTGCGTCCCTGGATACGGGGGTACGAACTGTCAAACAGGTAAGTCGAGTTACGTTCCTGTTTGCTGCACTTTTCAAATACAATTCTCATAATTTTACACATCTGGTAATTCGATTTTTTGTCATTTGAATGGAGCATTCCCCTTTCACTACATTCCCGGTAAATGCAAACTTTTGATAAAACGAAATATCAATAAATCTTTGTAGTTTTGTAGCAGTTGACACCCGCCCTTTCGACTGCCTGCTATCTCAAGAATTCGCTATCTTGAACCTTTTTTATTTTCCTTGTTGAAAAAGGCCTATCATTTCGAATTTAACGAATTTTCTGCTGAGCTGGATAAAAAATGCATCAGGAAATTTTCCAACTCAGCCCAAATGCAGACGATTGCCTGAATGTTAATAACGAATTTGTGAAATATTAGCAGCTTGGTTTTTTACAATTTTTTTTCTCATCAAACACATTGCAATAACCCGCAAAGCATCTTAACTCTTTCTGCCCGAGCAATTGTTACATCAATTCCTTGGTTCGTCAGCAGTCCTCGGGTCAGCGGCCGCTCTTTGGCCTGATTTCCGCAGTTTAGCATCTTTGTTCCCTTTGTGTGATTCCAGGGCCTCCGACGAAGGGAGGGGCCCCCCACTTTTTTTGCAAAACAATAGAGTATTTTTCAAAATCTTTTGTTATGGGTGTTAAATTTTTCCTTGGCCCCCCCCCCCACTTTTCAACCTTTGTCGGAGCCCATGGATTTGATGCTAGTTTCTTGTTGGGGAGATGAGATCTCACTCCTATTGTTTGAGACAAAAGGCTTAATGATTTGTTCGAGCCAATCAACGTCGAGGGGCAGGGACGCATGCATATTCTAACGAATTATCCCTACAAAATCCCGGGCCATCCCCAACACCAAAAGCCAGGGAACACAACGAGATCTCGCAAACATGTCGAGAACAGTAATTTTAGTAATTTCTGAGGAGTTTTACGCATATAATTTAAGGACGTATTTTTGTTTATTTTTCATTTAGGGGTTTCCTCGGAACTTTTTGTAGATGTAGTCAAAAGGGGAAGATCAAAATTCGAAGCTTTCCGCCTTAAAAATTTGAATAATTGAATTGAAGGTACGTTGTCTGTTGTTTTAGTTGCCTTGGCCTGGCTCTAGTGTCGGAGGTCAGTTAAAATCAGGTTGTATTGTTTACATCGAATGTCTACTCTCTGTAAACACTTAGGCCGCGTCATAAAATTCTCGATGTTTTTGCTTACCTTTGGAAGTAAAGTGAGCCTTAATACAAACAAAAAACATAAAACAACAGAGAATCCAGGCAGGTTTTTCAGTATGAAAGATATTTCTGCTATGATCAAACTCCCATGTCAATGTGAATGATAAGCTCCGACCGCTCACTTAGTTTTGAAATTCGATCGCAAAGTTCTGTTTGTTCCTTTCTCGGGGGGTTCTATGCCTCTTTGATTCAGAATATATAATACGCATGTGCAATGGCCCCAAAACGGGGGTACTCATTTCATACTCAAGAACTTGCTGCATCTCATCTCCCCAACAATTTCGCTTGTTTTCAGTGATATGTTATGAATTTTCATCTTATTTGATCCATGATCATTTCAAGAGCCTTGGACTTCTCACAAATGACACTTTCAACTGTTGAAACTAACTTTTTCATGCCAAACCGTTTTATTACCCACGCTCTGTTCGTGATATTTCTCACATTTTTCTCTGTTACGACCCACCACAAACATAGATAACCCCCAATACACACAAATCACCAATTACGTAGCAATTAATAGACGAGACTTAAGGGTCACAGGCACACGCGAACATATTGTAATACTTAACCGATTTCTGTTTTCTTTAAGACATCAATGAATGTGCAAGCACCCCTTGTAAGAATGGCGGCACCTGCTCTGATGGTCTTAATCAATATACTTGTGCTTGTGTTTCTGGATACATTGGTACAAACTGTAAGAATACACCAACGCCAGGTACGCAATTTTTACTTTTTTAAGAATCTCTTTCCTTTCTACATTCTTCTTTTATAAGAAACTATCTATACGATGCTTCAGCTCTGGCAGACAGGTTTAACGAAACCTTAATTAAAACAAGATACGGTCTAAGCTTCATGAGACTGTGTAGCGATTTGAAATGATTCATTGGAATAATTCGAGTTTAATATGCAGAGTAATTGCTTATTGTATATCAAAACTTTATTCTATCCACCTTCTGCATACTCTTTTTTATAAGAACCAGAGAAGTGAGGTTCAAGCTGGCTGTTCTTAATTTTTAGCACAACTTTGAGGTACCCCTAAAATTCTTCAAGGGGGTTTCAAAACTCTGTTAAAAATTACATTTTAATGCTCAGCCTCAGCTTGTTCGTAATTTTTTCTTAACTTTTGACTATATTTGAGGCTTGTGTTCTTGTAAAGCTATTCTAATTAGAAAGAGTGAATCAACGTGTTTGGAGGAAGGCACTTTTTATTAATTTAGATTTGAAAACAGATACAAACTGTATTGCATTCAACTTCCATATTGCACTCTACTTCCATACTGCACTCAACTTCCTATTGTAATGTTTTCTGGTAAGCTATTATATCAGGAGACTTTGAGTACTCGATCTCGTGAGAAGTCGAGAAACTCCAGTCCTGAAAGTTTTCCTTGCTTCTCTCAAAAATGAGCGTATGCTTCAATCTTCAACCTAATTAGATTCACATGGTGCAGTTGCAGACTGGCAAGGGATGCAGGGAGGGGATTAAACGACTGGACACACGGCCTGCCCTTCCAGTTGTACTCACCGGTTTTGTTCTGTACTCTATAAAAAATCCATTTTTCAATCCCTATGGGCCGCCGTAGTGCCCTTAATATCCACAACAGCATTCTTGATCAGGTTATTTCAAGAAATTCTCTTCCCTTTGATTAATAATTTCGATTTATTTTGGAGTTTTGCCTGACTGTCAACTTTCCTATAAGAAATGAATTGATGAATCCTCTTGTATATGCCTACAGGATTGTATCTTAATGAATGTTCACAGGAACTTAATTTCATGTTTCATTTCGTGGCACAGGGCACAATTCATCCAAAATATAACAACGTCGCAGTTGGTCCTTTTACAACAAAAAAGTAAAATATTAAGCTAAAAGGAAAAATTGCTCACTTTTATCAAATTCTACATTATTTTAAGACAATAATTGACTGCACTGAATCATAGCCGTTTTCATAGCCACAACAAAAATTTACTGAAGAAGATTCGTTGTTTTCTTAGGTTTATGGTTAGATGAGATGTGTGTTTTTGTTCTATTAGGATCATGGGTAACCGGTGACGGTACTGGCGGAATCGAGGTCAACATTGGTGCTTTCTCAGACAAAGAGGCATGCCTTCGCGAGTGCAGCAAAAGAACGAACAATGGTATATATGCAAACGGAGCAACAGTCAATGCTGTGACTGGGTCGGTCTCTTGTTTTTGTGAGTTTGGCATGACTTCAAGAAGTGGAACATCCTACATTAGTGCATTCATTTCTCCGTGTAAGTGTAGTCTTTTGAAACATTTCTTCTGATTACTTTTCCCTTGAACCTAGTCCTATCCTCCGATTAAATAAACCAAACTGTCCTAAATTCTTAACGACTTTAAGTTTTGAGAAGTAATTCTTAGCGTGCTCAGATTTATTCAATTTTAAGGGCTTATAGAATGCGGTGGTAAAAAATGTTCCTTTTCAGACAAATCTTTCAAACATGGCAGCTTTAACTGTTTCATAACAACCTTACCATACCATCTATTGTCAATGCATGGCACAAAAATGTGTGATGAGCAAGCAAATGATGACTCAATGCAGGGGCGAAGCCAAAAAAAACTGTTCGGATGGGTGAAAAGGTGAATCTGCCGACAAAAAAGGCGTGTCTCACTCTTTAAGGGTGTGGTCAAAAGATAAATTATCTTACATGCTACTTTTATGCGTTTCTTTTTCTAAGTTTACACTCTAGTGCCATACTTTTAAAGTTTAAATACACAGAAAAGTTAATATGTTGCAATTGTTTCAAAAAGGTTACAGAATGAGTACAAAAATTCCATCATTTGCCCGGCAAAAATTCTTAATGTGCCGACAAACAAAACCCACTCGTACCTCCCTTTGGTGACGTCCCTGATTCAATTAATTTGTTTTAGGAGGGGCGTTTATCCGCCTCTATTTTAATCGCCCTAAGTTGTTATCGTTTGCTATTCGTAATGGTCTCTTGTAATGTGCTTCCTCACGTTTTTCTTTTACCCGATCTGTTTGAGTTTCTTTTTCCGGCATAATAAATGCTTGTCATGCCTTAAGGCATCTTTTCTGCTTTTTGATGTTTTGATGTTTTAAGCAGGGCTGGCTGGCGCATCGGCTTAAAATGGGGGAAAAGAGCTTTTCTTGTCTATTCCCTCTTCCCCAATATCAATTTATTAAAGGTTTTTTGTGTAACTTCCCAAAGTATCTTCTTCCTGTTAAAGGAGGAAGGCCCCCCGGTTACAGGTTTTTAAAACTTCTACGTTTATCAATTTGCACAAGTATTTTCATGAAAAGGACTTTTGATTCCCCTATAGCTTGCACGACCTACAACACTTTAAGTGATGCAAGCCGCCATATCACTCAAACTGGAGTTGTTAATTGTGACAGTGCCCTGGCAGGATCATATCGATTTATGGGATCAGCTGGTACTATGATGCCGACGTCTTGCGTAACTAAGCTCTACTGTTCGACGCATGCTCCGGGATGGATGCAGGGGACACATCCAACTCAGGCTGAAGGGGTAGTTGATCGTACGGTGTGCTTCAATTATAGTGGTAATTGCTGTGTTTGGAACAGAGCTATCAAAGTAAGAAACTGTGGATCCTTTTACGTCTATGAGCTGGTTTCAACTACCTGCAGCTTACGGTACTGCGGGACTGGCTAGACGGACACAATCTGAGATTGGCAAAGTGTACATACCTTAAATAAGTACATCATTTTGTATTTGTATCCTGCGCTTCAAGAAATGGGAAACAATTTAGAAAAATAAGGGTTTGGGCAGGGTTCTTTAGAAGATAAATTTTGCATCAAAAAGAGAAGCATTCTTAGAATTTATTAGCAACCAAATAAGTCCATTTCTATCTACAAAAGGTATTCCCATCGAGAACGTAGAAAGTTCCCGGAAAGGGGTTTTTGCAATGCTTTTGGATAAGTAAACCCTTCTTGAAAATCTCCCTCACATAATTACACACGATTCTATTGTGCAATATAATGTATAGATTTCTTAAATTACTTCAAAAAAAATATGAAAGTTACTCGAGTTTTTTCTAATATTAGCAGTATGATTAATGTTAAATATGAACTTCTTCTTTGCCAATGTTTTTTGGTTTTAAAGGAAATTTGTTAAAACAAGATTAATTCGACATTGTGCCTTGCTGTACATCATTGAAAATAGTAACTTGTAACTGTTATGTGATTCATTCCTTCGTGCATTTCTTTGTTCGATGAGGTACAATAGAATATCATCTTAAGGAAGGAAACCAAGATCGCTCATTTTAAAGAAAGAATTGACAAAATAATGACCGCTTTTATTCTTCATGTGTTATAAAATTTGTGAATATGCACCGATAAGATCAAGGAGATGAGTGGGTCACAAAAATCTTGTCAAGCATAAATATTGCCTAATATTTAAAACCAGAACAAAGACAAAATATACCTTTCTTGACTGTTGTATCTGGCTGTGAAAGGACGGTGTTTTGTAAGGTTTTTGATCAAGATTAATCATAGGCTTATGAATCAATGTCTTATTATTGGTCCTACTCTTTGAAAATTTTTGTTGAGATAGTTCGAAGGAGAATTGCTGCCGTTAAATGTGAATTATCAAATTGTTTCTACAAGATCTACACCCAAAATAGTTCTTGTATTCCTGTGTTCAAAATAACGGGTTGTCTATCTTTCAGAAATTGAATACGTAGATTATTGAGATGTTGAGAGACAAACTTTTTGAAAAGTCGAATTTTGGTTTTTACAGGTAACGATCTTTCTAAAATATTAATCTTGTTAATTTCTTCATCTCTTCATAGAATAATCATGCTTAAAAATGGATTAGCCTAATGTATGCTATTCCATAAATCGTTTCAAAAAAAAGAATTTAGAGAATACAAATGTAAATATGTTGACCTGATTATATCATCATATTGTGATTAAAGGATAAGCAAATATCATCAGCAAATCTTTTGATAAATCACATTTACTGCTGATTGCTAATTTACAGTTATAAAATTGGTAGTAAAATATTTGGGTGACAAAACTTTGGGTGTCTTTGTTTAAACCAAATATCATTCTTACAATAACCATAAGGCCTTCGCTATTGATACTAGTAAGCACAAGAGATATGAGATGAAACATAAAACTGCAGATTGTTGGCTATTTTTGACACATTCTGTCAATTTGAGACCTCCTGGCCTATTCTAAAACCATCTTAAAATGTGCTTAATACAGTACATATCCAAATGGTTTTTCTGAAATGATCTTATGCTAAAAACTTAGGTGCTTAGCTTCTCACCCTGTCTTACATTCACCCCCAGAAAGCACGTCGGTGGAAACTTTTTAGCACGAGGTTACATCTTCTGAATTGTGTAGAAGAGTCAATATGAAGTCTACATTGTAAAAATTTCGTTTAAATGGGAATCTCTTAATAACGAGCCAAAGAAGGGAAAGCATAACAACAAGCATTTTGTCTGCATTAGAGACGTATAGGCTTACTGAACAGAGAACGATAAATTTAATCCTTTATTTCCATACCTACACCTCTTTTTGCTGGAAACATTTATAACAAAAGCTATGACGTCCTCTGTTTGGTCCCAGGGGCGTTATGGCTAGGCGGGAATCCGAGAGATTTCCCGGTGGGCCCCTTACAAGAGACTTTGTAAAACTTAGGAAAATATTTTAAGGGAATAAATTCTTTGGTGAAATAATCTTTGATCTATATTAAAATGCAAGCTCATAGTTATGAACTAGAGATTTGCAGATAAACTAAACATAAAGGGCTCCATGAATGGAGTGCGTGGAATTTGAACAGAATGAAGGTCAAACAGAAGATGGCCCGTTAGAATGAGGCTTGCTTTCGAGAATACCGTGAATTCAAGAAGTAGCCCTTGAAGACTGATTAATTAGACAGTTTTTAGATGGGGCATATTTTTTAGAAGTCTTTGCGAAAAGGCGCTTATAAAAGCAGAGGAGGAGTGAGACGGATGGCTAGTCGATCTGGCTATAGTTACTCAGCATCACATTTTATTCCAAACATAAAGAATCACACTTTGCTCACAGTCATAACTTTTCATGCAACATTTAGCGTGAATTTAAAAGTCTTCTGTAGAAGATTCCTAAAAAGCAAAAAGATATAGCGAGATCTGGCTGCATTTTTAGCCTCGAAGCTCAAAGAAATCGAAGAGCTGCTTGCATATGATGGAAATGCCCTTTCAAAGATCTCCAGCTTAGCAAAAGTTGACCGAAGAACTCTCTGAGAAGTGCTTTTGTTCGGGCATGGCGCCACTGGGGGGGGGGGCATTTTGCATGTGTAAACGTGGCATACTGAAAATACTCGAGACAAAGAAGATGCACTTTTCTGTTCAAGAAGTAAAATTCTCTCAATAAATACAACAGCTTCTTGTTATTCACATCGATGTGCACTCTGAACCAAAGGTCACACTTACTTTCTTTCCTCCCTTTCCAAATTTTTTCAAAATATCAACAATCAATGCTTTCCTGAGAATCGACTAATCGTCTATTCTGAGCGATATAATAGTTTCTTTAATTTTAATCCAGGAGATGCACTTTCAGCCATTCCAGGAGGCCTAAATTCAAAACTTCTCTTTCGCGTCGGGCCCAACCATGGTGTCACTAAATTTGATTTGATGGCGCCATCTCTGTTGTTGTGTTATTACTATTTATGCTGTTTTTCCCAACTGCCCCGCTCGCACCAATAGCAAAAAATGGTTTTTTCTGAAAAGAATTGGCCCCTTTATGGTTATTTCTTCCCGGCCCTCTTCTAGGAGCCACAACGCCCCTGTTGGGTCCTCATTCTATTGAGCCCCTTCAGCTTCCCTATCAAGCTTATTTCAAATATGCAACCTTTCTAAGCAAAGATTGAATATCCTTCATTCTACATCTCTACCATAGCCTTGCTTGTACGGAAAAAGATACAACAATTTAGCGACAGTATATGATGTTAGTTTTCTTAACATTTCCAATTTCAATTGTAGCGAACTTCTTTACTCCTGTTATGCCTTTTTAGTAGTCTTTGAGACTGGTTCAAAGCAGTAGAGAGTAGGTGTTCTTATACTGAGAAGTCCATCTTAAAGGGCCTCTTTTCATTTGGTGTGAATTTGACGAAACAATCTTCTCAACCTAGAGATTTGCAAAGCAAAAATAGCAATTCCCTTGGAAAATGACCAACAATTTTCTCCGTACAATCTTGTAAACTGTACAGATACATCTTAACTGAAATGGCATTATGTATCTTTTGAAATTTTTCAAATTAGTTTTCATAGAAGCCCTACCCCTGACCCCCACAATTCCGCAAGTGAGCCTCGGTTTGATTTAGCTGACGACAGCACCGCCGCTGCTCATTTCATTCGAAGCAAACATGGTCGCTGAACACAAGCATTTACTACTGTACGGCATGGAATCTAAGCACTTTGTTTTCCAAGCAGTTTTCAAGTACAAAGAAAATGTCTCTAAATGTAGGTGCTACTTATTACAAAATTTCGTTGAGGCTGGGGGTTATTTTGTGTTTTAGTATATAACCAATTTACATCTCTAATTATTACAAACCCAATCTTGGATGTTCTTTCCTTTTCATTTTTCATTCACATTCTTCTCTTTAAATCGCTATTGCAGTTTTCTAAGCCTTTATTTCGTCACCTATACACGTCAAATCGGGCATATGACCTAGATAGCTCCTTGTGGGTTCTTTTCATATCTCTGACAGCAAACATTTTAAACTTCGAACCACCTACTGTATGTAGTTTTCCTTTTTGAAAAAAAATATTGTTATTTGTGATTCATGTATTAAATACAAATGTTGTAGTTAATTACTGCTGTGAATGAAATTTTTGAGCTGAGTTGAGTTGAGCATTTTGGGTGGCTCAATATTTCAGTTAAGTCAATTGTTGACTACTGACTTTTTGCTCGACCCCCATCAAGTTTTTTTTTAATTTAAATAGTTCATTATGGATAACTCTAGCCAATTTCTTCTACACTTAAACAGAGGGAAAAGGTTTAAAAACGTGTGATTTTTGCTGCTCCCTATAGCTGCAAGCACTTGAAGCCTGTGGGAGATGTGACGTGCAAACTTGAATCAGGCTTTTGAAAATTTTCACAATTTATCGTTTGTATTGAAGGGAGATGGAAAGTCAAAAAAGCTTGATTTTGAAAATGGTGAAAAGTCACAAAGCTTTGATGTGCAGCCATCTTATTTCAAATTCCAGCTAAAATATCAGTCAACACTAATAAGAATTCTTTTTTTCTATACATCAAATTATTTCTTTTGTTTGAGAAAGCAGCGCTTACAACTAATTTCTCCAAATTTCTGTTGTTGGAGCATCAGTCTTGAGCAGAAAATCACAATTTGTGAAATTGTATTGTCTTGAAAAATGACTGTACTGTTTCTATTGTACATTGATATCTCAACGAACCTTTTAATATACTAAGAGTGTGACTGATTCCAATTTCCTCATTTTAGATGCTGTTCTTATGATTTGAATTAATGCTACACATGGAATATGGATTTAGATGCGTTACTTTGTGAGCATGAAGCCGTTGCTATTGACAATCCCTGTCCAGAAAGATGCATCAAACTCCTGCAGCTTTGGAAGTCTATTTTCAGCATGAAGGAAGAGGTGTTTAATTTCACTTCTGTGAAAAGATGTTTTCTATTTAAGAGTGTTCTAGATTCCTTGAATCCCCGTGCTTGCACAAGTCTCAAAGGAAATGACCACAAATATTGCAATGCAGCAAGAAACTGCCAGCTTCTTGTGTTGTCTTTCATAAATATTGGGCTTGAACAGCTTGAAAATTTTTCTTTGAATCCGAAGCATGCCAACAACTGTGATTTTGCTAAAGAATGCAGTAATGATTACAAAGACAGCCTCTCTGAAAATCAAAGAGCATGTACTGCAGAAAGGTGTTATCTGGACACACAAAATGCAATACTGATTACCTTGCATTTGATAAAACGATCAGACTGTTTTGTGACCTACAAATCATTAGCTGTTTTCTCAAAATGGTTTAACTTGTATCCTGACTCTTTAACACAGCATCTTGACGTTATCAAGACCACATTTAGCTACTTGCTTGATAGAAGAAAGACTGAGTTTTATGGTATTGTCTCAAGCCTATTAAAATTAATGAGAAAGGAGATGCAAGTGGATATTGAGCAGATAAATTTCATGACTATGAAGAAGATAACGTCTCAGATCAGGCTCATTACTGCCATCTTGAAAGTTACCAGTTTCCCAGCAAAATCAGAATCAAGCTGTCTAACCTCTTTTCATAATGAAACTGAAGATGATGTAGAGAACATCAACAAACTGAGAGCTATCCAGCAGGCAAAAAAACTTGCAAAAGTCTCTTATGAAAAGAGGCAGATTCTCAAAATGCAAGTCCTTGAATATTCCAAAACAGAGCTTATTGGTGAAATCGAAATTCTATTGTCAGAAGTTTATCATGTCTTGAAAAGTAATGAACCAATTTGGGAGGATTTATTCATATCAATGGAAATAAACTCTTTTCAGTCCTTTATCAGACTTAGGATTTTACTCCATGATTTGGATAATTGCAGCTGTCCATCTTTTGAGATGAAAATCCTTGGTCTAAGAATTGTTAAGTCTTTCTTAGAGATGAAATTGGATAGATTTCTTTCCAGTGATTTTCATAGAGTACACGGATTTGGAGGGACTTCTTTTGAAAAGGATTCAGCTTGTAGAGGATATGATATTTTAAATTGCGCTGATGGTTATAATAGTTGGACATTTGCAAACACTAGGATGCTTGTATTGATAACATTAAAAAGTTTTTTGGTTGTTCTTGAATCAGAAGAGCAAGATGGTTTATCTGGTAAGTTTTTTATTATTTTATTGACAGTCATTGATGACAAGGGACAAACAAGCTTCTGGATTCAGAAAATACAGACCAGCTAAATGCCTAAAATAATCACTTGACTGTTCTGTGCAGAAGCCAAAAGATAATCAGCAAAATACATGCTTTGTCTTCCTTATGTTGTTGGTATCAACAGAGGCAGATCTAGGACAGACGTTGCTAGAGAATTCGCCAAAGAAACTATTGATTAAAAATTTTAATAGTTTCCATTTTATTTGTTGTTGCAAAAATCTGACTTATGCTTCTGCATAGGTTGATTTAGTCTGGATCTGCCTCTGAGAGGTAGTTTTAACAATGCTACTAGCTATGGCTATCAAGCTGTATTCTGGCCAAACTCACTGTGACCAAATCTCATTATTTCTTTGCTTGAAATTGTAGAGAGTGTGTGACTTTCCTTACTATATGTGAAAGTTTATGTGATTATGTCAGAGAAGGTGTCAGAGAAAATGTCAGATATAGAACCCTAGTCTCGCTGATCTGTAATTTGTAACTCTAGCACTAAACCATCCATGCACCTGACTATTAACTTTAAGTTCCACCACAATTATTCTTCCTATGAATGCCATCTTATCTTGTACATTTAATGGTTTTTTAAATTGAGGCCTATTTCAAGGCATTTAAGTCATGACCTATCAGACCTTTACACACAAGATTCTGAAGCAAGAAAAATGTTGATTTTTATTTCAAAAGAAATAGTAAGAGCGATTTAACACATTTTTAACTGCTGCAAGACTTCAAGACTTCTAAGTTTGAAACCTTCTTTCTAGATGGATATAAGTTTCAAGGAATCAAGGCCTTCTGAACTAGATTATGTTTAGTACTGGATCATTATTGGATTGTAAATGAAATCTTCTATTGTTGCAACATAACCTTCCTTAACAAATTCATATCTTGTTCCATTATTTCTTTGCAGTTTCTGGTTCACCTGTCTTCGCCATTGACAACTCTTGTCGGCTCTTTGAACAAATTGCATTGTTGCTTCTTAATGTCAAACAAATAGAAAGCAAGCAGTTACTGCTTCAACAATTTCCAAGCCTCTTAGTTAACCTGATGATGGATGAAGACGATCAGCTTTGTGAAGCAGTTTTTCTCCTACTTAAGATTTGCAGAAGACTTACTGAAGGAAGCAACAGCTCTAGGTTTGATTTATAATCATCATTACTTCTAATACATGTAAAGTCGATTTTCATTTAGTACCTTCTTAATTAAGGTTGATCGTTTTGTTTGGAACTAAAATTAAAATTTTAAATTTTTTAGATATTTTCAATAGAAAAACATTTTTTTTCCTCCTGGGTTCTGGCAACCCTCCTTTTAAGAACTCACAATAGAGCTTTATTTATTAAAAAACTGTCAATATATGCAACTGGCATGATTTGGATCATGTCATGATTCAAATTGTTGTTTGTGATTCAAGTCATAATTCAAAATCATGATGTCTTAAGACTTGCATGAGTCATTTCATCACAATGACATGCCACTTAAAATATGATTTCTACCATATTCTTTGCAATTAGAGTCAATAGAAAACAAATCGAGGTTTTGCAAAACATCTTTGCTACTTCATTTAATACTGATTATGATAGCTCCAGAAAATGAACAAATGGTGCATTAATTGGTAAATATTTTACAGACTGATTTTTTGGAGGATGAGTCATTACAAGTCAAAGCTGAGACAATAGCTGCTTATCGAAACCATTAAAGTCTCATGATACTCCATGTTTCGGGAGTTGTCATTTTTTATGGTGGATACAGGGGTGGAAGAATTTTAAAGACAGATCAGAATATTTTCTTACCCCATTCATTAAACCCAATAATAATTGAGAGCCCATTAATACACAATAATGAAATAATTTAATACCCCAGTATTTTCTATTCTTTTTATACATCCAATTCTTTCTTTTTCACTATATCAGAATCTTGTGTGACCTGAAATGTAATCCAGTGAAATCTGCTAGACTTGTTAATATAATTAGCCATTGTCAAGGAAATTATTTTTTGAATCAGGCTCTTTGATACAATAGCAACTTCCTGCAGCTAACATTTGCTTCTAGTTATGCTATTAAAGCATGGTGATGATCCATATTTTTCCAATCTGCACTAATTAATATTTTAGTGCACCATGTCAGTTTCTAAGTTTGTGATACTTGTCCTTTAGAAAAGTTGTGTTGTTATATACATTAAAGCAAAACAATAACCATTGTTTTATGCAAGATGTTTCAATTATACCTCTGTTGAAACGTACAAAAAAATTTATACTCTCTCAGAAATTTGTGAAAAAATTTGATAACCTTCTAAAGCAAGGCCGAAAGCTTTTATATTCCTCTAAAAGTTCTTCCACTCTGGTTCCCAACATTAAAAATGACAACTCCCCCATGTATTATTATCTAGCTCAACTGCCAATAATTACTTTGTTTTGAAGAAAGCTTCATATACAATTGCTCAGTTGTGATTTGTGATTTCATTTGCTAATGATTTGCTATGATAGTATCATTATATTCGACAGGAACAGTCTTAGACCCAACGACTTGAAATCCAGTATTGCCAATTTCTTGCCACATGAGCTGTTCTATTGTCTACTGGAGGCACTGTCTTTTGATCATATGGTTTGCATTGATTGGTTAATTTGCAATGAAACCTGCTTCTGTGAAGCATTAGTGCTCTATCTGGAAACAATTTTATCCAGCTTCAAATATTTCGTGATTTCTCTCAGTTACCACGAGGGTTGTATGACGAGAAGAAATGAATCTAATGAAGAATTTTGCTTTGGTTTTGGAACAAGAATTTTCAATGATGAATATCTAGAAAAAGATCTTCCAGTTTATCAGCATGGTAATGCCACGAGTTCCTCGAATGAAATTCGGTCAAAGGAACATTCTGTTCATCCAAGTAAGCTGTTAGAACAAAACTACCCATTTTGTCCCATAGAAGACACCATAGAAGGCAGTAATTCTAAATCTGAAAATCTTGGCCAAAGGAACCAGGAAGTTGAAGCTCTTAAAGAAATGAAAGTTGGAAATCTAAAAGAAAGTCGATGGATTTCTTTTTGCACATCGAATGCAAAAATCGCTGACAGAGACACTGAATATACAGAAGAGCTTTGCAAAGAGATAGAATCAAAGTCAGATGAAAAATTGATATCCCTGGTAGACTACGGGAGCTCAGACTCCGAAGATGAATCTTCTAGTATCGCTAATACTACTGCTATTGTCTCGCAGCAGATGGTCGAAGATTCTGTAAGGATTGTCAATAAAAATAATCTTGTTTGCTGTAGCAGTCTTGAGACTGGTGATGCTGATAACAAAGGACGTTGTGAAATAACCATGTGCAAAACAGACGAGTGGGAGGAAAGAAAAGCTGGTAAAAAGTTAGAAAATATTATGGATTTATTTGTTCGCTTGCGTCTGAAGCTTGAAAGAATATCTGGAAACATGTTGTCTGAGAAGAATTTCAATGATGTAATCACCTTGTTGGTCGATGTGGAGGATTTGTACGATTATGAGTCAACCTGAACGTGAGTCTTTAATGCTGTTGATCTTCCATTTTGCTATGTTATTGGGTTTGGAGATGCTTAAAAATAAGGAAACAATTTACTATTCCAAGGACTGTATACCTGCAAATTGCCTTGCATGAATAAAATCGAACTCCCTATTTATCAACCAAAGTGTCATGCCTTTATTCGTTGCACCGGCCTTTGGTTGTAATTGCAATGATATTGCATTGTTCGCTTATTGAAGAATTCATTGAAGTTCAATACCTACGTCACCTCATGCAAAGATGATGTTAATATTTCTTACTATTTAAGACTGAAAAGTATAAGGGTTTTTATTTCTCAACATTATCGATTCCTGTGATCCGAATATATGAATTAACAAATATCCTGTACTGGCCATGTCTAAATACTAACTGGCATTTTCAATCTGTTTGCACGCAATACATATTTATGCATGCGCATCACCCCCGAAAGTATTGCAGTCCTTCTAAGGCAATATCTTGCGTGTTACACTGCAGCTGAAAAGACTGACGGATGTTTTTTGGGAAAATTGCATCTGACTCTGAGTGGAAACTGCCCCAGAAACCTTTTCGGCAAACTTCTAAGGCATGTCCTTCTAAGGCAATATCTTGCGTGTTTCACAGTGGCTGAAAAGACTGACGGATGTTTTTTGGTAAAATTGCATCTGACTCAGAGTGGAAACTGCCCCAGAAACCTTTTCGGCAAACTTCTAAGATATGTCCTTCTAAGGCAATATCTTGCGTGTTTCACAGTGGCTGAAAAGACTGACGGATGTTTTTTGGGAAAATTGCATCTGACTCTGAGTGGAAACTGCCCCAGAAACCTTTTCAGCAAACTTTGCCACATCAAAGTCAGCCGCTTTCAGCCTCCACGTTCTTAAATTGAACAACATACTTCAGATTCTTCAGTGTTTGTTTAGCTCATGGCTTTTCGGGACAAGTGAATCCTCACTGTTTGTGTGGCCCGGTAGAGATACTAATATGGTCTACAAATGGTTGTCAAAATATATTTTATTGCTTTCAAAAACCAAATCGACGCATTTACACTTTAATTCAAAAGCCATGATGCCGGCTAGTTTACCTCATATGAAATAGGGCTGTGTCGACTTTTATGCTAAAGAGATTTGGGGGAAACTCTTAACCCTTAAAAATTGATGAAAATTCATTGTCTCTAATGAGTTATCTCTTTTATTCCTGCCTTCTCAAGTAATTGTGCTTCTCCATTAAATTTCTTACGACACTGTAGTCATTCGGTTTGTCGGTTACTTTCGTTGGAAATTTGCATAGTTCATCATTCTTCAGTGAGATGCAGCCGTTGTTTCAAAGATCAATCATATTTCCTATCCATTTCTTGAGTCTATAGAATCAAATGCTGCATGCAAAATACGAAATCAGAGCAAGAAAGTAATTGAGTTTGCCTTAGAATTGGATTCGAAGGAGACCTTTTCTGCAGAAGCTTGCTTATTCGGATTTCCCAGTACTTCATTAAGCTGGCTTATCGAAATTAAGGCCCTTAAAAAGATTAATTTAATTGAAAAGAGTTACAATGTTCTATGACTCTGAAACCTTTGGAGTTAAAATGCCAGAAGACAGATCTCTAATCGCGGTCTGCTCTGCAAATCAAATGTTTTTCTCGATGATGAATCTAGTTAAGGTCTCAAGGAGCCAATGACTGCAGGGTTTTAAAAACTCCCGCACTTTTACATGAGAGATTTTGCTCCAGCAATCACCGAGAATTGAAAGTCGTCAATCCGATCATCAAAGAGAATCAAATCTCATTTCTTTTTCAATACTAATATTTCATTGACAAACGAATATTGAGATAGATACATCATTCAGTAGAGTTTTATTCTGTAAAGTTCGACTTGTTTTTATTTCAATGAACGTTTTATTAACTGGCTTGGAAGCGGTGTAATTACGATAAATAAAATTGGAAAATTCAGCCACTCACACCATAAACAGAGCAACTTTGATTTACAAAGACCGGCGATGAAGTGCCTTGACTTCAACGGCTGTAACCAAGAACACAAAATTGGATTCTTTATCATTTATTGATAGCTTTTGTGTAGGTATCCTTTCTCTTGTGCTTTGTTCTTTGTTTTTGATCTTTTTGCGATTTAGGGGGTCTTATAGGAGAGCATATAATTTTTTTGAAACAGATTATGGTAACTCACACTGAAACGTTTAGTCATTGCAAAAGGTCAGTCTTTTCTTAAAGCCCAAGTTGGGAGAGACGAGCTGGAAAGAAGTCTGGGTACTGCAATCTTTTTTAATCCTCTCTTTCCTTGTCAATAGTTTTTATTTAAAAATTTGTAAACAGTGGTGGGTTGAAATGTGATTTGGCAGTAGCATCATTTGGTAAGTCTGGTGAAAGGGTTTTTTATAAACTACATCTTTATTATTTCTTTTAAAAGGCATTAGTTAGATAATGATCGCGACATTTAACAAGAAAACCATTTTTCCTCCATATATGGGTGTTATAACCAATGTCTTCTTGTATATATTTTGTGTGTGTATATATATTTTGTATATATAAGAACAAATTAACTAGAGACCAGCACTAAAACTTCCGTAAAACACTGTGTTCTGTTTATGGAAAATTTACAAGGCCCAACTCTTATCCGCTTATTAACTGGTTGCTTATTTTAAAAGTTTCATTGAAGTTTTATATTTACTGTAGAAGATATTTCTGTTGCTCTTACAAGCATAAACTGAGTTACTGATTGATTCATTACAAAATTTCTGCATCTCATTTCGATGAAGATTTATCTAAACAAACTATCCAATCTTAATGCGCCAAATCCTCTTTTGGTCATGCTTTGTACAACGAGTTCGATCTTGCTTTTTCTAATGGGGTCTTGGTAGGATGAAGAAAGGTTGTGTTGTAACATTTGTCATCAGACGTATAATCTATGGATGTACAGTAGAAACCCGCATAAAAGAATCTAGGTTTTTTTCTGACAGCCTGAATAGGTTCTTAATTAACAGTCTGCTATTCTAAATTCCAGTCTAAAAGGTTCTTAACACGGTTCTTATATACAGTAGAAACCCGCATAGGTTTTTTTCTGGCAGCCTGAATGGGTTCTTAATTAACAGGCTGCTATAGAATAGATTCCAAATTCCAGTCTAAAAGGTTCTTGACAAGGCTCTTATATACATACAGGCCTTGCACATATTAACAATGTTTTCCACCGCAAGAATTCTACTGGACACACTTAAACCAGCTTTTTTATGTTGAATTTCAACCAATCAAATGAATTTGTGTTGTTAGATTGTCCAATTAGAATGCAACATACCATAACCTGATTTACCCAAAAAACCCTTTTTCCTATCTATTTATAAGAACCTTTCCAAATTTCAGCCTCTAGGGGGTTCCTAATTATTGGGTTTTAAAGATTAAATTTCAGACTCGATGTTCTTACAATTACAGATTTTTTACGCGGGTTTCTACTTTAAGGGCCTACTTGATTTGAAAGACTTCAAATAAGTAGAGGCAGGAGGCACAAGGTAATGTTGACACGCTGTTCTGATCATAGGTCGAACGCTGACATGGATAACATAGGGAAAATCGACTTTCTTTGCCAAATTGCAAGGTTGACTACATTTCGACTGAACGCGCAAATTTGTGCTAATTTTAAGCTATGTTAATGTTGATTCCGGTGAAAATGTGAACAAGATTTCTGTAAAAAGTATTTTTAGTGAGCTCGTTTCACTGAGGAGTTAAAATAAGATTTTTAAACTGATTTTGACAATCTGTTTTGGGAAAATAACCAGTCACTGTCGGTATGTAAATCTGAAAAACCAAACATTCTTAGTTCCTTAGGACCAAAGCATGGTGATAATGCATATTTCTATTTCATCCATTGTTTACTTCATCCATTTTGAATTCCGTTTTAGCAGATCATTTAGTTCATACAGTTTTTTACTATTTTCTTTCTGTAATGTAGTGCCTATGAATTTTGCTGTATAATAAATTATGGTACCTACTCTCACTTCATGCGGCGACCGTTTCTATTAAGACGATACCCTCATCATTCATAAGTGCTAATTTAATCACGATGGGGTGCAAGCCCGCCGAGAATGGGGCAAGGGACAAATCACCCAAGCCCAAAATTTATATCGAAGTTTCTTTCCATAGCAACAACAATAATCGCAGTTATGTTAACGTCACAACGGGCTCAATCTTTCGTCTTGCCCCAGGCCCCAAAAAAGTCTCGGCAGGTCTGAAAACATTTATGATGAAACAAAGAACAGGAGCCTTTATGAACAGATAGATATAAAACATTTTGGCTACGGTCCAACCAGGTTATTACTTTGAAAACTTATATTTATACCCTGGGCACACAATGTACAGAAATAGAATCATGTTTTTCATAAAACATAAAGATAAGGAAAACCATACGAGTTGTCAGAGCTAAAGTCTTCACGTGTCTCATCACGTGTCTCATTTGTGAAGGCCCTATAATTGCTGTTTGCAAAATATTCTTTATTTTTGAATATAAATGGAATTTAGTTGCAACAAATTATTTTGATATTATGGCGCTTTGCAAATGTACGCACTTTCTATGCTGTTGCCATTTGTTTCGTGGCCACACACGTCATGGGATTTTGGGCAGTGGTTTCCACGGGGATATCACTAATTATTGCACTATAGCAAGCTTTCCAAACAAGTGTAAACAGTTTGAATACGAAGGGCTCTGTAATGTTCTAAACGAGGCTATTGTATAACGAGGTTTATCATAATGTATCACCACTGATCTCTATAAAAGACTGGATCGAGCTTCTGCCGTTTCAGACCGAGGTCAATGTTGCTTGTCCGCGTGAGACCCATCTTACCAATAACGTCAGAAGTTCAAATTTCCAAGTTAAGTTATTGGATGTAAATTTAAGTTGAAAAACAGCTGAATTGTAACTATAGAAATTTCCCAACGTTCGATGTGATCAAATATGTTAATTGTCTTGCTACACGCTGCGTCCCATGCGCTGTATGTTCTGCTTTATTGAAAAGTTGGTCAATTGGAGATAGAGGCACAGAATAGAAATGTCATTTATATTCTGTTATAGAGGTACAATCACTGCCAAAATTACTTGGAACACCTAACTCTTTGCGCTGTGCTTTTTCTATTTTTCATTTGTTTTCTTGAAAACTACCACTTCCGCCCCCCTTTCCCCCCAAAACAATGTTGAAAGTATAGAAAAATATCAAACAATTCACAAGAAAAAGCGTACTCCATAACCCCTTTCTTTTTTCTATAGTAAATCAACATTGTTCCTAGGGGTAGATGGGGATGGCTGGATTTGCCTTTGAAAACCTACGTTAGTGTTCCAAGACTTTTGGCAGTGATTGTAGGTAGTTTGTAAGAAGTACTTTTTGACATTGTGTACCCCGTTTAGCTCTCATGTCGGTACCTTTCGGTGTTTCGCGGTGAACGGTGGGTCCCACGGTTCTAGAGCCTAATCAAATTTAGCGGGCCTCGCTTCTCACGTGGCTCAAACAATAAGGGCCTGTTTACATGAAGTGGGCTAGCCCACTTGAATGGGCAAGTTTCCGCAGGTGAGATCGTATTCTCAAGTGTTTATATGAGGACGCGATTTATCCCACTTGGGTGGGATGGCCTCTTATATTTAATATTGTAAATGAGGTTTTTTAGTTTATGGCGCCACAGTTTTCCTTAACAATGGCGAATATCAGTTGGATTCCTTTTCTGACCGTTGGATTATACGTTATGCTCGGATTCGTACTTCAGTTAGACGATCGACATTTTCGCTAGTGTCATTTCAATCGAGAAAACGTTTGAATTCTCTAGGTTTCTGTACGCTTTTACTAGTTTTAGCAGAAGAGCCCGACTGTTGCTGCCGATTCGTAGGACATTATGATTTGGTTAAGTTTGGCGCAAACTTTCTTTACGCAGAGAGTGGGCTAGCCCACCTGATTACGTTTACATGGATAATTTCCATCCCACCTGATGCGGATCCCACTCGTCCTTCTCGCGGATCTCACCTGAGCGGGCTGAACCACTCTCCATGTAAACGCAAATACAGAGAACAAAGGAATGTATAGAAAGCACAGATCCCACTTGGGTTAACCAGCCCACTTCATGCAAGCAGGCCCTAAGAAGCTCACCATCACCAGTCCATGCTGTACAGCCTCACCATCACCAGTCCATGCTGTACAAGAAAAGCACCCTAAGGCTAGAGTTACACTATACCGGATTGCTATGAGAGCGGAGCAGAGCGGAGTAACTTTTACTCCGGAGTGATATTTAGGGCAGCAGTAACACTACGACGCTCCACTCGCTCACAAGCCTGTATTCCTTTGCATTTCTGGTACACAAAATCCACCAGATTAAATTTTTTGATGATATTTTCGAGTTACAGTCTTTGGCAGTCTGTGACAACTCTCGCCCATGAGGGACATCAAGGTGTTGTGAGAACAAAGCAGTACTTACGGATGCATTTATGGTTTCCTGGATTAGATAAGATGGTCGAAACAGAAGTTGCACAATGCATGGGATGCCAAGCAAACATAGATATTCATCAGCAAGAGCCACTCAAGCCAACAGAACTACCCACAGAACCATGGTCAAAACTTGCTACAGACCTATATGGGCCATTAGACACTGGTGAATACCTGCTGGTTGTACGATGTCTGTATTCCAGGTTTCCTGTGGTTGAAATCTTGCGCTCAACTTCTGGTACAAAAGTCATACCAGCAAAGGACAAAATTCTCTCAACTTTAGGAATCCCAGATGAAATAGCTAGTGACAATGGGCCACCCTATAACAGTGAGGAATATATGGGTTTTGAGCACAGAAAGAAAATATCATATGCACCATGAGCAAATGACATGGCCGGAAACTTCATGAAAAATCTCGGAAAACTCATTCGCTCCTCCACAGAAGAGCGTCTAAGCTGGAGACAAGAATTGCAGAAGTAACTGAGGGCCCATAGAGCTACTCCACACACAATGACAAAGCATTCTCCAGCCAGTCTCCTTTTCAATGGACGAAGATACAAGACACGCCTTCCTGCACCTACTAGCAAGAAAACATTGCTCTATGACAGAGAATGGCGTACAAAAGATGCTAGCAGCAAAGCAACAGCAAAATGCAGATCGCAAGAGCTATGTAAAGCAACTAGACATTAAAGTGGGGGATACAGTTTTGTGTTGACAAGCAAAGCTTAACAAGAGAACGACACCTTTCAACAGAGAGCCAATGGTTGTTGTGAAGAGAAAAGGTAGTTTAGTTACAGCCAGAAATGCAACAAGAACCGTCACAAGACATATTACATTTTTCAAGAAAACACATCTGCAAAGGTTGGAGGGAAACACATCAACGTGTGAAGAAGACTATACCACACAACCACTGTCACCTGACACTGATGAAAGAGAAGGGAATGCCATTCCACCAAATGAAGTAGAGGGTAGAGTGCCAATAGGGAAACCAGTGAGAATAAGACAAGCACCTGGTAGATGCAGAGATGAAAACTTTCAGACCGAGTTTTGATCTAACAGTGCAGCAGACACAATAGACCTATATTATGCGTAGTTTATCATTCATGTTATGTTTGTTTTGTTAATTAGCGAAGGATGTAATGTTCTAAACGAGGCTATTGTACAACGAGGTTTATTATTATGTAACACAAGTAACAGAAGCACGTCTGTAATGTGTGTGAACCTTCTAACCAGGTAATTTTTGGTGTTTATTTTTTGGGTAATTTGAGGCTCGGGTGTCCTTGATGTTGTTTTTATTTAACATAGATTTTTCTAGATTCACACACTATAAATTGCTTCTAAGACCATTAAATAACAGCTTTGCTTGAATTTTTAAGGTGTATGGGCGGCTACATGATGAATCGAAGTGCGAAACACTTTCAAGTAAACCTTTGGTTAAAATCCTATTTTGCATATCGGAAAATTTTTTTGCTCGGTAGAATTCTCTATTTGCCAAATTGAACTGTCCCCTGTTTAAAATTCCTCTGTTTTGTTGACATGAGAGAAAATTTCCAAAAAATACATTCGTTTTTCCTTCTGCTTCTACATTTTAGGTTGGGCATGTTCTTACATCTTTCTTTTTTTTCGCAAATAGAGCCTCGGTGTTCCTATAAAGTTTCTTTACCTTTATATAAAATAAATTGAGACTAGGATTGCAGGAACAAGCAATTTGACCCTCTCTGGTTTGCCTCCCCTGAGGTAAAGGTTTTTAAAGGGAAAAATAATTTTTTGGACCGATTTTTTTCTGGTCAGATCAAACCATATCGTGAATTGGTGACTTCTATGTAGATATGGATTCACTCATTTTGTGTAGTTTTGCAGATGTAAATTTTTTAATAATTAATGTGAAATTACAATGGGCAAATTGCTTAGCAGTTGAAGACTTATTTTCTTACTTTTCAGTTTAAAAAAAAATGATTGAATGAAATTATGAATTTTTTCATGATTTTTTATCGTATCTCAATGCGAAACCCCCGTATCACACGACGGCAACAAAACTCTTCAGTGCAAAACACTTGGCCTTATCAATAAGATGCTGTTAGGTATGAGCTCATGGGTGCACAGGTGATTCCGTTGTGACGTGAGAAAGCGATCCTTGTGTTTTACGCTCTCCGGTCCCAGTGGGAAATGCCTGAACATTGCATTCGACTCAAGACTGCGTCGTAAACTAATATAAACTCTATGTGCAGTTATCTTAGGAAGCGACGCAGTGAAAGAACTGCTTATTTGAAAAAAATGAAGCTGTGTGACCTCTAAAAAGCCGCATTTTTGTACGAAACACCTAAAAACCGAGTAAAAAATCATTAATATTTGCAATATCCTACAGAAACGCGATAAACGGCTCGACAGATGATTTATCCTACGCAAACATTTGTACCGAAAGAGTTGACTAATTTGATCATTGATTTAGCTTCTAAAACTACTGATCTCTACCTGATCATTATTGATTTCTTCGTTTTTTATGATAATTACAATGTTACTAAAAATATGACATCTTACGTCAGTTTGTGTGTTCTGGTGCACTTAATATATTTTCAATGAATGTTGAAAAATGGATAACTCTAAACTGGCAGCTGGCAATGGGCCTAAAGTAATTCGATATCGTTATGCTATTGCTCTACTATTGTCGTTATGACTTTCGAGAATAAATTATTGCATCGCGTTGCTGTTGCTGTCGTTGCTGTTGTTGTTGTTGCTGTTGTTGCTGTTTGCATCCATGAAAAGCTTTTTTCTGTGCCTCTTTACTTTATATACATAAAAAGTCATATTAAAAAGGGCAGGAATATTTGTATGAAAACAGAACTTAGGAAAGCTGTAAGACGCAGCGACATGCAGCTCAAGCAAGACTAAGATTCGCCCAAAGTATATATATAAAGCATACGTTGACAGTTTATTTGTATCATATACATAAACAGTACATTTTCATTTTGCGTCATGTACGGTGTCGTCAAATCCTTTATAGAGGTTTCCTATTGCGTGACATTGTAGAATCGTTGGGCATGTAAACTCTTCTTTCTCAGTAACTGCTAAGAAGATGCTGTTGTAAACATCCTGTCGTTAGTAACCTCTTTCGCTAAGGAAGGTTTAAAATTGTGCTGAATAAAGAGATCATCGCTAAGGTCACGTATATGGGTGCATTTTCACGCTTAATATCGAATTTACACATTCATGGGCGTTGCTCCTGAAACGGGAGTAGCTGCATAAGATCAATCAAGTTCTTTCTGCCTCTTCATTTCATGCCCCGCACTTCTTATTCTGTCGGTTCTCTTCCCTGGAAGAAGGAATGTTTGGTTTACAGGAGTAAGTGCTACAAGATGTGGCGTGTGAATTAGCAGCAAAAAGCAAACAACAGATTTTTGCTTATGATTTGTGTTACTCCAAATTGTCTCAACGCTTGATTCAAATTACAAGACAATATAGTTTAAAAAAAATTAGTGCAAACAAGGAAATTTTTTAGAAGAGACTACAATGGTTTCTTTAGGGGCTGACCTTAGCCAAAGAATCTGAAGATAAGGACATTGATGCCACCTAGGACCGCGACTCGCGATCTTCCCCTAATAAGTAAAATGTTAAACTCTTTGGCTAAGGTAAAATCAGCCATCCAGTAACTTGCTATAGATACTTGATATTCGAACACTTGATATACTGGACGGCTGACGTGGGAACACGCTTCGTTTCGCAGAATTCGTTCCACTTGGATGTTGTGACCAAAAACATGGTCTCACGAATCTTTAGCACGGTTTATCCCAGCGGGGTGCGTCTTTTCACTTGATTAGCAATCAGTTTTGTCTAAGCACTGGCCATTTGCCAGCTTATTTGTGGCTCAGTTGTGGGTTTTCTTTTGTAAGGAATCGGTACCGAGTACAAATTGGTGTCCACAAGGAGCTGTCGTACATAACTGCATCATCAATATTTGCTAGATTTTGTATTTCTAAAGTGCCAATGCACCAAATTTTAACTCCCTCCATTCCAAATACAGACAGCTAGGTAAGATCAAGAACTAATTCTAGCTGTTATTGTTCCATTATCCTCAGTTTAGTGATTTTATTACAAGGTTTTATTACAAAAAGAGCAAAACTTTGCTTTATTGTGTGTCTTAAAGAAGTCTAAAGGCAATCCTGTCTGTTCATTGAATCAATCATTTAAAAAATTCTACCTTTGAATGAAACAAGTTCCCAAAAATCCAAGGTTGAAAGTATTCATTATTTGGCAGAAGTTAAAATCATTTGTCAGCCTTCGTATTAACTAGTCATAAATTATCAATGTATAGCTTCAATTCCTCATCTTGACTCTTAAGTAAGCTAACCTTTTTATACATACAGAATCCTGGGTCTTTCAGTGAGTGGCACAGGAACTAGAGGCAACTTAACCTATCTCGATTTGCAAGACTAGATTCTCAATAAGGATCTTGTAATTCATTATTTGGTAATTGATAATTTTCTAGGTTCTGTCTTGCTAAACTTCATAGAAATTAAAATAATCCTAAGGCAGGACTGTACATAAAAGCTCCGGTTCTTGGTCTTAGGATTAAAGGCGATTTTTTTAAAAGAAAATAAGAGAAAATTTTTGATCAGAAATTTTTTCTTGACATTTTACTGTATGTTAAACAAGCCGCTATACATGTGCCACATTCTTTTAATTTTGGAGTACACATTATAATCGGATAAGCCATAAATCAAAAATACGTTATCATGAACCGTTGCCGTTTAGCTTCTATTTAGAATCATTCCAGGGTTTTTATTATTTTGCCGGGGGAACTGTCAGTGTCACGTACCAACTCGTACATTATTTTAGAATATGTTTAAAATATCATAAAGTTGCGTATATGAATAGCATAGGCCAGGGCTTAGCTTAAAGACCTCTTATGCACACCTAAGTACTCAGCCTTGAAGGCTGCAAAGCCGAGAAAGTGAAGAGTCCGTTATACCTTTTCTTAATAGAAATGTTTAGTTTGAATGGCTCCTATAGAAGAAAAAGTTTACATCTGACAAGATATTATAAGAATGTTTTATTGGCTTTGAAGATTATTACCAACGTCTTTATTTCAGAAAAAGAATGCAGGTATCGGAGAAAATCCTTGCGAGGTACTACTATAGTACCCAAATCTTTGTGAACATGCTACCATAGAGTTATATGGGTATAAGAGTGCAGTCCACCCAAGTTAATTAGGCTTGTTCTATATGGTTCTTTTAAGAAAAAAGAAGCATAAGAAACAGATAACCTTTGTAATTAAAGAAATGTTGTAAGACAACTTTAGCATAACTTTGAAACGCAAATGAAATTTTGTGGTGGTGAGGATGTTTCATTGTGACGTCATGTTTCAAACTGAGGCACCAATGCGAGACGCGTTTCTTGTTCAATGTTCGGTAGTTTTGTAGAAGCAAACATGTCTTGCTAAGTGCAGTGATTTTGAAAGTTCCAATGTACAGGACCTTCAAACGCTTTAGATTAACAACAGCAATGAGTCAGCCACTTTCATTTCCGTTGCTTGACTGTGAATATGATAGAAACTTCTTGGGAGACGATAAACATGGAAAGCCTTACATCGCCGCTCTATCATCGCTTTTTTTCCTAATACAAACTATCAGTACAAGGAAATGAGTTCTTAAGCGGATAAGCTTCATAGATAATTAAACGGGTTTCTTGTGTTTGTAGGCTCTTCCACGTACCCGAGTCTCTTCTACTTAATGAAAGGTGATTTGGCTGAACAAAGAGAACTCCATCATCTCTTGCTTAGCTTTCCTATCCGCAATACATAACCGTATGAGAGTATCTTCTTACCGTGTTGTAATCAACTATCCTCGGAACGTATACCCGATATCTATCTGTCAAAGGTATCTTATCGGATTCCCAATCAACCTTCATCGATACTCGAAGTAGTTTCTCTTGCTATGAGTAATAGTGTTCTAAAGTGTGACGTCATCAAAGCTTATTTTAAGAATTTTTGCCACATTTCATATAATATCTCCATGAAATACCTTCAAATATGCAAAATTGGCCAGATATGTCAAAAATCGGATGAGATCTGGCCAATGAAAGATTTAAAGTTTGCTAACGTTTAACTGTTATTTTGGCTCTGTTCATAAAGTTATGAACAGAGACCAAAATACAGAGGTTTCATAGGGAAAGAGCCAGTACACATGTGACCATATCTCTGCCAATTCGTAACAAAATTGACTGATTTTGCACATTTGAAGGTTTTTCATAATGCTCTTTGAGGTAATGGGGTCCGAATTCAAAAACTTCAAAATTCATCACTTTAGAACTCTTTGTCATCCATGTTGAAAAATGTCAAGACTTCCAGGTAGCAAAAGAGATGCGTATAATCCTTGGCCCTTATCTAAAAAAATCAAGACTGATCTTTGCTCCTGCTTGAACAGGGTGCAATGTTGGTTTCCAGAAACATGTACCTGACAAATAGCATGGCCATAAAGATTTCAAATGCTTGACCCTTCTGGAGACACAGCATTTTATCTCTCTACTTTTCAACGTGGCTTTAAAACTTTTTTTGATTAGAGAAAGGAGCATCATTTCTCAACCTCTCAACCATCTTAGCATCATTATTGGTATCAACTTGCCCTTTTCACATTGGATCTCGAGACAGCTACTCCTAAACAGGTCATTTTTTATAGAATATGTTACCCTAAATTTTTTTTCTTTGAAAGATTATCGTTGACTGTTCTTTGGATTTTTGAGAATTTGTCACTTTCTCGGTTCTGGTTTCTCCCTATACCGCTGTCTCTCTGGCTTGTCGATTTGTTGACGGAAACACGACAGAACAGCAAAGGCAACCCATACACACCGTTTGCAAATTCATGAGCATCAAATATAATAAAACGCTTTCATTTCATCAATTATCAGGGACTGCGGAAGAGGGGGGCTGGTTGGAAGGCTTTCAGCCTCTAAATGATTTTCAAAATTACCCTTAAAGCTGTACAAAAATGGTTATGTTTTTGGCCTTTTGCAGTTATTCAATAGTGCGCACCAGGGTGCTGATTATGTGCGCAAGCCCATTGAGAGGGGAGCAAGGGGCCACTGCCCCTGTGACCCCTGAGAAATAAGAGGCCTGGTTGGTTGGTATATATCATAATAACACTGTAATTGTAAATTATTTCTGCTAAACAATGGAATATGGGTAAGTTAAACAATGCTTAAAGAGTATAAATTAAAAGTAAATAAAGAAGATGTTATGCAATCTAAATCCATATTGAACGCATTTTAGGTTTATTGCTTTTGGTAGGAAAGGGCCAAGGCACTGGGCCTACTCCTGAGCCCCACGTGGATCCCGGCGGTCCCGAACATGCAGCACTTTCACTGAAAGGTAGTTTTGACAGAGTTGAGCATTAAAGGAAGGAAGATATCCTAATACGAGCTGCGGCCACCTGCACAAAGTTCCTGCAGCATGTTTTCTGCATTTTTTCTATTTGACTTTATGGTGATTATGTGCAGCTTTATTGGGTATAAGCTCGTTTAAGTGACGTCACATATTTAAGTTCTAAGTGGTGCTTCACTCTGTTACCATGAAAACATACCTCCTTCTGCATCTATGAAGCTCGGTTTTGCGTTTTCGCAAGATATTTCTATAGTGCCGAACAAGCAAACGCCACAAAGCTCACGGACGCCAAAGCAACAGCCACCAAACTATGTAAATGTTTTATAAATAATAACAATTTCTCACTTAAACTTCATATTGTAAATGAATGGCTAATGGATCCTATTTGGGAAAGGCCGCCCGCGAAACGAAAACATCAAGGTAAAGCTGGCCCCCGTCATTCGTACAGGCAACCTCAAATCTTCGCCGTTAGATATGCAGCTCAAACCGAGTTTTTTCTTACCCACAGCTTCTTTCTACTTCAACTTGCAGTTTCCAACCATCTTGACTAGTTATGTAACGTAACTGAAGTTTAATCAGAATGAAAATCAGCTGTCCCCCGTCTTATTTACAGACACACTCCGATTCAGACAGGGAGCTGGATGGAGAAAATCCAAAAGGAAAGGTTTTAACCGCTTCGCGTCAGGGGAGCTGCCACGACAAAACTCGCGCGTAGCAAGTTGTTGCTTGATTCACCACATGGAATCCACGAAGAATGTCTGGCGCATATTGAGTTGGCCCAGCTGTGATTGTACGCTCTTCTCTGGTGATTACCTGGAGTCGTAAATAATAGAGCGTGATCAAGACACGGTACTGGAGCAGGAAGATTTATTGGCAAAAGGATAAACCATCGATCAGCTGGTAAGTGTAAGTCACTTTAAATTTATAGCTCAAATACGCCACAAGATCCTTTGCATTACCAACGCGCTCTACCAATCTGCAGAACAGCCTCTTCCTTTTATTCTTGAATGGGGTATTAAACTCAATGAAAAATTTATAGGTTTTCAAGGTAGCAGCTAGACTGGCCCTTGGAATTTTTTACGTACAATTTATGGTTGTTATAGATGCATATTTCTTTGAGTAAATCTGATATATATTTGTTGCAGATTTATCATAACCATGTCCGTTATAATTAAAATCGCATGTAAATTTTTTTGGTCATATTCAATTGGCCAATTTCTGATTTGTGATTAACCGCTAGCTGCTCTTCTTGTTAATTAACATCATTTGTTCAACCGATCTCCCATTGTAATGTACGAATTATGAATCCATAATTACCCTACAGTAGTGTCATACCAAGACTGCTAGAGTCAATGGCAAAGGTGAAGTTTATGCCATCGATGGAAGCATCTCCTGCTATTTTTGAGGCCCCGTGACTGTGACTGAGATACTCTTTGTTAAATGAGCAAACTTGGTTATTTGACAATTTACTTTCTTTTTTTCCTTAACACGTAAGCCTTTTGCAGGTTTTGCTATAACGATGCTTGTGAAAACATTTTCCAATCTAAACTAGATTTGATCAAAGTGTTCATATCAATGGGAAAGGCAACGGATTTAGGAATTCTCACGAGTGTTACCATCACTCGACGTCAAAATAGAACAAACCTTGTCGTTGGGTTTTAAGGGCAAATGAAATTGTACTTCTTAGCTTGGGCTCGAATTCTAAAGCACGGAAAGAGTTCAAGCTTTTACCCGAGATACTAATTTAAGGATTTCTGTCTTTTTTATCCTATTCCACCCAATTAGTTCCAAATTGGTAAAGACTTGCACGAGGTCTGCATGTAAAAGCGTAATTAGCATTGTCACACCACTTGCGTTAGTTCGTTCATAAAGGCTGGTTTTTATAACAGCGTATATCAACGCATTTCATCGCGATTCAGGTCCACGATTTTCACGATATATGAAAATCACGGTATATGAGAACCAAAACACGTAATTCATCTTAAGTTATTATAATTCGACGTATTTTGTCGGGAGAAAACAAATTTTTCGATTTGTTCCGATGAAGTACGTCGAATAACGTTGAATTGCGTTCTATTAAGGCTGGTTTTCATATAACGTATTTCGCCGTATTTCATCGCAATTCAGAGTCTACGATCAATTAAGATAATTTCCGTTATATGAAAACCGACCAAATTTTATGAAAACCACCTATCGTAAATAATCCTAATATAACGTAATTCAACGTAATTCGACGTAATTCATCGGAAGAAATGAAAAAATGTTGGTTCTCCCGACAAAATACGTTGAATTACGATAAATTAAGATGAAATACTTTTTTCGATTTTCATATAACGTGAAAATCGTGGACCCTGAATTGCGATGAAATGCGTCGAAATACGTTATATGAAAACCAGCCTTTAGGATTGTTCAAGATTAGTGGTTTTCATGAAATTTGTTCAGTTTTCATATAACGGAAATAATCTAAATTGATCGTAGACTCTGAATTGCGACGAAATACGCCAAAAGACGTATATTTATTTCACATCTAGGTGTGTATACTATGCAGCTTCAAAAAAATTAATCATTTTACCCAACGCATTTTCAAAACGCCCATCCGTTAACTGCGTGCGAGTACTAGAAATGAGAAAAATGTATATGGATGACTCTTCTTTTAAGAGTGTTTGTTCCGTCTCAGGAAGGTGACTCGCATTTTCATCAAAATTAGAGAAAAAATTTCAAATGTATTTCGAAAAACGTAAAGAAAACTGCCAAAAATGTTGCGAAATTCCATATCTGTTTTTATCGATTTTCCATATCTGATTTTTTAAAGATTTTTGTCAAAGAGTCAAGAGTCAAATTAAGTTGGGAATCTTCATCGCGAAACATGATTTTCATTTTTGGAATGCAAAAGCAAATCGTAAGAATCTCTACTTATAGATACGGTTGCCGCTGAAATTTTTATCAGAAAATGATCAGAGCTTGGAATTAGCAGTGTTAATGCCTGCTTAGCAATGTTTTTTGTAAAAGAAATCTATTGAATTTCTATGGAAACGTCAATCTTGCACAAGCCTCGAAAATGTTGGGGTTTATTGGCATAAAGTAAGCATAGATTCAAGGGGCACTTTTTTTATGTGCAATATTTAATTTACCATACGTCGAGACCATTTGTGGCATCTTCCAAAAGGTGGTATTTGGAAGCAGATTCATACTGCAAATTGAAGACTAGAAACAGGCAGAAGCAAGAAGCGAATTGGCATGACTTAAGTTGCTGAAGTTGATTCTATTATTTTAGCTGCAGTCTACTTACATTGGCCAACAGCACTGTATGTAGAGACCTTAAGGACATTCCCAACCTTATTCCAACACACTGGCATCTTAAGTAAACATTCTTTTTCAGATACGTGAGTCCTTTGCGATTGCTAATTTGTTTATTAAATAAGGATGTAACATTTTTACTAAAGAGATATTGTTATTTAAACTATTTTAAGTACTGATTTACAAACGTTTTATGATATGTCAAAGCAGTTTCATCTCCCGGGCATGGGGTCGTACTCCCCTTTCCGAGACTGAGAGGCTTTCTACGGATTTGTGGTGGGGCTAAAGCACTTTTCGGGTTACCTGAAAGCTCACTAGCCCCAAAACCACACTTTCGTGGTCCCTGCCCTTAGATGTAGGATTTCTTTCTTTATTTAACCACATAGTACATACACCAAACTTTGAAATGCAAATGCTCGAACAGAACTCAAACTGATTTTCGGAGCCGTCCTGTACACAGAAGGAAAAGCAATGAGAATTCCACTTCTGCTGGACACATGTAATTATCCCTCATGCATATGTTAATGCTACACGTTCTTTGTCTTTTAAGTAGATTTTGAATAGAAGAAGGTGCGAATTTTTGTTCAAGTTGCAGCTGAAATACACTTGGTATTCAGCACTGATGTTTGTAATCTTTTAAGAAAACCTCTTAAGGATGTCTTCTTAAGGAAACTTTTTTATTTATATTGATTTGAGAATGAGGCATGGATCAGTTTACAGTACCGGAGGCACAGCGGGGAGAAGCACCCTACAATTTCTAAGCACTTGCCTCTGGTTTTATTACCAATATTGGACAAAAATACTTTTTATCGCACCAATAAAACGCAGGGAAAATTCAATTTTAGGTGAGGGAGCAAAAACCTCCAAAAACAAGCAACTTTCCCAAAGTGAAAAAATTTAACGACAAGAGCTGTATTTTAACTGACAATTCAGCAAAAGCTGGGGTGGATGGCTCTTGCATTTTCTTCCTTGTGTTTACAACTGCGTAATGGTGTTTCATAATGGCATCGAATGTTTCTGATTATTTTTGTGATCACTGCTGTAAATGTTGATCATCCCCTTGATTTCTTAATCATGCAGATCTTGCTTGAAAAACAAAACGGTCATTTTTGTCTCATCTAGAATATAGCCCTCCTGACAGACTGTAGTTGCGCCTCGATGGCTCAATGACGTAGCAACCATTACCAATTTTAAGCCACGGACTCGTGAACATTGAGCATTCACATCGGTGTTTTCAGTCCAGCCTCTACACACATTGCATTATAACGTCCTATTACACGCATTTAGCTTTTACTTGCCTAAGATCGATCTATCTAACCAGTAAAGATAATACATGAAAAGTTCGAGACGTTTAATGTATTATAACGTTTCATTTCTTTAGTCGTGGCTGTATGCCCAACAGTTTTAGTTCTGAAATATTTCGCTGCATTTGAGAAAATTTTAGAAAAGTTGTTTATTTGTAAAAGTTGTTAGAAAAGCTATTCTGTAGCGATTGCTGAATTGCGATTGCATTAAGAGAACAGGTGATAGTTGAGACGTCATAACCAACTTTCCATAAGACCTTATTAAACGAAGAAAGTTGGCAAAAGGCATTGTCCAATGCATCTAATGTGTATTGTGATGTTTTGCTTGTTGTGAGTGTCAATGTATTGTTGTAGCTGGTTGTAGGCGTAACGGCCATATGAAACAATCATATTTATATTTTTACGCTAAAGGTATAAAATTTGTTAAGAGGATAACTGTGTGTTTTGTTTCGAAGGTGGAATATCAGCTTTGCAGGTGCGCAAGGAATTTTTTGTGGTTCAAAGAGAAGTAGTTCTCGATACTAAGTTATTTGCGTTGCTTATCAAGGATTGCTTTTATCAGTCATTCATTTTCAAGGCTTGTGTCGAGACATAAGTGAGAATTTCAGCTTGTTGAATTGTACAAAGGCTGTGAATGAGGATGACTGGAAAATACGACTGTAGACAAACAAATGCTGTTTGTTATTTGAATGGTATGCGACGGTAAGCCTGAAATTTTAAATGGCGCTTGTGACCTTGTCACCATGAAAATTGATGTAAAATTATGAACATAGTTACCTGCCTGAATTATTTTCGTTTTGCAAGAAAAAAGCCAATTGAATTTCATGCTCTTGTTAAACTGTGGAAAAAATACTTTGAGTTTCATCAACATATCAGGAAACAGTTTGTCAGTTGTTGATGGCAGACTTACAATAAAGATAACATGGATACGAAATTCGAAAATTATTCTAGCCCCTTACTGTCTTTAAATCTATATAATCGAATGAGAAGTTTGGTTCATGTTATCCGGTTGTTTTCTCGCATCTTAATTCGAAAACTTTGAAAAACTTGGATGTTGACTCAACATTCTCTTGCAAAAAGATCCTATAAAGAGATTTTGTTTAGAGTATCACCTCCGAGCTTTTCACGGACCTCATAACAATGGGTATCTTGAATGTCAATATTATCGTTAAGAGAAATCTGCATTTCCAAAACTTTTTGTTGCCATGAGTATTTCAAGAATTTTCTGACAGTTTTCGATATCTAGTACTTCACCGCACCTCTGTATGTTAAAGATGCCACACACGTTTATATTGCTCAAACATTGGCAGCATCGGTGGCGATAAAGCGATCTTTGTTCAGAGCTTAGTATTTTCGGTAACGTACATTTTGCTAACATTTTACTACGTCAAGAAGTTTGTTTGAAAGTCAGATATGACGTCATTGCTAACACCTGTTCTTTTTTAGCAATTGCTCAGAATAGGAAGGGTAACTTGTGCTATGCACATTTATGTTTGGTTTCAAGACCTACCCCTGTTGCATACAAAATTTATTGCTATCTAACTTTCATGCCTGCTTTGTTATATTGTTACTTATTTATAAACAGTTGTCGAAACCGAGCTTAGATTATTTGCAACCATACAAAATTGCTAAGATTCTGTATAATCAAGAAGACCAGTTATTCAAGAGCCCAACCAGAGAAGTTTCTGACGGAGTTGCACGGAAAAGTTTTAGTTTTTTTTAGAGGCTAGATCCTAGTTTTTTTTAGACTAGATCACAAACTAGATTTACTCCACGAGCCTCTGTTTCGCTATAGCCTCACCTTGCAGACGCCAAATAGGCTAATCTCTACCCAAGGTAATCTCTACACTAGCGGCTGGGTTCAATTTAGCGAAAATACACAACGTTTTACAAACAGTTGATAACGATTCTTGACGCTTTAAAACGCATCAAATGACGCTATGCAGCATTTTGCCGTTGGTTTGCGTTGATCGTCAATAAATATTTGTTACTCCCATTATCAAGTGACTGGTAACAGCTTATCCTCGCAAAGAAAAACTTATACTTTTCAAACGTTAGATTGTTCTTTGGTATTGCTTTTAATGTGCATATAGGACATGTAGAGCACAGTTTTATGTCCTATATGCACCTTTAAAGTGAAGTTTTATGATGAACTAGGCCAGCATTCCTGGTAGTCTCTCGCTACCATAGATAATTGGGGGTGGACGGAGGCAGGGGGGACAGTGTCCTTTAAAAACCCAATGATTGTCAGGCTACTGTAACCCAAACGTTGAGGGGAGTGATAAAATGTTTTCTATGCAGTCAAGCTTAATATAATGGAAATAATGAATAATTTATTGTTTATGAATCTTTTAAACAGCACTTGATAAAGTAGGTAACATAATGCTTCTTTGGCAAGCGTCAGATTGATCAATGCTGTCGAATTAAACTGTAGTTGAATTCAGGGCCTCTACTCACGGCCTCAACCATGAAGCTTGTCAAAAAAATCCGGATAAGCTTTAGTTTTCTTTGCAAACACAAGTACCTACATGTAATTAATTGTGTTATTTAAGATCATTTTTAGGAAAATCGCAGGTAATGTTGTGCTTTCTTTAAGAAAATTAATATACGGTAGAAAGTGTGTTACGTGGGAGAGAACTATTGACATAAAACTCAGCTTTCGTCAATCATCAGTGAGAATTCATCGCATTTGTTGACGCAGGCGTGTGCTCTTCGAATAGTATTTTCTTCTTTCCAAAAGGGGTACGATATTTTTAAGAATACCAGATTTCTGCAGATTTTTTCAAAAACAAGAGATTTCGCCGATAGCGAGCAAGATCTGCGTGGGGTGATATGCCCCTCGGTGCCCGTATCATTTCCTCCCGCTTATGGAGTAAAAGAAAGGAAAACAAGTACAAATTTGTTACTGGGTTTTAGGTGGCAGGTTGCAGTCGTCTTCAATCTATAATACACTGTCTTGTGGGTAGATTGCAATCAAGATTTGTTAATGGTACTATTCATCTGTGTATTACAAATTAACTCTCAATTGTAAAGATTATAAGTGTCCTTTTAAGCAATTCATATGTTATACGTGAAAGCAAAGTTTATAAGCGCAGTAATTTTGATTGGTTTCTCTCATTCTGGTTATGCAACCATTCTTCTTATTATATAACTGAATAATAAAGAGGTTTAATGATCAACTGAATGCTAGATCTCTGCTTATGGAGATAACGGCGCTTTAAAGATGAGAAATTGCCAGACATTGCCATGGCGAACTTCATTCATTTAATTTAACTAACATTTGCCCTTGCATTTTTTTCGCTATCAAACCTATTAATGTACGTTATTTCTTCCAGGAGCACAGACTTATTTCAGTCATGTGGTTAATGATCATCTTGTCCTCCACAATTCTCTACGTCATTGCCCACGTGTCATTCCACTTTCTGAAGCAGTATTACAAAAACTTGCCACCAGGTCCAGTGCCTTTCCCAATAATTGGCAACTTACACTTACTCGGCTCAAGCCCCCACGTTTCAATGAAACAAATCTCTCGCAAGTATGGTGATATATATCGAATTCATTTTGGATCAGAGTTGGCTATCGTTGTCACTCAAATTGATCTGGCACTCGAGGGGTTGATACAGAAAGGTGTCGATTTTGCTGGCAGGCCCAAAACATACACCCTGGACCTCGCAAGTGGTAATGGGAAAGGTATAGCCTTTGCAGATTATGGACCAATGTGGCGACTTGTACGAAAGATAGGCCATTCTTCGCTAAGGATGTACGGAGATGGGCTGAAAAACCTTGAAGCACTCATTATCAAAGAAAGCGAAGAACTGCACAAGAGGCTGGATCAAAATGTCGGAAAATCAATCAATCCACATCATAATATCGGTAAGTCAGATTTTCCTTGTGATAAGGCTTTGCACTCTCTGGTGCCTAAAAGAATTTGCTAAAATTGTCGCACCTGTTCAAACTCTATAAAATTGTTTAATATGTCTCAGACTCTTCTGATCTACTGCCTGTTGGTAGCCGATTACCACTAAGATAATTGCAGAAGTTGTACCAGTTGTACAAGTTTTTATCTATGGTTAACTTCATTGATCAAATAAACATAGTTGTTGGGTTTTTTGGCTTTTTCCAAATTGCTCAATATGTAAAGTAGTTCTGATTTTTGAAACAAGGCATCAGAACTTCAAGGGAAGCCGGTTTCTCAACTTTGTTTTATATCATTATTGTATTGGATAGGAAATCCTTTTTGATGTTGGGGGAAGGAGGATTTCCCAGAAGTTCGGTGCTGATATCCGAGGTTGGAGTCATAGTCAGTCTACAGCCGGGTACCGATTTTGAGATGCATTCCGTAAGGTACTTCATTACCAACAATTTCTGTTGTGGATCAGAAAATGCTTAGTTCAATAACAGTACTACTGCGGGTTTCTCATCAAGAAATGCTATTCCACCGACATTGTAGATATATCTTTGAACATTAACACCATCTCATCTATATTGGCTGCAAATCCTTCTCAAGCATCTTTAGAACCACAGCGATTTGGTATTACGTCTAGTGGTTGGTTCTACGTTCAGGTGAATGGAATATGACAAGCGTCGCAAGATATAAGCAATCACATTTGAACTTGTTTTATGTTGTATATCCCTACCCTACTAATCTTTTCAATGAGAGTTTACAAAAGTCAAAATGCATTCAATCGTAAGCAAAGACCGAGATACAACTTTTTGTTTTAAGGGGGGGGGGGCAGCCGTGATAAATAAGTTAAAAACAGCTATATTTTACAAAATAAAAGTGTTTTACTTATCTCGGTCCTTGGTTATAAGAGATGGAGAAGTCCATTTTTGTAAGGTGTGTCAGATGGAAATGAGTTGTTTTTAACATCGTGGGCATTGGAAAATGTCAATCTTGGGGTCTTGTTCATCCACTAGGTGGGTAGGGCGTTCTTCATTTAGAAGTTTGTGTTCTAGCAGCGGATGAAGTCAGTCAAAACCTCTAGGGAAATCTACTGGACTATCCACTAAAGCTCATTTAGCAGTCACATTCAACTCAAATTGACTATTGTGTAAAATGTCTAAAGAAGCTTGTGGTGTATCATCTCTGGAGTAGGGTATTGCTCGCCAGTTTGGTATCTAGTACCATTTCGTACCTACAATCCTTAGCAGTCTTGTACTTTAAAATTATATGATACGAGAGATCGTCCATAAAATTTCAATGGTTTTATGGGACATGACCTCTACAACTCAATATTGCTTTTTTCTAGAAAAAATTCATAAATTTTTCTTTTAAAAAGATCCGATGGCAGGATGCTTACTGTGGAATTCATTTTCACCACAATGCTCGTATTTTTTGCCTACCCTAGGACTAATGGGACACATTGTTTGTTGAGAAGAAAGAAAAATAATCAGCGGGTCTCTAAAATGGGCATTAAAGCTGATACCGTGTGGCAGGTTGTGCGGAGATTAAAATATTTTTATGGTTAATTGTTATAAGCTGTGAATTGCAGCCTTCTGTCAACAATGCTCTTAATCTAATCCGTAAATTGACGAGAAAAGTCTGTTGTCTTCACAAGCAAGAGTCGAGGAATACCTCTCTTATATTGACAGAGCTTCATATCATTTTCTTAATCTATCCCTTGTTGGGATGCTGCAAAGGATATTTCAGTTTTCAAATCGAGTATTGGTTTAACTGAATTTCTTCCATGTGGGTTTAAAGGCCTTTGAACGAGAGGAAATCTAGCTTGAATGCCTTACTAAACCTAAATCTTAAATGTAACTTGGACCAGATAAAAACCCTAAACCTTCAATGGACTCAAGTTGCCAAGCAATTCGAATTCTAGGCCCCTGCACAAGAATGGACAAGAAAAGTTAAGTTTTAAAATGCATTTAAATTTATCCCGATGCAGCATGAGTCTTGACAACGTCAGTACTCGTTAAAGGTTCAAGGAAAAATTCGGAAACTTCCTACAACCCTTTCCAAACAGACCTATTTGGATTATATTCCGTTGGTTGTATGCACCATATCCTTGGCCTGTTTTATGGGACTTCAGCTGGAGGGCCAGCCAAGCCTTCAGTTTAGTATAAAACAGAGCCAATGATCTATATACTGTGTATATATTGTTGGAGGCAGTGACCTTTCTCGCTGGGGGATGTAAGAGATGCAAAACCATATTTTACCGACAGAAATTCTTTTGTTACATTTGGCCTAAAATTATTTTGTTATAAATGTAATTCTACTGACGGGTTCTCTGAAAGTTAGGAGGTTGTGACACCCCTACACCCCCCCCTCCCGCACGCTACGCCCCTGGTTGGAAGGTTTGCTGTTCCTACTATGGTAAAAAAGGCCCTGACAGAGCATCTTCAGACTCTATATTAACTATTGCCTCGCAGAAGCTCCAAATTACTTATTGCATTATTACGTCATATTTAAAAGAAGGATTTTGATATTTTGTAAACTTGCTTATCCGGGATAGAAAATGTTAAGACTTCATATTGTACTTTTGGTTCCAAATATCAACAAATCACTAATCGGACGTAATTTTAACAGATATAGTTTGATTGCAAAACTAAGCTTTTTAAGATTGTTTAATAAGCTATGTTTCGGGCATTTTTGTAAACGACAGCTATTTGTGTCGCTTTTTTTCAGTGCTACAGATGCCATTTCCGTTTGGTTTTTGACAGTCACATGGCATTCTGAATTATTCCTATGCCTGTTGGAAGATTAGCAAACTCATTGCGGTTAATACTGAAATAAGTAGAAGTTTTAGCAGACTTAGCAGAGAGTAATCATTAATAAGTGCAAAATTTTATGCAAATTATTATATGAAGATTAATAACATTTCAATTATGACCAATCTAGAAAGTCAGTGTTGAACCTAGCTGAGAACAGACGCTTGTTGCATAACAGGTCATGGGCTAAACCTCGGGCGCGTGATAGGATCCTGCCTTGCTGTTTTGTCTACTTGTAATCTTTACTCTTATTCGTATTTGCATCGTGCAATGAGCCTTTCAAAATTGCTTTTTACGCGTTGCAGGTTGCTTTTCAGATTACTTCGTTGAAGGCAGTTTAGATTGATCCCCGTGCGCTAACTGTTTTCAGAATCCGACGATCACAATAGTCGAATGTTTCTAGCCTTTGGTTGAAACCTGGAGTTTGTTTAACAATTGTGTCTTAATCAGACTATGCTGGATAAACAGACAGTAAGGCATGAGCGCAAATGCACGCTTACCTTAAACTTATAAGAGAGCTTATCACAGGGAACTTATCGGGCATGATCTTCTCTTAGAAAAACTTTGCATCTGTACCCTCTGTACAATCAAGCCACGAACCAGCTTAGATTTAATATTTTATCTCTTCCTTAATTAAATCACATCCGTTTGTAGGACCCTATGTAGCGAAGTAACTAGATGGGCGATAGTGCCCGTTTTCTTATCAATGCATTTCCAATTTAATAAAGTCTTTTCCGTTTCGACGAACAAAACTAGGGATAAAAAGTCGTGTCTCAACCTGAGCCGTATCTATTTGAAATGTTACTTTATATCAGGCATGACTAGGTCATAATAGCTCATTTGTACTGTGAATCGATTTGAATCCATGGAAAACGTCTTAGCAATCGATTGTCGACCTGATATCGTCGCCAGCACCATCAACATGTCATTTTCACGCTCTGATGTGGAAAAGGCTTTCTAGCGAAAAGTCTCTTTTAGGTTAACGCGGTAAAGACTTTTTTATGGCTGGTGATTTACAGCTAATCAGAAGAGCCAAAGGTTTATATGTATTCTGTAAGGATTCTCAGTCTGCGAAGTGTTGCCAAAGAAAAGGTTGGAGTCAGGGAGTTACGCAACTAGTCTGCCGAATCCAAAGATAGTCTTATTTTCGAAAGAATGTTAGTACCCCTAGGGGAAAAAAGTACCCCTACGACCCTTGTACCCCTTTGACCATTGTATCTCTACTACTGTTATGGGCTTTACCAGTGGTACAGCATCCGAAAATGTTAAAGTAGCAAGAGCTGACATGGAGGAAACAGGCAGGTGCATGCGATGTTGTCTCTTTTGATGGGTCTTATAAGAATTTCAAGTTTAGTAAATAATCACGTAGGAAAATCGTTTGCTTTGGAGAGCAGTGGCTGTAATTGCATAAAAAACAGAAAACAAGAGAGAATTACTTGGAAACCGTCAATCGTAGGATATTCGTTCCTAAAAGCTTTGACACAGCTATTGACTGGCCGCTAAGTGATAAGAAGTCTGATGCTGAAATTTTATCAACGACTACTTTATCAGGATAAGTCAAAAGACCCTAGGGTGATCTAGGAACAAACCTGTCATGCACAAAAGTCATACACTGTTTCAAGAACATCCTAGCATTAACCAAAACCAAACTAAAAACAATTTGAACATCTTTCTGGCGGTACAAAATTTGAAAATGGATTTAAAAAAAGCAAACATTTTACAACATACATACTTTAGCTTTTTCGTCTGACATTCCTCAGAGTGTGAAATTTCAGAATAAGGTTCCGAAAGAACAAGAAGGAAATATATACATAGTTGTTGATCGAAATAGGCCACAGTCAAAAATAAACAACTTTTAGTTTTAATTGGTTTGATAACTGCTGTCAGAACTAACTAAATGTCATTCGTTTCCTTTATTACTGTTTAACACTAGGAACAATTTTCAGTAATCAACTATCTTTCCCATTTATTAAGGCATACACTTTTTTATCTTTTTAGCTTTGGCAATTATGAATGTGATTTGTGCAATGATTTTTGGATCGCGTTATGATTTGGACGACGAAGAATTCCTTTCGATCGTGAACTCAAATGTTACATTTGTCAGAGCATTCGAATACGACAATCTAGTCGATATATTTCCATTGCTACGACTTCTGCCTAACAAACGCTTGAAAATGATAAAGAAAGCATTGGCTATAAGAGAACCAGTACTAACCAGGCAATTGCATGAGCATCGAAGGAAATTCGACGGGGAGAGCGTGCATGATCTTACTGATGCATTAATCAAAGCAGCTCAAGATGCTATCGAGCATGATAAACAGGTTTGTTTTTCAATGCATTTTATCTTTTATTTTTCAAATGTTAGATGGGGAGCGAATCTTTGAGAGTCTTATGTTTTTTAGGATCACTTGCTCACGTAGTAGATAGTTTTTGCTTTATATGGTTCCTTCAAGCAGCCATCTCTGTATTTTGCGGCATGTTTCCGCATTCAAGATATAGCTAAGTAAAGTTTACTGCGGTAACACAGCCAAGAGTTGTCTCTTCTCTCAACATTATTTTCACTGTTTCTCTATCTTTGTTTTTCTGCTGAGAACGATTTTTGAGGCCTGTTTCTAATCTATTTTTTCTCACTTTGGTAATATGTAGATGATAATTGGTTTATGCAAATTATTGGATTTTGCAAAAGATTTAATCGTTGATTTAAAGATAAATCGAACAACAGCGCCTGTATTATCCAATTATTTCCAATGGGTCATCCCAAAAATTGTTCCATTTTTCGTGTGCCACTTTTTTCCGTAAGATAAGTTTGAAATTTGGCTAAATTTGGTACCAGTTTTATTGAGAAAAACAGTTTCTTCAAAGCAAATGTTTTGTTATACACTTTGTTATTGACGAGCTGAGAAAGAGGAAGTATTGGCCAAATAAAACAGTAGAAGTCGTCTTTAAATGCCTTCGACAATTGCTGCATGCCAGAGTGAAGAATGCACAAGTCAGTTTCTATATACATCTATGCCCTTAAATCTCGGTAGACTTGTCCTTTCGTCATTTACTGACACTATCGTAGGCCAAAAGGGGCTTTAAACATCATTTTTCTTTTTTTGCTCAAATTTAAGTACATTAACAACAAAAATTTTCGTCAGATAAATTTTCGGCGGATAAACTTCGTCGAAAAAAATTTCGGATGACTTTTCAGAATCTAGTCGTGACAAAATTTCGTCATGGATTTTTAACACAAAGATAGCAGCATATCTCCAAAATCTTCAGAGGAAAAGCCATACAGGTTACTTTATACCCCATCTCATAGGTACCGACTTCGTGGAGACTCAGGGGCTTGAGCACCTGCTCAGAATTTGGCTCAACCCCCCAGGCATCATGTCAGAATTTGGCTCAACCCCCCAGGCATCATGTCAGAAAAACTAAATTAAAGCAGTTATTTACTCAGTCTATGCAAAGGCGGGGTCAACAGAGATGTTTTTAGCATTCAAAGAGTCTCTACTCTATATCTAAATGGTATGACAGTTTGTAGACAGAATATAATTAAAAGGTAAAAGTGTGAATTTAAGGGAAAATTGTTGATCAAGGGAAAATTGGAGTCCACACCCTTTAGAATGCCAGAAAACGCCCCTTTTTCCAATTTCTCTTTTGCCATTGGTGGCATCCACCAGGGCTGGAAAATGTCCGGCGCTGCAAGGAAATTTTTAGCACAAATTCATTGCAGGAAATTGTTGATGTTTGCCAGGAAATTTTTGGCGTGAAATCTCCATTGCTTGATTTTAATATGAACATTAAATTCATGTTACAATATTTCTACGGAACGCTGTTTTCTTGTGGTATACATACATAATGTATAATTTTTGTTCTGCACTACTAACAAAAAACGAAGATTAGCTTTCAATCATCTGGTATTATAAGCGTCTGTTATGCCAAATTTCCGTGCATGATTTTCAGCTACTAATTTAATTCCAGAAAGCTTAAACAAAGTTCATTCCCTTTTATACATTAGCCATTCTAAATATGTAAAAACACTTAAAGACAGCCAATCTTGTTACGTCAATTGTTTTGAAGGTGAACATGCCCGAAAACCTGTGTGGATGTGTCCATTATTATTCGTATTTTCCTACTGGCATTCGCATACATTTTTCATCACTTGCTTTATAGAATGTAAGCGTTTTGGTCTTAAATATTTGCCTCCAGCACCACCCCTGATTTAAAACATTCATTTTAACCATTGAAAAATAAAATAGTATTCTTATATGTTGTATGAACTACTAGCTTTGATGATAAAAATGAGCAGCAAACATGAAACCCAGAGCAAGATGTATCGATATATCAATACTTATAAAGTATTTAGTTTGCTAGTACTGATATAAAATTTAATCAAATTTATTATAGATTTTCAGATCTACTTTCTTTAACCTTGAAAACAAACTATGAGTATCGTGCTTGATCACGTTCTCTTTGATCATCTAATACAGTATAAACAAAATGATTCCTGTTCGAATAGCTATGATCAAGACTGCAGGACCAACAATTAGTTCTTTTTAGTGTGACAGTTTGTTTTTAGGACAAATTTTTAAACAAATCAAGCAACATGAAATATCAATTTCAGTGGCTGGAAACTTTTTGCGAAGCTTTGCAGGAAATCTTGAATTTGTTATTTTGCTGCCAGGAAGAAAAAATTTTTTTCAAGGCCTGGCATCCACCCCTCTTGCCTCCCTCACGCTACACAACTAAGAACTGTTACGACACAGGGTTCTCTTACGGACAATATCACGTGACAATTGCATCATTGTGCTGTGATTGCATCAGCGTCTGTAAATATTGCATTACGTAATTATTACTTCAAGGTTCTGCTAAGAGTATAAAAATGGTTCTGCTAAGAGTATATAAAGTTAGGTTTAGTCTTGTTGAAACTTTTGACGTACTGCTAGAAGCTCTGTCGCTAGTTTTTCATACCTGTCGTGCCTGTTTTTCGTCATTGCCGTAAATAGTCCAGTCATTGCCGTAAAGAAAGAATTTTGATTTTACCCGCCGTTGCTATATTTTTGAGCATTTCTGCCTACAACGAACTCACGTCCCCTCATAAGTGGTTTTACAGAACTATTTTTATTGAACAATGGTTAATTCATGAATCGACAATGATGATGATGATAATGATGCCGACGGTAAAGATATATATGGAGACGTTGTAAATGAGGAAAAGGACGTAGTTGACACTGAAAAGATAAACAGGATACATTACTTTTATTCTTAACCTCATGTAAAAGTTTTTCTATGCGAATTTTAAAAAATCTTAAATGCAAAAAATTTCGTGGTGACGAAATTTCGTCGAAGAAAAATTCGTAAAAATATTTGTCCGAAATTTTGTCACGACGAAATTTTTTGTAGTTAATGTACATCAAACGTTTCTTCAATGGAAAAAAGATATAAGAAGGAAGATAAATTTAGACATTTATCTTTTAGCATTTTCATGTTAGGTCTTGTAAAATGTTTAATCCGCCACTTGATAACCAGAGTATGCAGCAGTGTGCTATGGGTTCTTCATTATTCATGCATAGAACGTGTTTCAGAAATATGACCACTAGAAAATAGGCAATGTTTTTGCCTAATATCAGAGAAAGTTTAGGCCAAGCTGTCTAAAAAGTACTTGACAAAAACATTTAAAAATACACGGTCAATTGCGTAGATATTTTTAACTAAGATTTTAAGGAGAAATGAAAACAATTAAAAATTTTACAATGTCAAGAAAAAACACTGTTAAAAATTGTTCGAAGTAATTTTTAAGCTGGTATATAATTTGTTAAATCATTTAGGTTGATATATGATTTTTTTCAGTTCTTATTTTGTGCAAAATAGAAGTTTTTTTGTGAACAATTTTTTTGCGGTACAGAATTTGAAAATGGCTTTGAAAAAAGCAAACATTTTACGACATACTAAAAGCTTTTTCGTCTGACACTCCTCAGAGCATAAAACGTCAGAATAGGTTCCGAAAAAACACGATGGAAAAATATATACCCAGTTGTGGATCGAAATAGGCCAATCAGAAAAACGCAAGCACAAGACCGAGAAGTTTTTTTACTTAGCTAATAGAGAATATGTGTCAATTTACCTCCACAACACGCCACTTTGACACAGAATAGAGTCTCTTGTATATATTTCCTGATAATTTTAACCTAAAGCTTTTCGGTGCATATGAAAGGCATAACACGATTTTGATTAATACTTTTCTCTTATCTTTGCTATTTCTTAACTGTTATTTCACTAAGTGTTTTTGTAGGTAAGTTTTAATTTTTCTCTCTGGGAGCTTAGATATTTCTTTTGTTTCAATGTTTAAATTCTTTTTCACAATCACCCAACTAGGTAACAATTTTTGGGACTCGTTTATGCTTGGGTATGTGTTCAATCTACTGAGTAAATCTTCTGATACGATAGAATTTTGCGCTGATTACTATGAAACAGTACATTAAGTCTTGCTATACTCATTAACTGTTGTTTGTATTCCAACAGGCCAAGGAGTTCTTAACAGACGACCACCTATACAAGATAATGGATGACATGTTCGGAGCTGGTTCCGAAACAACAACGACAACAATGCGATGGGCCTTCTTATTCTTCGCCCGCTGGCCTGAAGTCCAAGACATAGCATATGAAGCTATGATGCGCAAAATTGGAACAGCGCGACTGCCAGTTGTCAGTGACCGCGCGGATCTTCCTTACGTTGACGCAATTGTCCACGAAGTGCTACGTATGGCATGCATCGCTCCGTTTGCTGTGCCGCACAAGACAACATGCGACACGACACTTGGAGGGTACAACATTGCAAAGGGAACACAGGTGAGAATTGCTTTAAGCATAGCATCGTTTCTTCATCATTTCTGTTGTTTGTCCCTAATTGTCACGTTTAAGATCTTACAAAGTCCCCGGTAAATATTCAATAACTTGCAATTTGATATTTTCTGAAAGTATATGCCCTTTGTTGGAAAAGTTACGCCAGTTCTTTAATAAAAAGGACGTCTGAATTTGGTTGTGCTCTTAAGTAATTTTGCAAAAATTTTAGACCGTAAAATTTAAGACCGATTCTGGCTCGAAAATTGACTGTTTCTTGTTTCTGTTATTCTTTTTCCTGAAATCAGTTCAAATCGAAATTTTTCAATTGATATTAAATCGTCTGAAAATCGAGCCAGAATCGTCTTAAGACCGATTCTGGCTCGAAAATTGACTGTTTCTTGTTTCTGTTATTCTTTTTCCTGAAATCAGTTCAAATCGAAATTTTTCAATTGATATTAAATCGTCTGAAAATCGAGCCAGAATCGTCTTAAGACCGATTCTGGCTCGAAAATTGACTGTTTCTTGTTTCTGTTATTCTTTTTCCTGAAATCAGTTCAAATCGAAATTTTTCAATTGATATTAAATCGTCTGAAAATCGAGCCAGAATCGTCTTAAGACCGATTCTGGCTCGAAAATTGACTGTTTCTTGTTTCTGTTATTCTTTTTCCTGAAATCAGTTCAAATCGAAATTTTTCAATTGATATTAAATCGTCTGAAAATCGAGCCAGAATCGTCTTAAGACCGATTCTGGCTCGAAAATTGACTGTTTCTTGTTTCTGTTATTCTTTTTCCTGAAATCAGTTCAAATCGAAATTTTTCAATTGATATTAAATCGTCTGAAAATCGAGCCAGAATCGTCTTAAGACCGATTCTGGCTCGAAAATTGACTGTTTCTTGTTTCTGTTATTCTTTTTCCTGAAATCAGTTCAAATCGAAATTTTTCAATTGATATTAAATCGTCTGAAAATCGAGCCAGAATCGTCTTAAGACCGATTCTGGCTCGAAAATTGACTGTTTCTTGTTTCTGTTATTCTTTTTCCTGAAATCAGTTCAAATCGAAATTTTTCAATTGATATTAAATCGTCTGAAAATCGAGCCAGAATCGTCTTAAGACCGATTCTGGCTCGAAAATTGACTGTTTCTTGTTTCTGTTATTCTTTTTCCTGAAATCAGTTCAAATCGAAATTTTTCAATTGATATTAAATCGTCTGAAAATCGAGCCAGAATCGTCTTAAGACCGATTCTGGCTCGAAAATTGACTGTTTCTTGTTTCTGTTATTCTTTTTCCTGAAATCAGTTCAAATCGAAATTTTTCAATTGATATTAAATCGTCTGAAAATTTGTTTCCGAATTTTTGAGATAATATGGCACACAATAGAGTTGGGAGATTTAGTATAAAATTGTGTCACCTGCCATCTTGATAATGTCAATTCAATGCTTAAGATATTTCTTTTGCTGCCAAGAAGATTCAAGTCACGATCCCTACAAAAAAATCACCATACAAACAACATTTTCCATGTCATTAGCTAAACCTTAAAGCACTTCTTTTGCAGAGTTAAAAAAACACCAAAACTTTCCTATGGATGAAACTTTTCCCTATTTGCCTTCCACAAAATTTCCTAGTATATTTTGAACAAACGTTTTTTAGAAACATTTCTTTCCGTTGTCTTTACGCTTTGTCAGGAAAAAGGGGAAGTACAAGTACAACAGTAAATTCCGCTCATTTTATATATGCTCATTAAACTATGCATTAGCTTATGCAATAGGTTAATACTTCAATTTTTAGACAAAATAAAATAGACAAATGCTTCAATAGGTGAATAATTTATAGGGTATCAAAGATCTAAAGGGTATATTGAAGTGCCAAAATGAAAACTTATTCACAGTTTCACTTTAAAGCAGAACTAATGCCACATAAACGTTTTCCATGTTTACTCGGAAATGAGAACCCATGAACAGATAAAAAAGAAGTACGCTCTTTTTATAAGAACAATTTCATCCGAACACATGCCCCAAAACTGCTAAAAAAGTCAAAACAAGCTGAAACTTGCAACTAATTTGAAACTATTGCAACTGATTTGAAAATAAAGCAATCTTTTTTGAGCCGATAGCTTTTGGTTATGTTATTAAAAACGTTACCTGCAATAATGGATATCAGATTAAGAAATTTCTTGCCTCAAAGTTTTGGAAAAGTTTGGAACATTTACCTGATCCTCAAATTTTACACAAAGCATTTGAATTCTTTATTTTCTTCGAGTTTTTTATTTTCACTTTTCTTGAAGCTAGACAAATAAGCATTCTAGGCTCTTTGCCTATTGGCTTTATCTATCTGAAGAGAAGCTAAGGTTGTGTCATATCTTAGAGATCGTGTCCTGTTGTCATTTCACATTTGATTTAAGAAATCTCCCCCCCCCCACCCCCGTTTTCTCTAATCAAGAAATCGATATTTGGTAACCAGCATCCACTTTTTGATATCCCAAAGATAAGAAAACTTATTCATTATTTGACTTGCGATTGTTAATCGTGAAAGTATGTACTTACAGTTAAGGGAGCTGAACAAAAAATAAGTTGCTTTACGCCATTCTTACCGCTATTCATATTTTAATCGCTCTCAATAATTTATCCGTCCATTTCAGATTTTCTTTAATATTTGGGCGATGCATTTTGACAGCCGTGAATGGGACGACCCATTCGTTTTCAAGCCGGAGAGATTTATTGATGAATCTGGCAATATCGTTCCGGGAATGCAACGAAGCTACCTCCCATTCTCAGCCGGACGAAGGGTCTGCCTGGCCGAGTTACTTGCCAAAGTTGAACTTTTCCTACTCATTGCTCGCATGCTGCATCAATACAAGTTTTTACCGGACCCTGATGAACCTTTACCGGATATAGAAGGGATCTACGGATTGTTTCTCGCCCCCAAACCGTATAGAATTAGAATAACGCGACGAAACACCAACTGCAACTTATAAATAAATGATTAATGTACAGGCATATATAGATACACGACTCGCAATAACTGCTATTTTGTTTGATTTTAAAGGAGACGTGTAAGATGCTCAAGGATTTCCTGTTTGGGGATCTTTACCTTGCATAAATTGATCGGTTAACTTTTCTAGAACCAAGCAGTCAAGAATTTTAAAGATAGAATCCTCATACAAAAATTTGATAGATTCTTTTGGATAAAAATCTCTAAACAACTATATCTAAATTCCTTTATCTCCAATTTTGATTAATATGCCTGAATGACGTCATGCAATACAAAACGATTGCTTCTTGGTGACCGAAATAATCCGAATGTACCCTATAGTATCTTATCATTTTGTACTTTGCCCGTAGCTTTTTGTTCTGTTCCTCGTCTCCGATTGCGTTTTTACATAAGATAATTATTGCATTATTGTTATACAGTTGCTTGTAGCATCACATGCTAAACAAAATATTCCAAATAATTTTAAGATTTTTGTAACTTAAGTAACGTCGCTCTATGTTAGTTGGTAGTAAGCATAAGTTAATTGAACTAGATTTGTACCTTGTGTGTTGTTTATTGTTTGTTTGTTAATTTCGTGATGTTTTGTTTGTTTATGTGTTTGCATAGACATCTAAGCATTTCTCACTGGGAGCGGAACTTGGCATTTGCCAATTGTAACTTAACCTACTTAGGGTGTTAACTGTATGTACCCTGGAAAATTTCGTAATATTGAGTAATTATTGCCTTGCAAGGCCATCTGTGTAAGCAAAATGCATAAAGCAAAAATGATTTTATTTTTTGTAGTCTTGAGTTTTGCCACCGAAAACATGTAGCTACGTCATTTAATTTAAGTTAGTTTTATCATTCATATTGAGCAGCACAAGATTAAAGATCTAAAAAGGGTTATCCAGGATTAATCCAGGATTATTTGTCCGTTTTTTAATTACAATGCCTGCAATTTGCTAGGTTTTCGTTTACAAGAAAACACTTGCTGCAAATTGAGTTTCCAATTACCAGGAAAAACTGTCTTAACTACATAATTAAGATTGTGTAACACGTAAGCCCCAAGCTGCACCCAGTCGCCTCAATAGAGCCACCTCGAATAGAAACCTATAGACTTACCCGTAAAAGACATTCCCTACTTTTGCAGTAGAATCGTACCCTTCTCTTTAATTGGCACTTTATGGTGCGACCGCAATAAGTGCCTCTAAAGATCTCCTCCTTATCACAAAACCGCGTCTTTTTGTGTCATTAAATGATAGCCAAAATGATTGGTTTATGTTTGATTGCGTAACAGAACAGAGAGAGCCGACGCTCGATTTTCATATCATGATTGAAGTCTCAATTAGTGGCCGTTATAACTGACTGTCTCTCTTTGTAGACATGGCTTTGTGGAAATTAGATTGAAATGAATACCATGTCTACACGAGTGACCCCTCTATATCAACTCTCAGCTAATTAGATGCTAAATTGGCCAATGGCGGCGCCAGCCACTAAGCGCCGGTGGGGGACCAACCAAACAAATTTAAGCCATGCCCTTTTAACCACCATAAAACGCCCTTTTACCAACAGGTAACGCCGATTTTATTCAAAGGGAACGCCTATGACTAACTTTTGTTTGAAAATTTGCAGTTTGAAAATCATAGGATTACGTCACAAAAAGTATGGTGTCAAAATATTACCCCTCCCCAAACATTTTCTCATCGAATTTAGACGAAATACAAAATCGATTATGCTGAGAACAAGCTCGGGGTGCTAAAAAGGAATTCAGAAGTTCGTGAACCCAAAGCAGTAATTGGTCAATTGACTGACCCAAAAAACAACTTCCTTGAATTTGAGACCCAAAAAGTGGACCTTTCCTAAAATTATATGAGTGCTGTTTCTGATATTTTTGCATATTTAAAGAAGTTTGACGTCTGTACAAACCATGTCTTTTAATGAGACAATCTCCTAATAAACAAGCAAATGGTCCGGAGAAATGTTAAGCAAACTTAAATCGTAATGACGAGATATCCACAGTTCTTTTGGTTTCCTCGATCTGGCCCAATGCATTTATCGATCTCTTTTTATAGAAACGGACTCTAAACCCAACGTAAGTAATCAAGTGCATCGTCTCCTCAATAGCTAAACTCACAATCAAATTACACAATGAAGTAAAACTAAAAGTACTTCATTTCAATTTGTGCTAAAAATGAAAGTTTCCTGGCTTTTGAAAATGGTTAGAGAGCTGCCTTGATAACGTTGTATTTTAAATGGTAAGTATGGCCTGACCTGCGAAGTGTCTAATTTGTCTGTCTGGTAAAGGAAGCGTTATCTCCCACGATGTATCTCTTTCTCCACACCACAAGATGTCTTGATTAACGTGTAGTTGTTTGGATATTGTAGCATGATATTTTCGAGATAACAAAATTTGCGTATTATTTCTGCACGGTATTTGTTGTGTCTTGATGTCAAAAACATTGGTTCACGACAAAAGCAAAAAAATTATCTTTGTTTGGTATATTGAACTGGGCTTTCTAAAAGTCATTAACTATTTAACAATTGTGCAGAAATGTTATAGATGCTTAATCTTCCAAGAAAATTCTGAACTTCTCTTTTTGAAATGAAGGTTTACTTTTCAGGTTTACGTAAAGTGACGCATTTTGCCCCTCTAAAATTTATCTCTGAAAAAAGGCCAACAACTTAGGTAAGTAATTATTTTCTACACCTTCACTTATTGATAAACTAATGTGATTTTATATTGGTAAACCCTCTGATAAACTCTTATTAGCTCTGGTATCGAGGGAAACATTTCAGCTAAAAATAATTAAGTACATAGGACTGACAAGCAACTAGAGTGGAAAGACCAACAAGGTATTCCTGCCTTTCCCTCTGATAAAAGATCTTTATGAAGATTTTGTTGAAACTATGTTTTGTTATTATTATGTGCTCTGTTGTGGGGGGGGGGGGTAGTTGCAGGGCATAATCTACGGTAAATCTACTTCATCCTTCTATCTAGCAGTTTTTGAGTTGATCTATGTACATGCAAGCGAAAAAGTCGCCATTGTGTAGACAGAAGGAGTTCGTTTTCTCTCTTGGACTCCAGTGGTAATTTTTCTTTAGGCACGCGGCACTGGTTGAAAAACTATACCGGTCTTGTTCTTGCGTTTTTCTGATTGGCCTATTTCGATCCACAACTGGGTAAATATTTTTTATCGTGTTCTTTCGGACCCTGATTCTGACGTTTTATGCTCTGAGAAATGTCAGACGAAAGAGCTTTTAGCCAATATGGTATAAAATGCTTGCTTTTTGAAAGCCATTTTCAAATCTACACCACCAATATTTTGACATCACTTGTGCATAGCATCCAGAAAATTCCTCATGCCACACCCTTTCTACGCTAGTGTCCTAACCTCTTGTTTACGATTGTTCATTTTATCCTGATATTAGCCGAATAAAAAAATTAAATAGCTTTACTTGAATAAAATAGAAAGAATATGAACAAAATTATTTTTGTAAATAGGAAAAGCGAGCAAATGTTTTGCACATTTCCATTACTTCAAAATGTTTTGACTCAACTTGGCAAAAGGGCCACCATCAACAGTGCCATTTTTCTCAATGATAACTGTTATCAGCTGACATGAATACTTAAAGGTATTATCTCTGCAAGAGTTTTGGCAGGTTTAGAAGACAGGTACCATACTTGGATCAAGACGAATGTCCCTAGAATTCCACATTGAGGAGCAGCAAGCTCACCTTTCAAGTTCTCGGGCATAAATTCGTTGACATTCGGTTTCACTCAGTACAATCAACGACATTTTCACCTTACGAGCAACCTTTACTAGAATTTCTGAAAAAACTATTTGAAATACACGTTTTCCGTGACTTTTTAGTATGAACACGTTCAACTGCCATCTTCAATAGCATTTTGAAGGCCAGGGACTGTGAATTCCCTTGAAGTTAAAAGCCTGCGGTCTTCCGCCTCTGCTTCTTACTGTCTCTTTTAGGATGCTTGGCTTTAGTTTTGTTTGATCACTTGGTCTCTTCCTGTGAGCTAGCAAGATTTTTCTTATTTTTACCTTCAGGTTCGAGTTTGTTTGTCGAAGTTCTTCCTTTTTAATAAAAAAAGAGCTAACGGGATGTTTCTGTCCTTTATCAATCTGCGAGGCCTTTCGTTTATATAATTTTGTGCCATTATGGTGGCTTGCTGTGAATAAACTTACCCACTTATTTGTCATTTTCAGTTCTTAAAACGTATCATTTAATAATTGTCTTTATTTTTTTCTATTTTGTAACATTACTTATGTATACGTGAAGCGTCCGTAGTTGTTGATCTGGTTGCATGTAATGGCCATGGGGTTTTAAATGTCCTTTGCTTTTTTCTTTACTTTCTTTTAAGTTGGTAAGCGTACACTACTGGCTATATCAAAGCTAATTGAAGCCAGCTAAATATGATAACAACAAAAACCGACATTGCAGTAGTAAATGATCTATCAATAAAATATATCAATTTGCTCCCCATGGTATCGTATCTGTAGCATCGTAGAGAAATTAGAGAGTATAGTAAGAATTTAGTTTGTATTGTATTATTTTATCGGGGTATAAAAAAGACCTCAACATTAGAGTTTAGACCATAAAAGCACCAAACCTCGTTTCAGTGCATGGCTCATTTCTATATTTGGCACAACCGCCAGATTTGCCAACTAAGCAGTGGATAAAGCAGTATTTGCCTTAAAAGTGAATTTGTGATCCTGTGTCATAGCCCCAAAACCACTCGTAACATCAACCTACATGAGAGGCTAGTTGGCAATATAGAAAAGTAACTAAACGACCTGTTTTGTTTCCAAAATAGCACTAAAGAGCAGATAAGCTTTGAAAAATAACGCCTATTTTTATAAACCAGACGTAACCCTTTCTTCAATGTATAATTTGCTAGAAATAAACTAGATCAGATCTGATCAGATCTGGAATTAAAACAGTTTTTCCCCATGAAGAAGGTTAATTTCAGCTCAAACTGTCATGAACATTATCAGCGGGCCTGATAAGCCTGGTTTTGCAGAATATTTTGAATAAAGCCTCTATAAAGAATGGGATGATGTTGTTGGCTATAAAACAATGTTTTGCGACTCGGAATGTAATTTTTTTTTATTTATTCGGTATAAAAAACTTACAACAACAAATTACCTAAAACAGTACGTACGAACTACTAAACTACATTACAAGGATGGAACCTAGGAGGAGCAATACAACATTACTGCCCCCTGGGATATGACATGTATCTAAATATAACTAATAATACAACTATAATACTACATATACATAAACTAGATTATAATAATACATACATAGTAAAATACAACATATACATATACGGTAAATACTTAAGCCCGTTTCACATTGGACGCCATTGGAAAATATGTTATAATGTTCGAGGTTTATGCCTAATATATACCTATCTATTTTCTAAAATGAAAGGTGTTTTACAGTCAATTTGCCATCTACATTGGAGAGTAGAGTGGAAGTATTTTTGGGATTTTATTATTAAGCTTGCATATTTCATGATTATATCTAGAATAGACAGGTGTCTTTGATCAATGGCTTCTTTCATGTCTGGAGAAAACATAAGTGCCCCACCCAACGATCCGGACAGAGAAATGAAATAATCACAATGAAACGAATATGTAGATATGTGCACAAATGCCTCCACTCTAATAACGTAGGCGCTATTTTTGACAGCTATTTTACAATGAAAAACGTCAATGTAAGTACCAGAAACAATGGCACAATGATTAACATCCCGAGGATTAATC